TAAATTCGAACGGCTTTAGATATTTTGTGGCTGGCCAGCCACGTTTTTAATAATTGACTACCGTTGGTGTTTTGTAGCGCGCCGTAAAATTTCAGCGGAGTCGTGGCTGGAAGACGTGGCTGCTTTCACGCTGGTTGAAACTCCTAACAAATGCTATAAAAATGCCAAAAGTTTTTTTGTTTCAAGATATATCATTTCTACTACCATAAATATAATTCTTCAAATACTTTTAAATGACAAAGGTTCTCTTGTTAGAATGCCGTGAAAGAAACCGTTTTCGAGAAAAGAGTAATTTTTCATTTTGATGTCCGAAAGAATTCTCAATAATTTTGAGGATATTATATTTCCAGTTGGTTTTGGTTTATTAGAGTTAATCGTGAAGATCGAATCACTTTCAGGTACCAAATTTCGTGAATCTAGGATCAATGATATTAAAGAAAAATCTGCATTTGAGGACCTACCTTCGAGGAGCTCTAGTGCTCTCAGGAAGCATTTTTGGACACACGTTAATATGAATATTTTCTCATTTTTACCTCCTGGAGTATACGAACGTTATTCTGGGACACCCTGTATACAGGTATCGGTCGACGGGGCCAGGTCTGGAGATCTAGCTGATAATTTTGCCCTATCCATTATTCAGAAAAATGATTATGAAAATCTGAGAGTTATCCGGTAATGGGCAGGACATCCGTCGTTTTGTTATAATAATATAATGTCTTTTTCTAGATCCAAAGGCCCGTCACCAAAAATATCGGGTGAATTATTATTGAAAATTCTAGAAAGTTTTCACTTATAATTACACGAGAGCTTTTTTTTTGTCGGAGTAAACTTGACATGTATTTTGTTGCCTGGCAATTAGACGAAAAAAACTGCCTCTGAAAAAATTACGGGTCTGTAGGACAAGTTTTTTCTGGCAGTTTTTTGTGTTGAATTACCTAATAGCAACAAAATTCTAATTATAAATGCCAAGTTTACTTCTTCTAAAAGAAAGCTAGAGTGTAATTCGGTAAGACAATTTAATTCATCAAACATTTGTTTCCGTTATTGTCGCTGGAAGAGTTAGGGCAAACTTTTTTCGCTGTCATAATGACAAAATCACGCGGCTTGTAGGAAAGTTAGGTTTTTAATGTTTAGTTACTGTTGAGTTAATGTTGAGTTGATGTTGACTTAATGTTAAGTTAATGAAACGTGAATGTTGAGTTAATGTTGAGTTGATGTTGAGTTAATGAACCCTTTAACGCTCACAGGTACACACTTGACATCATGGGTCAAACTCAGGCTATTTCGAATTCAAACATCGACCTTAATGGTAGTTATGCATTAACGCGATGCTACGGTACGCTCGCTGGTCGATTGAATAGTTAATGTTACACAGGATGCATTATAGTTGGTTGTACAGGAGCGTCTGGTCGAATAAACTACCAACGGGCATTTGTGACTCATTAAAAATCATCATTTCATGTCAAACTGTATACCATTGAATGTACTAGCTATTATATTCATGCGCTCGGAAGTACGGGGCGAAATATAAAATTCATTCATTAGTTTTCTTTCCTGTTTCATCAAATCGATCAATATCATTCAGTGTATTCCCTTAGAAACATTCTATTTCTTCTAATTTCTAAATCCATTTCATGCAAAATGTCGCCTTCTCGAAACAACATCTCGCAAGTGCAAAATATGTCAAATTGCCTTGTGTATTGAATGTTTTGTACCGTATACATAAATACAAGGTGGGCCAAAAGAAGTCACCCGATGTTGTTTGGCTCTCATTTTTATTCTGAATGAAAAGCTTTGATTCTGTTTTCTGATTATGTTTATTTGAACCTTTAGAATTTTATCGGTCAAGTCGAGAAGATGATATCGGTCGAATGGGCGCCGCCACATTTGATTGTTATATGGGCTCGTTTTATGGCATTTTTCATCACTGCGGCGAGAACTTTGGGCGACAGATTCTCGCACTCGTGTCGAATGGTGTCCTTGAGGGCTTCAAGGGTCTCGGGCTTGTTCACGTAAACACGGGACTTCAAAAAACCTCACAAATAAAAGTCTGAAACGGTTAAATCGGGCGATCTTGCGGGCCAGTGCAAATCGCCAAAACGAGAGATGAGGCGACCCGGGAACGCCGCCTTCAGAATATCGGTTCTGGCTCGCTCAGTGTGTGCCGTTGCGCCGTCCTGTTGGAACCACATGTCCTCCAGTTCTAATTCGTTCAATTGCGGCAGAAAAAACTCGGTTAACATGGCCCTATAGCGCGCACCGTCCACTGTTGTGGTCTGACCAGCGGCGTCTTCGAGAAAAAATGGCCCGATAACTCCTCCAGCGTGAACAGCGCACCATGCAGTCACTTTGAGCGGGTGTAATGGCTCCTCGTGCATCACTCGTGGATTTTCGGTGCCCCAGAAGCGATAGTTTTGCTTGTTCACGTACCCGCCGAGGTGGAAATGAGCCTCATGGCTCATTATGATTTTGGTCGAAAAATCGTCCACTTCGTCCACGAGATTGGGGATGGCTTGGGCGTAGGTTACACGCGTTTGGCGGTCGACAGGCAGCAGCTGATGCACGGACTGGACTTTGTACAGGAACATGCGCAGGTCTTTGACCAAAATTCGCCTTAGGGACGACCGGCTGATGGTAATTGCGAGGCACTGCGTCTGGTCGATGTTTCTGGCGACAGCTCGGCATCCTCGGCAACAGCGGCGATATTCTCGGCAGAACGGGCGCTCCGGGGACGGCCACTCTTGGCAGCGTCTCGTGTGGTCCCATACTCTTCAAGGTTGGTGGCGAAACGGCGCAGTATTTGCGCAGTCGGTGTCGGACGACCGGAGAATCGGCGACGGAATTCGCGCTGCGCCAATACCACAGTCGAATTGTTACGCAACAAAAGTCAGGATTATTCCGCGTTCTTGAAGAGTGTATCGCTCCATGGCTTGTGCACTTCTATTCTACATATATCTAGTACACAAATGTCACAACAGATTTGACATTGGCCGCCATTTGCAAAAATAATAGCATCTTCTAATAGGGTGATTTCTTTTGGCTTACCTTACTTTATTTTCATAATAGTTCCTCAATAAACATTTCTTAATAAGAATAATTTTCTTATTGTTATTTCATACTTCTACATACAGTAACCATCACAAGTCTTAAGAGTCGTTATAGTCGTAAATGTCTGCTGCTAAAAAGGTTTACCATTGTTTTTTCCAAATATTTGAACATTGAAAAAAATCTTGATGGATCCACAATCAATACTTTATATAAAGGTATTGCCTTTTATGAAAAAACAACATAAATATATCTTGATAACAAAATTTGGAAGTTAAAGGGTTGTTGAGTTAATTTTAAGTTACTGTTAAGTTAATCTTGAGTTAATGTTAATCAAATCTTGAGTTGATGTTAAGTTAATGTTGAGTTGATGCTAGCTTAATGTTAAGTTACTGTTAATGGGGAAGACCACTGATTTTTTAAAACGATATTATTGAACTCTATACTGAAAAACTACCAGCGAATTCATTTTGAAGTTTGTCATTCATGCTAAGACGATGGAAAATATAAATTAGAATATGTCCATTTCAAAACACACAATTCCTGCGCCATTTGAAATTTTGTCAATTCATTGGTGTGACTGGTGCGACGTCTTAGTCCTAAAACACGCCTATTGTCCTTGAACTGAAAAATCACACTGCAACACTGCAGAATGACGAGGTATCAGAGAGAGATAGCTACAGTTCGGGACTAATACGTCACAGCTCCACCATCATATTTGGCTGTTTGAAATAATTATGATGATTTCAAAACGATATAGATTGGATTCCCTTCAACTTCAACTCATAATATTGATTGTACATCAAACGTAAATCATGATTCGTCGATTGAAAGAGGTTTGCACGGATTTCTTCTCTCAGTGGACTTCCCCATTCAATGCTAACTCAATGACAATTTTAATGTTAAGTTTTTGATATTAATATTGATAAATATATCGATATATCGAATAATGATATATAATTTCCAAAATATCGATATATTGAAAACTCGATCTCTTCTAAATATAATATTGAAAAAAATCAATTTATTTTATTTGTGTGACCCCTAGACGTTTTCATAATATCACAATAGTTATATTTTCGAAATTGATTTTTTTTGTCTGGTTTGTTCAGACATGAAAATATATTGCATAGGTAGGTTGGTAGGTAGGTAGTTTTATGCTGATTTAATAAGTGTTGTTAAATATTCTAGAACCTGTGGTTTATAGAAAAAATGAGATTATTTTGAGATAGGCATAAGAAAAAATCGATATATCAATATATTATTTCATAACTATCGATACATCGATAACTATCGATATATCGTTAAATATTGATAACTCGATATATCGAACTTATCGATATGATCTGACGTATCCTTAATCGATATGTGAAATCTAATCTCGCGCAGCCCTAGTTTTGGCCGTGCTCGAATCTATAGGCCGTAAGAAATGACTTATACAGGGTTTCTATATATGATCGTTGCATCGTAGTGGTCGTTGAAATCAGATTCCTTGACACTCGATATTCTATTACTGGCCCTGAGCGAAAATGATGTTACAGACAATGATGGAAGTAAGATATGGTGCGCGTATTCGGCCATTATTACGTATTGAAAATTTCAGAAAAATCATGCGGCCGCGTACTATGATTTATCTACGTCACAACGAGCGAGACGTTCATTCGACATTTTCCCGCTAAATGGTGATGCTGGTATTGCTGCTGTGACGAGTGGAAATAAAATGGCAAATGGCATTTTAGGTACGCGGAAGATATGTAACAGTGGAATTATTCAACTCTGAATTCGAAAAATCTGCGACAATTTCAAAACTGACAGATGTCATAATTGTGCAATGTCGCCATCTATTAGAAGTTCGACGGAACCATTGCTCTCGCTGTTCTCGAGAGGTCGAGTAAAATTTCTGAAACAAAAGCGCATCAGTAATTACACCATATCTTACTTCCATCATTTTACAGACCAATCGGGCAAGGTCCGCATCTGGGACACCGTCAACAAGGAGCACATCCTCAAGAACGAGTTCCACCCGATCGGCGGGCCGATCAAGGACATCGCCTGGTCGCCCGACAACCAGCGAATGGTGGTGGTGGGGGAAGGCCGCGAGCGGTTCGGCCACGTGTTCATGTCCGAGACGGGCACCTCAGTGGGCGAGATCTCGGGCCAATCGAAGCCGATCAACTCGTGCGATTTCAGGCCTGCCCGGCCGTTCCGCGTGATCACCGGCTCGGAGGATAACACGATAGCGGTGTTCGAAGGGCCGCCGTTCAAGTTCAAGATGACCAAGCAGGTTGGTGTGAATAATGGGCCTTACCAGATTACGGCTTAGCGAATTTTGTATACCGGGTGATTCGATCGTTAAGAATGGGAAATCTCTGAACTACAGATAGTAAACACCAAAATATGGAGATTTGCCCCAAAATGCCTTATATAAATGTTGCATATACAGGGTGTTCAAGGGAAATCTTCATTTTCGTTTTTTCCTTAACTTTGGTCGAACATTTGAGGGAAAAACTGAATCCTATTGCTGGTATTATATATAAAATTCGAAATTTCATTCCTGTTAGATACCTAGAGAGTATTTATTTCTGTCTTATTTTTCAAATTCACAATATCTAATATCTATTTGGGGAAGTACTAATATTTCACGTTTGAAGCCACTCACAAAATTACAAAATATACCAATGAAGTGCATTTTCAATTTACCTTTTTTAGAATCAACTATAAATCTATACAAACCTGAAGACTTGCTGAATCTAGTTTCATTATATAAACTCAAAATTTGTTATTTCATTCATTTTGTCAGGAAGGAATTGAAGATATCAAATTTGAATTTTAATGAATTTAATACGATTCACGCCCATGAAACAAGGCAATTTAATTTATTGATAGCAAATAATTATAAGTAAAATTTTGGTAAACAATCAATATTCCATAATGGAATAATTTTATATAACTCCTTACCTAATGCATTGAAGAATATAGAAGAAGCAGAAAAATTCAAAATCAATTCAAAGAAATATCTGCTCAGTAAACTTTAATTCCATATCCACTAATCATTCACAATTTGATTACTTGGAATAGATCATAATATTATCATATTATATTATAAATTTTTTTATGAAAAACAATAATTGCGCAATTATTATTGTTTTGATTTATTATGTTATATGTATAAATAATAATGTTTTTTCTGTGACGGGAAAAAAGTTTGGCATTTCATCTCTGTTGGTAGGTTATAAAATGTCACTTTTCATAAATTACTTTTTTCCCGAGGGAAAAAAGTGAGTACTTTTTTGCCGGATATATATCACATTTATATATACACTGTTGATGGCTTTTGTTGTGCTATAGTTTCGAAAAATGAGTCAATAATACCGTCTCCGAGAAAGAACTGCAAGTCCTTTTATCTTCTATTCGACTTCGCGGTTACGTATATTACCAAACAACCACTAAATTCGCAATTTTCTGTAATCAAATCAATGAATTAGACTGACAGAAGTGACATCAGATATTTGATTACTTCAAAAGAATGATAAAAATGCCTACAACACAGGTGTCCCAACTGTTGAAAACTTAAAATTTCACGTCGATAATTTTCAGATTTCAAAATGTAATATCTTCTCAATATTGATTCGTCCTTTCTTCTGTCACAGAAAAAAATAGTGTATTATACACGGGAAAAATATTAGATTTTAGCTCACGGTTTTTTGTCTCCCTCCGCTACGCGTCGGGAGACAACACAACCTGGAGCTAAAATCTACTACTTTTTTCCCTTGTTTAATAAATAACTATTCTTGGGGTAATAAAGACAATCAATCAATCACATTTACTTTGAAGAATGTGGAAACATTAATCTCTTCAAGAGCGGATGACGCTAAAACCGTTAGAGTTGAACAGCCTTTCATATTTTACTCTTTCGTTACAAATTCGTATTTATCATGTCAGAAAACCTAAAACTACAAAATTTCATGTTCATGCTGTCAAAACTTACAAAGTTATTAGAATTTTAAAAAAATCCCCCTAAGAACACCCTATATCTCCCGAATCAGCAACATTCTTGTGTGTTCGAGGGGCCGCCCTTCAAGTTCAAGATGACCAAACAGGTTGGTGTGAATTTCATCCTATCTGGCTATAATTTTATGAAGAGAAGTTAAATGCGTTTGAATTAAAAAAGGGATTTTCTCAGATAAATTATTAACATGAAAAAATAGATAAATATCACTTCTTTCTTGGTTTATTCAACAGAAAACAACTACTTTCCTGGCTATATGCCACGATGAACATTGAATTATATCTATTGAACACACAGGATAAGAATTTGAAAACAAAATATCTTGAAGTTGAGAATTTGCATTCTCCTCCAGATAAGAATATGTATACGCACATTATATCATTTTGAATATTCAACAAAAAACAACTACTTTCCTGGCTATTTGTCACGTCGAACATTGAATAATATCTGTTAAATATCCAAAGAGAGCATGAAAAATAAAAATCCTCTGAAATTCAGAATTAACATTCTCTCTCAAATCGGATAAATAATATGATGTATTATGGTATAACAATATAACTTACCAATATGTTCAGTATTGAAATGAAAATTGAAATGTATAGGAGAAGTATACTTGTATAAACTCTGATCCAAAAAAATCATTCATATCAGTCATATGGGAATTATATCTCACAAACAGGTTATATGATTTATTTCAGTTTGATTTACTCCAAATTACAGTATCTGATATCTATCTGGGGTACTGCAGAAAAATCTGTTTTGAAACCTCTGAAATCTCTTCAAAATAAAGCAATAAAATGTATTTATAAACTACCAAGGGATCTGCTAGATATTGACTCTCTCTTCAAAATGAAAGTATGCATTTTCATCTATTTCACTAAAAATAAGAAAAAGCACTTGAATCTTACTTTCAATATTAATTCTGATACCAATGAGCATCACACCAGACAAAGTGAACATTTGTAAACTATCAAAATAAAAACCCAATTCGGGAAAAAATCACTATATTTTTGTGGAATAAATATTTATAATAGTCTACCCAACCATTGTCGTTCTAGATGACAACCTAGTTAGGTAGTTAGTAGGCAGGAGCTATAATATTGTCTGTTCATTGACAAGACAATTGAAGAAAATATGTAGTTCAGAGACATCTACGTGAACTAAGTAAACTAAGTTATTCATATTTTATTCCTAACCCATAACATTTTTCATGGTCCTGTCAAGTTTGTAAATAAAAATCTGTCATGTTGAAACCCGAAAATGAAACATTATCACGAAAGATATTATCATGTATGAAAACCATCTACCTATACTTGAATGGAAGCAGGGAGATGTTTAGACAATGTTGTATCAGGTTGACTTATGATGCAACTTGAATTTAAGTTGGAACTGTGGAAACTTCGGAAACTCATCAGTGCTTTTACACTTTTTCGACATGCAATCCAATGAATATGGCATAAACTCATTGATGCCTCAGGATTTGTGGCTCAAATTCACAACAGTGAGGATAGGGGAAACTCGGTCTTGATAATTTTACACCTCCACCTCCTGGAGTGCGAAGTTTTCAGATAACATTGCAAAATAACACAATCGCACTCACAAACCAATCAACAAACTGCAATAGAAAACCAATACTAGAAGAAATAATTAGGAATAATTGTAATTTTCAAGAATACGAATTCAAAGTATAACATATTCACAAAGACGAAGTTATAAGTTAATGACAACTGTCAGAAAATAATTTTTTGATTATGACATCTCAATCTCATGAAAGAATCTTCTTCATCGCCTTTGTATCAAATATCACGTCAATGATGGAAAGCACATCTGTGGTTGAGTACATATTGGAAAAAAATAGAAGAAGAGAATATCAACCTAATATGGTCTATTTTGACATAAACAAATGAGCTCTTTCCATTTTCTCATCCCCAGCGCCACTTGACAGACAGACATATTTTGATTGAATGAGACAATATTATACCTCCTCGCACTAGGTCGCCTACTAGGTTTTCATTTAGATCGACAATGACCCAACAGAATAAAATCTATTAGGTTCGTCACAAAATTCAAGAGTGAACTGAAGAAATATATTTTATTCACAACCATATATGTAATGTTGTCATTACTAACGTCGTTGAAGGTTGGGAAGTGTCATATTACACACCTCGGTAGGAAGTTTCATTCCTATCTCGAGATTAAAGCTAACCTCGACGCTTTGCGTCTCGGTTAACTAACTAATCTCACGCCAGGAATTAATCACTTCCCACCTCAGTGTGTGATATACTATTTTAGTAACGAAACATCATATTTTGGTGCTAACAGCAAATAGTAATAGATTTATGACAAATCGTAATATCGTAACAATCTCCGTGAAATAGTCATAGATTTATTACAAAAGTAACGACACTGCTTAGGACCACTCCCGATTCGTGCAAGCCGTAAAGTACTCCCCCTCGGGCGCCCTCTTCGCTTCCGCCGGCTTCGACGGCAAAGTCTTCCTCTTCGACGGCGCCACCTCCGAGCTGGTGGGCGAGGTGGGCGCGCCTGCGCACTCGGGCGGCGTGTACGGCGTGGCGTGGAGCCCCGACGGCACACAATTGTTGACTGCCAGCGGCGATAAGACGGCCAAGCTGTGGGACGTCGAAACCAGACAGATGGTGTCGGAGTTCGTGTTGGGGAGCACGGTGGAGGATCAGCAGGTAAGATTTTGTTGTGTATGGTTGCAAACAGGGTTGGCCGATATACAGTTCTCAACACACTAAATGGACCACTCATAATTTGACTTTATTTGGAAGACCTGTATTTCTTTAAAAAATTCACCGATCTGCATGCGGTTTTCGATATCAGATGTGATGTTCCATCGGCTTCAAAAAGAGCTAGAACACTCTGAAAAAGTCCGCAGAACAAAACCTACACAGGGTGTAAAGTGGCCATTGGAACCAAAATTTGATTTTTTTTTTCGAAAGTCTTGCATTTCTTGAATTTTTTCTCTAGAACTCCACTTGAGCTGACTTGGGAAGAACTGTCCTCATGTTTTGTGGAGGACAATGAAAGACGAAGAAAGCACTATTGTGGAATATACAGGATGATGAGAAAAATGGGACAAAATCTCATTTCAGTGAAAAAAATCAAAAATGGTGACTAAAACCATGGCCCATTCGATTCAGTATATTCAGAAACAGCCTTCTCGATATCCATTATTTATATTAGACTATTAACTCGAGACGTTTTCGAAAATTCGCCTCTAATTGAACTACAGGATGAAAATTTTCGATTCAAACTTGTTTCCTGATGAGATGCGACAATGGCAGTTTTGAACTGGACCAGAGATATTTTTATAGACAAATTTCCTTGTTAACCTGACGAGTATGCACTGATGATGACATAACAGTCGAAAGCGCTCTGCTGCGAGTAATAAATTTGAATAAATTATCTTGCACAAAATACAACACTTCCCTTCTTTGGTATCCCACTGAGCTTTGCAACATCTTTGCGCACCACTTTTCAAGTATTTGTCAAACCAAACTAGAGGAATATTTAGTGGACAGAGATAGTGTATCTTGCACAATATCTAAATCATCATTAAACTCTATTTTCATGACTTATGTAACGGAACATGATGTAAATGACATCATCAAAACATTAAAAAATAAAAACTGTGCTGGTGTAGATGAAATATCCCCCAAGATATTGAAATATATGTGCCAGAGTATATTACCAGCCCTCACTTGCCTGATTAACTCTTCTATTGAACAGGGGATTTTTCCCGATCTTATGAAACTATCTCTGGTGTTTCCATTACATAAAAAAGGAAAGCTGGATAATATTGAGAACTATAGACAAATTTCACTTCTGTCAGAATTTTCTAAAATACTTGAAAGGTGCATCTATAATCAGATTGTTAGCTTTATTGAAAAATACAACCTTCTCACAGTCGATCAGCATGGCTTTAGAAAAAAGAAATCTATTGAAACCGCGAGTTATGAAATGTTGAACTTTATTTATCAAGAACTTGATGCAGGAAGCTATGTTGTATCTCTCCTGTTCAACCTCTCCAAGGCCTTTGACAGCCTCAATTTCAGTAAAGTTTTGGAGAAACTATACGCATTGGGAATCAGAGGCAGATCATGGCAGAGATGGATTGAATCTTACTTACATAACAGGAAAATAATTGTCAAAATTGAAAACGAACTGTCCCAGAAACATTCCATTTCTCTTGGAGTTCCACAGGGCTCTATCCTAGGACCCTTAATTTTTTGGCTCTATATCAATGACTTACCAGACTACATCACCAGAGGCAAAGTGACAATATTTGCAGACGATACCACAATTTCCCTAGCTGGAAAAACCCCTGAGGAACTCCAAGTGAAGATAGGTCAAACTATAAGTGACATGGAAAGCTGGTGTCAAAGGAATGACCTTATTCTTAATAAAAGTAAAACTTGATAAGCATCTAAGCTTTGACACCCACTTAAACCATGTCTGTTCCAATCTCAACAAGTCATTTTATGCTATTTTTCAAATGAAATCCTATCTAGATCAAGAGGGACTAATGAAACTGTACTACAGCTTTGTATATAGTCACCTAACATATAACGTCATTACTTGGGGCTCCGCCTCAGGATGGCACAGAGTATTTATTGCTCAAAAAAGAATCATTCGTCTTATATTTAATATGGAATTCCGTGAAAGCTGTAGGCAGACTTTCCAGGAGAAGAAAATTCTTACATTCACTTGCATCTATATCTTAAAATGTGTAACTTACATAAAGCTACATCCTGAAAAATTTCATCTGCAAAACAGTCTTCATAGATACAATACTAGATGCAATGGAATGTCTATGGCTAAATATAATACTTCAACCTTCAAAAAATCTCCCATTTTCAACTGCATAACACTTTTCAATGCTTTACCAGAGAATCTAAGAAACTTGGGTAGCTACAACATTTTTAAATCAAAGGTAAAATACTTCCTCACAAAAAACGGTTTTTATTCCATTGAAGAATACATTTCTTACAGAGATTTGTAAATGTTTTTTATCCCAGTGTTGTAATTTGTCAATGTTTTAATTTTTTAATTTTATTACATATGTGTATAATTACTATAGTACCTAGTTTAAGCTCACAATTTTTTATAAATTTACCTATACTAACTACTACTATGTAGTTTGCTTGTGCATCTATGACCTGCCATCTGTACTTTGTATTTTTATATGGCCAATAAATATTACTACTTACTACTACTATATATACACGTGCACACAGCCAAGCACCCCTCACGTAATAATAAATATAATAAATAAGTATGAAATTTTCACCGTAGGTCAATATTCCCTCCAAGCCGCTGCGTGCCACAACAAGTCCATCACAAATTTACTGATATTTTAGTTCAAGGACCATTTAGTATCCATTGAAATGCTCGAGTAGTAAAACTGAATAGGCTTTTAGTAGAGATATCCGGCTTAAGCGTCGGGATATAATCTTGGTCTCTGAGCAATAATAATATTCCTTACTGCCATGGTGTATAAATAAGTATGATATTTTCACCGTAGGTATCCTGTCTCTGGCAAGGCGATCACCTCCTAACTGTATCCCTGAGCGGCTTCATCAACTATCTCGACGTCAACGATCCCTCCAAGCCGCTGCGCGTCATCAAAGGCCACAACAAGCCCATCACCGGCCTGACCTTGAGCGACGACAGGTCGACCATCTTCACGGCCTCGCACGACGGCTGCGTCACCAGGTGGAACGCGGAGACGGGGGAGAACGACCGTGTGGAGGGGGCGGGGCATGGTAACCAGGTGAACGGGATGCGAGCGCACGAGGGGACGCTGTACACTTGCGGGATCGACGATAGCTTGAAACAGGTCGATATCGAAGGTGAGATGGAGTAAATTAGAACGCTGGTCATGATGTCAAGGTTAGGACTGGGAAAAATATCGTTACACAGGATGAGTCAGTTTCTTGTAGTAGGACACAATCTTATATTATAAGGTTACCTCATTATTTATTTAATCAATCAGAATATTGAATCTGAAAGAACAAAAAAGAAAACTCATAAATTAGGCCGTCATCAGCGAAAGGAAAGGCTACTGCAGGTGTCAGTGTTGCCAGCTGCTAAATAAAACCGCTAGAAGCCAATATAGCGAGCGAAGCGAGCTGAAAGCTCGTTGCAGGCGAAATTTCTGATAATTCAGGGACATTTTTCCATGATCTAGCGACATTTTCAATCATTTTTTGTCAGTTTCTGGAAACTATATTCATTCAAAATCTGTTCAGAATTAAAAAAGCACATTATAAAAAACAAAATGAAGATACATTTTCCTATAAAATTACATTCGGTCGTATTTGAAGTATATCTTTGATCAAATCACACGTTAATAATTATGTCATATCATGTCAACTCATATTTCTAGATCAACTTCATACAGATCTGCGACTTCAGTACTGATTTAGGCAAAATAAAATCTTCACGAGCATCATATAATTTGTCAAACCATATCGAATATACAAAAATGACAAAATATTATTCAAAAGTGGCACCAATGATGAAAACAAACCCTGTCAGCTGTCATTCCCTTCTCTTCTCATCTCTTCGTCTCAAATGTTCCAATGTGCTATGACCTATGTTGAAAACGCTAGAATTCCGACATGTCGCAAACCAAGTAAAAATGTCTTAGCGACAAAACCGCCAAGATGGCAACCCTGGCCGGGGTGCCGCTTGTGGCCACAAGTTGAGGGTAACTTATCTCTGGTCAAGGAGAGGTTGTGAATATTTATCGAGGATTCAGGAGAGTCTTTGGGGGGGGGGGGGGGGTAATTACCCCCCCCCTCATAGATACGCGCCTGGCAGGTGGTGTGATATTTTTTTGTGTTTTTGCACTGACAAATCTTATGGAAGCTTTTGATCATTCCAAGTCTTTTAATTATTAAGAAATGTCAAATAGAGTGTGTTGGAAAAATAAAGTTTCGTCATAAGTAGATTATTTTTCATCAAAATCATATAAAGGAGCAAAATGGTTCCGAATAGAAAAGAGGATCTGAATTAATATTTCATTGAAAGCAAAGAGTTTTTCAATTCATCATTTCGAAATTTTTTGAGAATATCAAAATTGGGAGCACATTTGCATTCCCACTTTTTCCCAGCTATACGATGACATTTTCATATTCACCATGCTATTATTATTAATGTAAATCCAATATGGCGCCCATATAAAAAATAAAGTTGGTGATGGTGGCGTAAAGACAAAACGTCGGATAGTGAATCTGAAAATGTCATAGTATAGCAGAAAAATAGTGGCAGTATATATTATGTGCTATCAATTTTCATATTCTTCAACAATTAACGTCAGGAAAAATAAAGTTGATTTACCCAAATGTCTGTTTTTTTGTTTCGTTTATATCTGGAAATAATCGGAATTCAGAAAAATTACTCGACGATATATTTTGAGTCACATAAAAGCGCAACTTTTTTCCAATTTAACCATCTTCGTATCTCCTATAGTTTCCAAGATCCCAATGGTGGACCTCGAATTTGAATTACCCAGTATACACTGTAATTTTTGTATTACATACGTTAATACCAATCCTCATTTCAGGAAACACATACAGGCCTCAGCAGTTGAAACTAGGTTCTCAGCCGAGAGGTATGGACGTATTCAGAGAAGAAAATATTATCGTCACGGCCAGCATCAACGAACTCACCGTTTCAAAGGACAACCAAAAGCTCAGCACCTTGAAAGTTGGATATGAACCAACCAGTGTTAGCTGCTCGCCAAGGGGGCACGTTGCAGTTGGAGGTAATGAACTGAATCATTTCTCATTCATCATCACATTATTTTCGGGAGTAAATAAATAAGAGATAATGTTTTTATCGATAAATACATGTTTAAATGAATGAAAGTTTTATTGTCATGGCAAACAACCAAGAATCAAGGGAGCAAGCTCTCACGATTTTTTCTACTTCCCTTGACTCGAGATTTTTGGCCATATGACATTAAAATTTGTATACAATTTGAAATGTATTTATCAATAAAAAATTGCTCAAATGTATTTTAGGGAGATTAATACACAAATACGGTATAAATACAATTTGGTTTGAAAAAGAAACGACGTTGTGCTAAGAAAACTCGAATATTATCTGCCGGTAGCGTCGGTGACAGTTGTTGTGTTGATTGAAAGCAATCCATATTTATCGGTTATTGGGAAATCTAGGTAGCTTTCTTATCACTACAAATGCCTGGCGATTGGTCGATTTTAGGAAATTGAAGAAATCTTATTGGATCTTAGAATATGCGTGTATCAATCAAGGAAATACCATTAGTGAAGTTTGTATGCCAATGAGGAAGTTTCCCTTATAGAAGACCAGCTCAGTCTGACGCATGATTTTAATGAAAGATTCTCTAGGTTCTCAATCGGTGGCAGACTTGCGAAAAAAAATTAAACAAAATAAATCCAATTGAAACTTAGTAAAACAACCAAATCCGCGAATATGGGACAATTAAACAAACCAGTTCACATCGATCGTACAGAGTTAGGCACGCAGATACCCAACACTGAGAGAACGAGAGTTGATTTTTTTGGAACATTCAATAATCGCAACAGCAATTGATGCCACAGAGTGATGGCTTCTTGGCAATCAACAAGAATTATAGACACCACCATGGAGATTGATATTTTCACTGATGATACTGCATACATACGGCTTCAAATCACTGATCTGTTTGGCCAGCATAGCCACACTCAACTCAGAAATATCTTTAGACCTTACGGTTCAAAAACGTGGCCAAACTTTTAATTTTTTTCGGGTTGGGCGACTTGGGCGGCCGCTCTCTCTGGCGGCTATACGAATTCTTCCTTCTCGAACACTCAGTGCTTTCCACGCGTCTCGTTCTTTCACTGTCAATCGCGAATAAAGTCGAATCTGCGAACCAATCAGAATAACACGAGAACGCGGCACAATTCTAATATAAAGAAGAAAGGTACATTAGATTAATACTAGATAACTTGAACAATTGTTTTAGGGTGGGCGTTCAAATGAATTATTGTTCAACTAGCTAGTATTAGGTTTCAGATGTCTAAAATGGATATTCAAATTATTCAACTTATTTTAACTTTCAAAATACAGCAATTTAGAATCAATAATGAAGCAGACTATGACCTACTACCTAGGGTCCCTTGATGCAAACTGACGTATTTGTCATCTAACAGGGTACGGCCAGATCATAACTCCTTTCTCTTTTAATCATCAAGCAAATTTGAATTTGTTAGCTTTCCATCAAATGCAAATGAACATGGAAAGTGAAGTGACCGAATGAGGAAAATTGGTAAATACATCAGCAAAATATTGGAGGTAAAACTAATTCGAAATCACATATTATACTTTCTCATTGTGCCTATAATTATCCACTCCACAAGTTTTTGAATGCATTTTAGTAGAAACAATTTTGATTAAAACGGAGGATTAAAGGAAGAGGCATATGCCCTTCCATTTAAAAAATTATACCTACATTCAGGAAATATTAAGTGTTCGTGAAAAACTGCAAAAATGATTCCCAACATGAATATATACAGCACACATGACATATGAGCACATTAGTTTGAATACCTACATAAAATTTTTCACCATTTCTCAACCATAAGGCTTAGTCTGAAATCAAAATGTATTTATTGATAGGTACTGCCTAAGAACAGTCCCATTTGCTAAAACGTTTTAAACTTTCAGAAAAATTTGTTCACTGCCTCACAAAGATCATGCTGGAGTTGAAAAATCAAAAACTCGAAAATTATCATCATCATTTGGATATAATATGTAGAGTTGAATGAGAAATCACATGTGAAAATTACGTATGATCAATATAACCTAAAAAACAACAAATGTCAGAAATCTAGTGCTTATCCCCAGGAATGAATAAAGATGGAACTATACAACTGTTTCACAAACACTTCCGAGTGAGAGGAGACGAAGATCTGTCCGTACCCTGTTAAGATGACATATATGTCAATTTACATCAAGGGACCCTAGTACTACCTAGATCTACTGACATTTGGGGATATTTGTATGATAAGTTTCTTGACTGATTTCCTTCATGCCTACGTACCCGAAAATAAGAATAAGAAGAGAGCTGTCAGTATGGTCTAACATCAACCCTTCGAAAATAATGTAAACACAATACATCTCAGTATGGTTTAAATCAGGTTTACCAACACTGTTGTCAGACTTAAGTTAACAATTTCTTGGAGAAATTAAAATATCTTATCAACTGTCAGCAACATTAGTCAGTTCATATACCGAGTCTTCAACAATGATTGAGTGCCACGTGATCATTTTTGATGCGGCGTCTCTTTTCCACTCACATTATATCAAATGTTAGGCAATTATTGTATAAGGCGTCAATAATATTGATAAAAATCTTCGTTAGAAAGAATCCTGCAATAAAAAACATTCTAGATTTATTGGATCTAAAATTTATAATAAAATACCATCAAAATTAAAACGCCTAAATATCATAATTAAAAGAAAAGTCAAGAGTTGACTTATAGAGAATTCAAAAAATATCAACTCTTTTCCTTTCCTTAATTTTATACTTACTTTTGTGTGAATTGATTATTTGGATTCAATTTGAGTATTGATATTGTGAAAAACATTTGTATACTTACATGAAATAATTCACATAAATACACATATTTAACACAGCTATATGCTGTAGTCTAACAAAAATTCCCCAGATCAACGAGATATTTCATCTTGAAAATTGAACAAAAAAATGGGGAAAAAAATTTATCACGCCACTTCAGGGATATTGAAATCTTAATGACTCACTTAATCACCTGAAGTTTTTATGACATTGGCATCTGAGTTGTTACAGCATTGCCGAATTTCTCATGGGCGAATACCTATTCAAATACCTAAAAAAAAGTCGGAAGTAACCAATTGGAGGTATATAATACTCATTGAAATGATAGTTTCAATTACGGCAAGAACATAATTCCTACCTACATTCTATCTATTTTATTTGATCTACTCATTGTAACCCATTTCAAGATATTTTGTTTACACTGAACTAGGTTTCCAAAAATAAGTAGCTATTTTATTTTTGTCTACGATTCAACAGAAAAATTCATATTACTCACTTATCAGACAAGTTCAAATCCATGGCAATGACCATAGGTATTCAGATTTTTAAGAATATTTTACATGTCTTCAGCCTCTATCATTTCTGATTTCTGATCATGAAATTTCATGTATTTTTCGGGATACCCAGGATGGGTAGATACATATTTCTAATGTTTCATAGATTTTCTTGAGAAAACGAAGAAATTTTGTTGAAATTCATTTTGTTTTCTGATTTTCCGTTAGAGCACTTATTGATTTTATTTTCCACTGGTCTTTTCAGTAGAGCACTGACATCATCATTTTAAAAATCTATTGGTTTTCAAATAATGCAATCTCAGTGGGAACAAGTTTATGGGTGTTTGATGCAGATGCAATCTATCAATCATCTGTCAACTAACTGAATTTTATCAAAAGGCAAATTGATTTTTTAGGTAATATGGATAACAAAGTACATCTTTATGAGTTGAAAGGAAACGATCTCAGTCCATTGATGGAGTTGGACCATCTGGGCGCGGTGACGGATGTAGCCTATTCACCAGACGATAAACATCTTGTTGCTTGCGATGCTCATAGGAAAGTTGTCCTTTATAGTACTGAGGAATACAAGGTATGTTAAGGTGGCTTCATGCACTACCTAATTAAATACTAATTCAACCCAATTTAATTTAGCTCTAAGAATCAGAATTGAGTCTATACATAACATTATTCATAAATTTCTGCATGTCATTTATTTATTTATTTATTTATTTCAGTTATTGTGTTACATTTTTTTCTTCATTGATACATACAAATAATATATAAATTATAATTAATTTTGAAATAGGAATGATATGAGTCATAATATTATAAGTGTCATAATATAATAATATGACAGAAGGACAATTTCGAATCTTATACACTTGAGCTCAACTGTTCATCTGTGTTTTATTTTCGGAAAATGAGTTTCTTCACATCAGTTGTAACAATAATATACCATAAAAAATTCGCAGTGCATACTTTAATAAGGAGATACAGGGTTAGGATCCTACTTCTGTTTCTTTGTTTTCTCGAGCATTTTGTGGTATTTTTTGGAAAACCCATTCCATTTCCACATTCTGTGGAATACCTATTGACATGAATAACACAACAGCATATTTGCTTAGAGATTTAAGAAAAAGATACAAGTTGGCCAACTTCTCAAGTCTTTAAATTATCCTCAAATCAACTTCATGAACTGATATATTGAAAACGCAAGATTCAACTTCTTGAGCTTAGTGTTGAATTGAATTCATGCTTAATTAGGTTGTGCATGAATCCATGCAGAACTTGTAAGTTTGAATGCTATTTATTTTGAAGTGGAATTAATTGCACTTATATTGATTGAATATTGAACTGATGAAATATTTTGCACCAGTTTTCACTGTTTACATTATGATATCAGACATTTCACAAAGATATTTTCTAGCAAGTTCGAAATTATAATTATACAAGTTCAGTTTCTTTTTAAATTGGCATCATTTCTTCCAACGCTGCTTGGATTTTCAGTCGGTGAGTATTAATATTCTAATCAACATACAGGGCCTATTTTTGATTTAGTTGGGCTTGAAGGCCCAAGCAAAACTTCCGGGCCCCCAATGACTCTCCATCAAAAAATGTTTTGCTTACCTCCGACACCTTCAGTTTTGTGTTGATTTTCATGATAAAAATAGTTTCATGAACATTTTGTTTTCAATTAATTAAATGAAAAATAATGATAATATTTTAACAATAATAAAACTAAAATAACTTCACAGCAAAAAATAATATGTATGCATATGATCATCGTTTCATCATTAAAATTGAAACATAGTGTTTCTGAAGTTTTGCAACATGCTGATGGCGGCATAAACAAAAAGGCCGTTTCAATTTTTATTGGTCAGAAATGGTCAGAATTTAGTGACGTGTTGAATTATACAGGGTGTATCTAAATAACACCTAAAAAATTGAAGTAGTGATTCTGTGATGAAGATATTTTGCCCTAAGTTTCTTTTAAAATCTCATGGCAAGTGCTTAATTTATCGAAACAACTTTTTTTTTTTGAAGAAACATTTTCTTGAAAATAGGTGTAAGAACAAATATTTATTGAATTTATCATCTTTATATAAACTAAAAATTTGTATTTATTCATTTGTGAGAAAAAAAAATATCCAACTTGAACTTTACTGAAGCAAATGCAATTTATACTCATGAAACGAGTCATGACAGTAGTCATGACAGTTTGATTAATTAATAGCAATTCCATGTAACTCTATTATCGGCAAACAATCAATATTCTACAATGGAATCATTTTATATAATTCATTACCTTATGAACAGTAACATATTGATGATGAAACAAGATTCTTACTTGAATACTTGAATTGATTTTGTTTCAATTATTATTATGGCATAACTTGTTGATCAGATGTTTTTTTTACTTGTTATACAGGGTGTCCCTAAAAGGTCTTTATAAAAACTTATCACATATTCCTTAGAATATGTGAAAGATGTGAATTTAGATTTCACACTCTCAGTAACATCAAGAAAAGACTGAAGCTTATTATTTTTACAGTTTATTAGGTTCTTGCACACTGAAATCTGGCCATGTCATCTTGATTCTCTTCTGGTCATATAACGTACCACATTACTTTTTGCCTATTGTTAATTTTATTGTTTTCGCTAAAATATATCAAAAACTTTATTGTTTCTTTCCGTTCATTTCTTTCGGGTTGAGTTAAGAAACAGCCTTATGCTAATACTTCGCCTATTCGTCATTGCAGTTGAGTCTGAATGTGTATGATATTTTGTTTATTGCTGTCCTGCAAATGATGAGTAAAGACGTATTATTATTATTATCATTATTATTATTATCCCTCAGACCAAAATCGTGCGATACGAGCAAACTTACCTCAGTTCAAAGTTGCTTAGTTTGGGCGCTAGACGGCTCTGTAGTTACAATTTTCAAATCGTTCTTGTGTGGAGGTGGCGGAGACGAAGACTATACGAAGACCTTTGCGATGTTGCTATTCAAATGCCCTATATGTAATGATTTGATAAACGGCCTGTATATTTGTGAACGGAAGAGAAAGATATTCCACTAGCGTTGAAAAAATACAGGGCATTCCATACTCTTTTTTTTTTCATTTTGCGATTGGCATCTGTTTGTTTAAGGAGTGCCAAAAGATGAAACCCTACAAGTTTTTTCCACCTCGTATAGTTGAAGCTGTAGGTAGAAAAAGAACGATCAATTTGAAATAACATTGATCTGTGAAATTTATCAATTATTAATGACATTCTTGCTCCAAGCAAAATGAAAAAGTGTTTGCGTTTATTATTCTACTATACAGTGTGAAAACCTATGATGGAATAAATTCCTTTTCTCTATACAGTGAGGACGTAAAAAGTCCTCCCCCCCCCTTATCTTTTGAACGGAAAAAGCTATCGAGGTCGGGTAAAATAAATTCAGGTAAAAAGGTGCTACTTTTACTACTTTTTGGCATAAAAATGATTGTGGTCACGTGGCCTAGTGTCAAGAGGGTACCATCAACTTTTTTTTTTTCAAATGTAAAAGGGGATCACGTGGCACCTGGTTTTGAAGGCCTTCCGATTCTCTATCCACCACCGCTGTGTTTGTGAAAATCGACCAAGCCGTTTCAAACTGACAAGTGTTTGAAATTTGCTTCAAAAATTTTACAAATAAATTAAAAACCTAAATAACTTTTAATTGCAACAAAATTTTAATCAACAATTTCAACTATTTTAACAAGTGCTCGAAATGTTCACCGTTCACTTCTTGACAGAAAAAAAGTCGGTTTTGGAATTCATTCCGAACTTTATTAAATGTTTCCGGGGTAATACTGTAACACACATATGTTATTCGGTCCATAAGTTCCTGGAGTGACTGTGGCTGCGTGACGTATACCTTAGATTTTATGTACCCCCACAGAAAAAAGTCCATAGGTGTCATATCAGGTGACCTAGCTGGCCATTCAATGGGGCCACGTCGGCCTATCCACCGTCCTGGAAAATGCTCGTTAAGCCATTCTCGGACAGGTCTGTAGTAGTGAGGGGTGCACCATCTTGTTGAAAGGTAATATTCATGGTAAACTCATTTGGGTTTGCTCGAACTACTTCTTGAATACTGTGATGGATCTGATTTTGAAGCATATTTAAATACAGATGCCCAGTTGAATTTTCTGCCATAAATATTGGACCTATGATATGGTCACCCAAAATACCAGCCCATACGTTGATCTTCTCTGGAGTTTGAGTATGACCCTCTCGAAAAACGTGCGGATTTACGTCTGACCAATAACGCACATTCTGTCTATTTACCGTTCCATTTAGAAAAAACGTACTTTCATCACTTAAACAAATAGAGTTAATGTAACCAGGATTGCGGTCAGACATGACCTCACAAAACTGCAGTCTTCTATCCGGGTCGTCTTCTGTTAATTGATGCAGAATTTTCAATTTATATGGGTGAAATTTGTGTTTTTTAAGATATTTTTTTCACAGTGGTCGTAGATACGCCACAATCCATGGCTACCGTTTTCATTGTTTGTTGCGGATTATTAACAACAGCTGCCAGAACGTCGATTTGATGAGATTTTCTTCCAGATCCTTTTTCTCTCGTTACGCAACCAGTCCTTTGAAATTTACTGACCGATTCTCTTAAGTATGTACGAGATATTGGATTATTTGGGAAGCGCTCATTGAATATTCTTTCTGCTTCATGGTAATTTCGCCTAACTTCAGCGTAAATTAAAATAGCTTCGGTTTTTTCTTCTAAAGGACGAGGACGAGGCATTTGAAAATTATAAAAACAAGCTTAAACCTATGAGAACTATCAAAAGTATCGATATGATTAACGTCAATATTAGACTGGCATTGAAATGAAATGATATTTGGAGTCTCCAGCAAAATAAATAAGGCAAAAAAAACTGGAACAAAAACCACATTTTAAAATACCAATAATATGCGCACCTGTCTTACCACAAAAAATTGACTCTTCGACCATAATCAGTGACGGAGTTGAAATTCTGCTGCAATTAATAGTTGAAATAATTTCTTTGTGAAATTTTTGAAGCAAATTTCAATAGCTTGTCAGTTTGAAACGGCTTGGTCGATTTTCACAAACACAGCGGTGTTGGATAGAGAATCGGAAGGCCTTCAAAACCAGGTGCCACGTGACCCCCTTTTACATTTAAAAAAAAAAGTTGATGGTACCCTCTTGACACTAGGCCACGTGACCACAATCATTTTTATGCCAAAGAGTAGTAAAAGTAGTACCTTTTTACCTGAATTTCACCCGACCTCGATAGCTTCTTCCGTTCAAAAGATAAGAGGGGGGAGGACTTTTTACGTCCTCACTGTATTATGTTTTCATGATGTAGAATTATAAAAAACATATAATTTCACAAAATATCACATCTGAAATTCAACATTAAACTGATTCACCACTAACCAAACTAATTTTGTCGACACATGTTTAAAAATATATCGATAAAAGTAAAACAACTATTGCAGCAAATCAAGTTCTAGTTTAACAAGGAATGAAACATTAAGTTTATCAACAGGGATCAACAGGTATTTCCAACCGATATAACCCAGAGATGTTTTTGTTTGATCTGCTCATACAGCGGTTGATATTTCAGTTTCACTATGAACTTCAAACAGCGCCATTAATACCTTTTTCAACTCATTTCAGCTTGCCAATAACAAAGAATGGGGTTTCCACAATGCTCGTGTCAATTGTGTAGCATGGTCTCCAGACTCTCAGCTGGTTGCTAGTGGTAGTCTTGATACCAGCATCATCATCTGGCACGTTGAAAAACCGGCCAAACATATTATTATTAAAAGTAAGTGTATCATAAGGTGCTTAACTTTGTTGACTTGACTTTTGGCACAGGCAGTGTTGCCACAAGCTATTTTTTTCATCAAGGTAGATGCATCAATCAAAAGTTGCTGATATTGACGTACCTACTTATGATTGTCGTATTTCCCACACATACATTATATGGGATGATTTGCGTAGACCACACTAACTTGCAGTTGAATACAAAAATTGGTGATTGGCATACAATCATATTATATCATTTCCATTCGACTTGGAATAATGTAAGGATGTATCAAAAGTGGAAACAAACTTCCTTATTTTGATTAGAAACCTACATTTTTTTAGACGGTTCAATTGGCCATCTGATATGTCTTTATTTTTCTGAAAATAATTACCGCCATAGTAGTTCACGAAAACACTTGTTATGTCCCATCCATGGTCTCGTTGTACCATATGGGCCCAGGCGATTTACAAATGTCGCATCGAAAAATTGACGGATACTCAACATTTTCAATTGGCATCTACCTACTATTTTCTTGACACCAAAATCGAAATTGAAGATGAGTTACTTAGCATTCCCTGTACTCAGCTCAAAACCCCATGCATCGAGTTATTTAATGAAAATCAAGAATTAGTGCAAGTAGAAGAGAAGTGTAATATCAAAGAAGGGAGGAGAGAAAAAAACCGTCTGACCGCCGTCAGCCAATCAGTCTGTCAAATGTTGCCAAGGGTATACTTATCGTGTATCGCGGGAGATTCAATAAACCTCAAATTCGTTCATTTCTTGAATTTTTATTTTACATTATTTTGCCTAATATCTGTAGCGAGGTAGATTTGCTTGAGGAGAGCGAGAGGGTGAAATTATATTCCAACACCTACCTCTTCTCCCTATCCTCCCTAGGTAGGCACATTAACATTATAGAGATTCTCTTTCGTGCGCACCAAGCAATAAAAAAAACTATCCCGTACGGAGGAGCTGTGGCAACGCTGGATATAGGGTATTGATTCTATGAAATGATTAAATTCAATAATTTCAACACAACCTAAAGATAATGAAGATATTTGAAATTCAACAATGTTGGGATGTAGTTTCTTCATATCATTGTCCTGTAAACCTGATTTTCTCATAAGACAATTTCGAATTTTGAAACACAAACGAATATATAGGATGTCCCATTCAGAATAAGGAGGTTGATGTGAGTATCAGAAAAACAGAGAAGGTAGCAACAATGGCGTCATATTTGAATTGAACATATACAGTGTGTCCCAGATTCGCTTCTCTATACAGGGATCTCGGCTCCTATTATACCTACAGCAGAGGTTAAATGGGGAAAGTTTTAGAGGAATCTTAGTGCATTCGATAACCGGCATCAGATTTACGATCGGATAATTGGTTTTGGAAATATCGGCAAAAAACCGAAAATGACGGATTTCGTTTTTCGCCAGTAAAACCGAAACGGTTAATTTGACAGCTGTCAACATGTCACAGTATCTGGACACTTTTTTAAGACGAATGAGATAACATGTATGACATGTCACGATCGTATTTCGTTATCCCGCAAGCCGCCTCAACTTTCATTTTTCTCATGGCCGCCATATTGGAATTTTCGATTTTTGGAAAGAGCGTAAAATTTCCAGTCTAGTGATGTCTCACAAGTGCATAAAAGTTTTGAGTTTCATCGAAATATCACACTTCGTAAAGTTACGTCTTGATTTTTTCTATGGAGGCCATAGTGGAAGGAGAAGATGGTGTGCTCAACAGAAAGCTCAAACTCGTCTCATTCTGCGCATGACGTCAGCTGGGATATAACTGTCATTGTTATTATTTGTTTTCATGATTGATGTCTCGAACTTCAGATATTATATAAGTACTAAAATTGAATGAAATAATTTCGAAATGCCTACTTGTTTCGTTTCTGATTATGGAAATTCCAACTAACATACAATTCAAAAGGCACATATATTGATTTTTTCTGCTTTCCCAAGAATGGAGACCTAATGAAACGATGGGAGCTTGCTGCCGACAGAATATAAACTCAAATAATGGTACCTACCATATATTTCTCATATCCTCATTCCAAAGTACTATTCACCTATCATATTATCATCACATTCATATTACAGCATAAGTTCAGAAATAATTGAAAATGAATTCAAAACTATTAATTTCTCACGAAATATAAATTGCAGCAAGGATTTGAATAACAAAACGGCAAAAATTGATACTCCTGTTGTCGATGTCGGAGCAGAAGCAATGTCAACGTCGTTAACTGCTGAATTTTAATCTGTCAGAATCGACACAATATACAGTAGTGGATCATTCAGATGGGATTGGCAATGCATGATAATTCGTATGTATTTGCTATTTGCGATTGCGAATTACCTCAAAATCACAATTTCCATAATCAATGAAATATTAAAATCGAAGGAATAAGTACCTGTTTATATGAAATGAATTATTTCTAAACAGATCGAGAAACTCATAGAAATTTCAATAAACATGATTGAATTCATTGCGCACGCCCATGGCAACGGTATCTGTCTGTGACTAGCAGCTGATATTGGTATCCCAGATGACGTCACATTATATGCGCGTAGGCACACCATCTTCTCCTTCCACTATGATGGAGGCCATAATTTACTTGTCAGAAAATAACACGCATAAACGAATTGAGTTTTCAATAGAACATGATCGTAAATAACGACTTCTCAACAAGTAAGATATTTTGGGACAAATTCCCAACTATGGGTGTTTAAAAAAAACAAGTCAGAAAAATCATCGTCAATAATTAACACTTGAACCTTTGAACAACCTTAAAAAAAACAAGTCAGAACAATCATCGTCAATAATTAACACTTGAACCTTTGAACAACCTACAAGTAGATACAAATTGAAAATGAAAATCGCAACTGCTTTTTAAATGAGTGTTAATTTACAGATTTGCAAAATGACGTCCATTTGCATCGAGACATTGACAATTGGTGACTGTTTTTCTTACAACCCTAGCAAGTGTATTCCCGTTAATATTTCCAAATGTGTCCAGAACTCTTTGTCTCAGGATTTCTATGGTCGCGGGAGGATCAAATTCATAGACCTCATTCTTTGTATGACCCCAGAGGTAGAAATCCGAAGGTGAGAGGTCAGGGGATCTAGGGGGCCAAGATATTGGACCATTTAAAGAAATAATTATTATTATTTCGTCAAATTGCTCTCTTAAGAAGTTCCTGACTTGAATGGTGTTGTGAGCCGGACATCCATCCTGTTGATGGTCCTAGGTTATTCTAAACTCATCTTCGGTTATAGTAGCTCGTAAAGCCGGCACAACCTGGTTTAGCAAAAGCTCTAGGTACCTCTGTCCGTGTAGGTTGTGTTCAAACACAAATGGTCCTATAAGTCGATTTCCTGAAATGATTAATATTTTGTAACTGGTGGCGTGGCACATAAAATATCCAAAAACCAGGTAAGACTATTCATGAAACGAAAGGAATCCTGAATATTTTGTGTGTGGACGAATGTTTCAATGGAACATCTATATTTTATTGCATGTTGAAAAAGTTGTCTCCTGTGATTTGAAAATTAAATATTCAGCTCAAGTCAGTTTATAGAGTAGGGCAATGGACTGATAATGATAATCCAATAATTACAGAGTGTGTGTGTGATTTAAGTGTACTATTAGTTCATTACATATTCATAAATCATGCAATTCTTCATTTCTTGTCTAGAATTGGAAAAGCCAAAGGAAACAAATAGTACATGACAATTGAAACAAAATATGTTTTCTTGGGTCTACCATCACACTGTTTTGACCTTGAAAGGCAACCAAGGTTTTGTATTTCATCAGTTTTATACTTATTTTCAGATGCTCATGCTCAAAGCCAAATAACTAGACTGTCCTGGGTAGATAATAATACCGTAGTTTCTGTAGGTCAAGACTGCAACACCAAATTATGGACTATCACTCCATTTTAGTATTTTTTCGTTACTTTTATTTATATTTTATTCATTTATTTATTGTGCATTCATTTTTTCGCATTTAACCTATATCATGTGATTATTGATTTCTTTTTTAATTTATATCAAATGCGTTTATATTATTAAATTGTTTATGGAACAGGGTCTACGAACAAAAAACGAATTTTGTGATTCGCACGGGGGTGTTTGCTTTCAAGCTAACAGGAGAATTTCAGTAAATCATTTACGTCAGTGTTTCAGTTCACTGTAGGTATTGAATAGAACAGAAGCATTTCCATAAAGAAATAGACGTTTTTGTTTTGTTTTTCATAAAGATTAAAAATATATATAATGACATTGTTTAATTGGTCTGTTATGTGAAGTAGAAAATAAATCGAGTACCACGCAAACATCCCCATAATATTATTCAAAGTAGTCTATACATTTTTGAAGTGAGGCAAGTATTTTTATTAACAATTATTATGACTGCGTACTTCATCAACTAGTATGTGTATATTTTCTAAAGTTTGTATGTTTTAGGGAGTGTTAAATTGAATTTATTATTATGAAAATGCTTTATATTATCTACAAATTAAACCACAAATTCTTGTAAAAATATTTATTTTTCAACCTAAAATAGAAATCCTAGGTATGGCAATGACCGTATTGTATTAAAACAAAGAGTTTTTATTTACAATATCCTGTCCTAGTCCGATGGACGATAACGCTTCGCTCTCCGTGGGCGAATGGCGAATGCTATACAAACGCGAGGCGAAAATACCACGAAAAACATTGTCGTGTCCTACGTGAACGAATTTACGCGGCAAGCAACGAACATATATGGCAAACTTCATTGGAAAATGGGGAATCTCTAGCTGTAGCGTTAGATATATATCGAAGGCATTCAACCGTGTTTGGCACCAAGGACTGCTCCACAAACTACCATCATACGGCTTACCACCTCAGCTATGTCATCTTTTATCGAGTTTTTTTCAGGCGGATCCATGTGGTGGTGGACAGAGTATCGTCTGATACCATTGCCATCAATTCCGGCGCTCCACAAGGATCAATTTTGGCACCAACATTGTTCCTACTTGCAGCAACCACTTTTCCTATCCACAGCTTTGCAAACGATAGTACTCTCAATACTGCATTCTCTTCTAGAATTCCAATTTCTTCCCAGGAAACTAAGAACGACGTAGGCAGGACAACGCTGTCAATGAAGATCTTGCGGAAATGACAGCCTGGGGAACCAACAACCTAGTTTAATTCAACGACATCAAAACTCTATCTACTTAACACCTCAACAGCTTCTCATGATCTACAAAGCACAGATACGGCCAGCACCCAAACCTACGCTGATGGTCTCAGATTCCATCCAGAAAAGAGCCATTTGCCTGGTGGCTGATGCCACACTCACCAACTCTTTGACTCCATTAGAACACCGTAGAAAAGTCGGTGACCTTTCACTTTTATATAGATACTCCACGGGAAATGTTCCTCAGAAATCTCTGCTATAATTCCATCAATAGCAATACCAGTCAGACGAACTCGGCAGGCCCAGTCAGCACATCCCTTCGTCGTTAAACTTGCAAAATGCCTAACAGCACTCTACCAAAACTCGTTCGTCTATAGAACGGCGAAACTTTGGAATTCTTTGCCAATGGAAGTATTCCCAAGAACATTATCTCCAAAAGTTAAAAAAAAAAATCAAAAACCTACCTCCTCTCCCTATCCTCCCTAGGTAAGCACGAAATTCCACGAACATTATAGGAATTTCCTTCCGTGCGCTCCAAAAGATAAAAAAACAGGCGAAGCGGTGAGCACTTTTCTACCTCGAACGAGAGAGAACAGAGTTTTTCTTTGTCTAACATCTAGTCTACGCCATTGAGCGATTTTCGATGTTATAATAATGTGATATGTCTGTCATGAATGTCATTGATTGTCATTGATTGATAACTTTTCGAGTTTTTCGAATAAAATTTCAAATTATATCCTGATATCATACTCATATTGATATAATTTGTTAATATCGTTTAATTTGACACTGCTGAATTCAAAAATAGTTCAGTGACACAAACTAGATGTTAGACAAAGAAATATTTACCGGATATCTCTATATATTAGTGCGGCCACGTTGGTAGCATTGAAGAGAAAGATGGAAGAGGAGAGAACTTTCCTCTCTCTCGCGTTCAAGTTGAAAAAGAGCTCAATTGTATTGATATATTTGCGCGGTTGACGCCCGATGATGATAAAATTCTCCGTGCTTGTGTTTTTGTAGATATATAATGTTGGTTTCACTTCTTTGAGATCGATATTTCTTCAGGAATTTGTATTAATACAAATTCTTATATTTATACAAATTCGAGAACGCGAATATGGCGCGGAGTTCGAGTTCAGTAGCGCCTGGCCATGAATTTTAGAATGTTGGGAAGAGTGCAGCGTTGCTAGCTATCGTTTCTTCGTTCGAATAATACTAGCGCGCCTAGGGTCCCTTGATGGAAATGGACGTTAAAGTCATCATAACAGGGTACGGACAGATCATAGCTGCATTCTTTTTTAATGATCTAGAGATTTTAGTTTTGTCTACTGGTATACCTGACATCGCTGTCACGTCACATCCATGGGCGCTTCAGAAAATCATACAAAATTTTAATTATAGTTATGTACAGGGTATTTACTTGTTGAGGAAGATCATATGGCGAACGAGTTTTGTAATCATGATCCTATTCTATTCAAAACTGGAAGGTATGTGGGTTGTGGGTTTCCGGGGTCGGAGATGATGATTGTTTCGTCAAACTTGGAAAATTCAAGATGACGGATCCAATATATAGCAAACAAAATTTCTAATTATGATAAGATTGGTATCTGAGGGTTTTCGGGGTCGAACTTCATGATTTTTTTGTCAAAATTGGGAAATTCAAGATAGCGGATCCAATATGGCGAACGAAACTTGTAATTATGATCCGATTCTATTCAAAAAATCAAAATTGGTATCTGGGGATTTCCGGAGTCGGAGATTATAATTATTTCGTCAAAATTGGGATATTCAAGATGGCGGATCCAATATGGTGGATTAGTTTTGTAAGATCCGATTCTATTCAAAATTGATATCTGATGGGGGTTTTCGGGGTAGGAGATAATGATTCGTCAAAAATTGAAACATTCAAGATGACGGATCCAATATGCAAGAGTGAAAATAACGTGCCTATAAGTTATACTGCGTATACTTAACGTATACCTACTTCTTTGTTACTTTCATCAATAAATTATTCGAAAATGACTCTCTATTCAAAAGAGACGTAAAAGTCATATGTATAACTTGGTGGTGAAGTATATTCTATTCTTTATTTTCCTGCACATTTTACGTATTAATTTTTATCAGCCTACTTTTCGTCCTAGACGAAGTCTTTTACATAGTTTGATATTGGTAACTCCATGAATTCTTCTCCGAGTTCTATTTCTGAAAATACATTTAGCACACATGATATGAGTACAGATACCCACATCGAGGTTTCCACCATTTCTCAATCATAAGGCTCAGCTCATTCAGCTCATAGGTAAACTACTGCTCAGTTTGAAATCAGAATTTATTCAGTCAATTCGCAGTCGACCCTGGTATACAGTCTAAGAACAGTCTCTTTTGGTGAAATATATTGAGCTTTCAGTACAATTTATATATTCCCTAAATCGCAAAGATTATGCTGGAGTAGTAAACTCTAAAACTAGAGGATTGTTCAGCTATATCTTGGTATAGCTGAATCAGAAATTACGTATGATACGCCAGTGACCTCAATATAACCTAAAAAACAACGAATGTCAAAAATCTAGTGTTTATCCCCAGAATTGAATAAGGATGGAACTATATAACTGTTTCACAAACACTTTAGAGTGAGAGGAGTCGAGGATCTGTCCGTACCCTGTTATGATGACTTTAACGTCAATTTCCATCAAGGGACCCTAAGCGCGCCTATAGAGACAGGAGGTAACAAATATAATCAGCGCGGCAAGTGCGGGTACAACGACTAAATTCTTTCTTCATACCCTACCACAGTTACTACGACTCGTGGCGTAGTTGACTGTGCGTTTGAATCTCACGGCGACCCGGGGTCAATGCCTGCGACTGTCGGGATTTTTTAATTCTGTTTTCTCAAGTGATTTTCCAAAAAATATAATTTTTAAGGGGAAGGTTCATGCAGGCCGATTAAGGTTAGATGGGTTGAAAAAAGTAGTGTCGTTTTTTATGCAGGGGGGATATTTTCCTTCTTTCCTGAAACAATTACTGTCTTTTTAGGAAGAAGGTTCATTTAGGCCGAGTAGAGTTGAATGGTTTGAAAAAAGTAGTGTCCTTTGTATGCAGGATGGATGTTCTCCTTCCATCCTGAAAAAAGTACTGCGGAGGCATAGTGTTGAGAAAAAGTTGACATAACATTAGTCTTTTTTCACTTCCATGTGAATTCATGAAAATGCTATATTCTTCTTTTTGTGTTATCCTCTATCAGTTCAAGATCATAAGAGTACCTTCTTCCTCGAGTTAAAGAAAATCTGCGTAATCCGGCAACCTTGATTTGACTGACAAGGTCTCCAACACTATTCCATGTTATGACGCAGACTCCGCAGACGAACGTATAGAGTTCGTCCACCTAGGACGGCGCGTTCATTTATTCATGATACATATGTATACTAGGACGGCGCGTTCATTTATTCATGATACATATGTATACATGTTAAAATTGGTGTTTGATTTCGTGAGTGAGGAATATACATGGTGTCCGGAGATAAAACCGTTAAAACTCATGGGGTTATAGGGACTGCCAATATGATTGCAATATGCAAATGTCCCAAACCGCTTCGTTACTGACATACAGAGTGATTTGTGTACATGTTAAAATTGGTGTTTGATTTTGTGATTGAGGAATATACATAGTGTCCAGAGATAAAACCGACAAAACTCATGGGGTTATAGGGACTGCGAATATGATTGCAATATGCAAATGTCCAAAAGAGTGATTTGTGGATTTTGACAAGAATTCTTTCTGTCATATTAAATACAGAGATTACCCGATTAGGTTCAAATTTGATACATAAATTGAACTCAAAGGCTTCAACGAGTAGCCTTCTAAACGAAACCAATATCAGGACCGGAATATTATTTTTTCCTATGCTGAGTTATTATGAGAATAACTCACCCTGTATAATCATTATCATAAATCTGAGGTCATATTATGAATCTACGGGAAAAATACTATGGGAACTTGGTGAGAAAGTTTCTGGCACAATTGTTGCTATTGTCTTTGATTACATGGTAGTAATCCCTAACAACACCAGTACATCCTAGGGACTTCTCAGGGACGTCCCATGGATGTCCTTTGTCGGGACAACGTACATACTAGGGATGTCCCAGGGACACCGCTGGCCACCAAAAAAGGCATCCAAGGGATGTCCTGGTACGTCCCTGGGATGTACGTACCAAGTTCGAAGAAAGGATATCCCTAGGACGTCCCAAGGATATCCCAGGGACATCCCTTTGACAAAAGGGATTGAACCCGGGACCTTCAGCTTATCATGCACGCACCTTGCTCCATTGGCTATTATGCCTCCTAAAGATTCATGTGCTACACAGATTTATAAACGGGACTCAACTACAGAAACCTGAATAAATACAAGTTTGTTAGGATTTGGGTATAATTATTATCATTCTTGGATGTTTAAAAATGAGTGGCATTATGAATGCACGATTTCTGTTTGCAAAAAATCGTCATTTCTTAAGAAGTTCTGAGACTTTATTCCTTATTTTCATCACAATTATTTTCCGGAAGAAAACAAACATTTTCAAAAAAATTCAACTCAATAGTTTGATGAAATTCAATGACTGATGTGAATGGATATCAGATATTCCAGGGACACGAATAGGATATCCTAGGGATGTACCGGGCGGGATGTTCACTGGACAACCACTGCGGGACATCCCCTAGATGCCCCAATCATGTCCTTGTACCGCGGGACTAAAAAGGGACGTACTTAGGACATCCCTGTGTTGTTAGGGATGTTTTATGAATTACTCTCATAACCTGAAAAACTGAAGAATTAATTCGTATCAGGGCCGGAATGAGTATTTTTTATGTTTTTGTAAGTATAACTGACCTAGATAACAATCATCATTTATCTGATCGTAGATTCGGAATAACTGAAAAAACAGTTTAGAAACTTGTACTAGGAAAAATATTTTTTCGAATTAATTTTTTTTATGTTCATTACAAACGATTATTGTTTGTTGTGTTGTATTTTTGTCAATTCAAATTCATTAGTAAAAGCAAATATAATTACGAAAAATTTAGTCCAGTCCGTTTACACTAAGTTCCTACACGATTTTTTTGGTTGATTCCGATACCAATTCTTAAAGTGATAGATACGTTCAAAAATGTTTATAAACTTCGAGAAAATCCAATTTTTATTCTTTGAATTAACCACCCTGGATCTCGGAAATGGAGCCATTTCGAACTGAGGTAAGTTGCTTCAAATCGGCTTATTTAGACCTCAGGAATATGTGCTGAGATTTTTTAGAGACATTTTAGATACACCCTGTACTTACAAGAACATGAAAAAGAGTCTTTTCGGTCCTGATATGTATTCTTTAGTTTTTTTAGGTGACGAGAGTGATTTACAAAATATTTCTACGAAGTAATGGAAGAGGATAACAACAATATTATGTCTTGGTTTCGTAAATATTCATCATATTTCCATTTCTGAAATTTTAGCCGACAATTGATGAAAAAAGTTAAAATACCTGGAATATATGGATCATATCAGAATAAGATGGCTTGCCCTGATTCAACTACGTAAAAAGATATAACATGACGGTAGGTACTATATTTACTTTATTACTTTATTTGAAAAATTGTGAATATGATATTTAATTTGACACACACATGCGAAAACACCATGAATGTATAGTACTGTTCTGTATTTGTTTTGTTTCCTCACTGTATTAGGTATTGAAATAATGTGTTGCCAATCAGATCATCAACACCATCTACTGTGACCATAGGTGGAAAATTTTCCGTTGCTCAATTCACAGATATGAAATGTGACGAGGACATGTTGTGTTGCTCCATTCAAACAATCTGATAAGAGTGATAAGCCATCACACGATCTTCAACCGGAATATGTAAAAATGTAGATTTTTTAAGTAAGAGTTATGTTTTGTTGCTTATAATTTAAAATTCTGGCGGACTAATTTTCATTAACCGATGGTTTCTGAAAAAAGCAGGTTACAACTTCAAAAGGGCCTCAGCTGCTAGTACACCTTGAAGGTCTGGGCGGTAATTTCTTTGTGGATCGGTTGACTGATGCAGCTGCGGTCAAGTCTATTTTTGATAGTGTTCATAGAAAATACATGATACATATAACACCTAAGTGAATTCATTTTTTACCCATAGAATTTGCTGAATATCAACTAAGGTCAATCTTTCCTACTCAATGAAAGTGCAATTTTTTTCGCTCATTCCATAAATGGTAATGTTGAAAATTTTACAAACGATAAGATTTTCACCACAAAATTCTTTACACAACATGTTTCGCTAACACAGAATGGATCTTGCCCTAATGCCTTGAATATAAACGCTTACAAAATGATCCACCTCCATGTAAAATGTTGAAGCCAAATTTGGCCTTAGTTCTTGGCTGGTTCGTAGGCCGCGCTAGCGAAACTAAGCAAAATATGGCCGATTTGTCTATGCTCTCGAAATCTGCTCGAATCTATTTATCTGCAAGTTGCTGAACTATCTAGAAATATCCTTTCTGAAGCAGGAAAATCACTACTCTGATATTCTGAAGGCTTTTAAATAAAAATATTTCAATCCGGCCCTGATGCGACATACCTTCTTGTATATGAACATCTAAAAATAAACATGGCATTTCTGGATTCATCTTGTTAGTGTAAAAAAATCAAGGGCTAAGGTCGTTACCCCCGATACTAACAAGGCCTGAAGGCTCGTAGTGAACAGCTCGTGACGTCAGCTAACTGAGGCCACTAACGGTAAGGTACTTCATCAATTCTGTCACACCAAATTTCAATGTGGATATTGAGAGCGGGCAGGGAATTCCAATCTTATAGGTTTTTAAGTAGGTATACATAAGCTAGGGAAGTCAATGTTAGGTTATTTAATTGTGAAAGTGATTCACTTGAAGAATGTGTTTGCTAAACTGGTGTTTTTAAGAATTAAGTGGAAATCTCAAAGTTTGTGAAGTTGTCTACATTCACTAAGGATCTTTATGAAGTAACGGAGAAGTCCATCCAAAATGAATGATTATGTTTCAGTACAAATGATAGAAACAATTTCTTAGGTAGTATTTATTTATTCTAACATTTTTTATACTTTCGTCAACTGTTTGCTTTCTTTCGTTTTCGTGTTTGATATTCTTCAGGGTGTCTATAAGAAACGTGTTTTCGCAAAGCATCTCTACTTCGAGAGACATGCGTACAAGAATGGCAGGCGTGAAAAGCTTCTTCGTGCGTCTCCATATGGACTCTGAGGTTGTACTGATTACTGAGATATTTGCCACATAGAAAGCATTTGCAAGTTTCGGAACTGTCCCTCGTTGAAATTTTCCTTGCGAACGAGTATGGTTCGTCTTCAAATTTCATAGGAATGGTTTCTTTTGTATCTGAAAATATAAATTAATATGTTGAGTTTTGACGACATGGTGTGTGATTTTACTTAAAACTGTCAATACGGTAGAATGAGAATACTTGGAACTGCGGAGTAAATTGGAACAAAACTTCATACTATCAAATTACCCTCTGAAATCTACAGCTGGTTGCATTTTAAAACATCGTATCATGCATATTTATTCAGTATGGTTATATTGGTACGACTCGATTAAAAATAAGTGGCGTTTGAAAATTGTTCCCTCCATCCACCACCCCACAACAACCTTCTTTACTCCTCACCAACATCACCGAGTTCATTTTTGAAATTTGTTTGCTAAATGAGATTTTACTGGTCGCCTATATGCTGTTAGGAATTATACTCAAGAGATTTTTTGTATTTTTGATTAAATGCATTCATAACAATGCTAGGTTATAATGTATACTCTTTGAAGTAATTTATTTATTGTATTACTCAATCACAAAACTGATTCCGGATTGATTTTGATAACAGTAAAATAAATACTTATGAACCCAGTGTGCTCATACGAGTCGATACATTGACTACAACGAGACTTTAGTTTTCCTTTTCCAAGTTTTCAAATCTGCGGGTAACTTGGAACATCGATATTTTTTTCAAATATCTTCCTAACGACTGAACCGGCGAAGATGAATATTTGTATAATTATAGTACATCAACTCATACATCTTTTAGGATAGGGAAGATTCCCTACCATGAACAATAACTTTGCCACGTCTGTTTGTATCTGAAAAATGTTCCAAGTATCCCCATTCTATTTTCTCTAAAATTCGACAATCAAAAATTACGCAAATGCAAATATCATTTGAGAGTGCACATGAAAATTACGCAAGCAAGTGGAGCGGTTTAAATGTGCGGACTATGATGTTCTGAAATGGAACGCACCCTTTGTTATGTGTTGAAAAGAGATGCCACATTAAAAAAGGTTACGTGGCACTCAATCATTGTTGATGATTGATAATCCAAAACAACACAAACTTTTCTTTTTTTCATGAAAAAATGTCTATCAATAAATCATAACATAATCGACTATCATTTGAAAAAGTAATTGAATTTCATAAAGCACGTTACTATTCATTTCACATGGAGGTGCTAAGGCAGGGGCGGAGTAGAGGGATGTAATGATACCTTGTAGACAGACAAATGAGATGAGGGACATGCCAAAAATGAACCTTATCAAGTTTCCCATGGCAAAGACATTCTGAAGATGAGTACCCAGTTACTTCATTCATACCACATATTCAATTTGATGATTTTGAAATGTGTTCAGGCCACAGGAGACCAGTGTTGAAGCCTTTGAAAACGGTAAAAAGTGAACAAAATCATAGTAGGATGAAATCCATTGGAAAACGAAGAGAGATGAAAGGGAAAATGAATTACAGGCGATCTGAGGTTGGGAAGTGGTAGGGGGTGAGTTTTCAAGGGTGACCAACGATTTATCTAGGTTTCCGGCAAAACTACAAGCCCTATGGAAATAAGTCAAATGACAAAGTTGTAGGTAATAAAAAGATCTCTACCACACTTTCTTTACATAACCTTTTTTTGTGAAAAATTTATATAACCAAGTTTTTGGTTTTTTATTTTCATCTTTTACAAGAAGAATTTTTTTCACGAAATTCACTAACTTCTTTATGTCCCAAATAATACACTGTTATTTTTTTGATTTGAAATATTTCTTTCTTCACCTTATTTTGACTTGATATCGAAGAAGCACCTCAATTTTCAATATTCTCGCGTCAAATTATCTGCTTTTTCAAAAAAATCGATGGTCTTTTTGTTCGTTGACATCTCTACTTTCTGATGGTGCAGAAATATATACATTGTGTGGTAAATGTTCCCACCCAAAAAATGCAAAGAAACGAAAAAGCAGCAGTCACTTTTTTTAGATGAAATCCCCTTTAAATCCTATCTTTATTATTTAGAACAACTATTTTCGCATGTTTTTTGCAATATTAATATGTTTTATGGACTTGAAATTTTTTTGTTCATCAATGTAACATGAGATCTTACATTTTTCGAGTTATTATTAGTGTTGATTTTAAAAAATAGCTCAAAATTGTACATAATGATTTACAAAAAATTGATTTGAGTTTCGTATCTGCATTTTCTGAGAACATTTACCATAGTAATGTTTATATTTTTTGCACCATTAGAAAGTAGAGATTTTAACGAACAAAAATCCCAGTGACTTTTTTGAAAAAGCTGATATTTGGATGCGAGAATTTTCGATTGAGAATTAGGGTGCTTTTTTCATAATAAGTCAAAATAAGGAAGAAAAAGAATATTTCAAATCAAAAAGATCACGGTGTGTTTAGAACATGAAATGTTTTTTTGTAAAATATAAAAATGAAAAATCAAAAACTTGGTTATTTGAATTTTTTACATAAATTTTGAGGTTATGTGAAAAAAGTGCGGAAACAAGTTATAGAAAAATTGACGCTTTCTGAAATTGATTGATTGTCTTTATTACCCCAAGAAACATTATTGTTTATAATAGGGATATATACAACAAAACATACATATAAAACATAATAAATCAAAACAATAATAATTGCACAATTATTGTTTCTCCTAAAAAAAAATATAATAAAATATAAAATGAAAATATTAAAATCCATTACAAGTAATCAAATTGTGAATGATAAGTACTATTAGAAGATATGGAATTAAAGTTTACTGAGCAGATATTTCTTTAATTTCATTTTAAATTTTTCTGCTTCTTCTATATTTTTCAACTCATTAGGTAAGGAGCTATACAAAATTATTCCATTATAGAATATTGATTGTTTACCAAAATTTGACTTATAATTATTTGCTATAATAATAATAATAATAATATATTTATTGTTTCTTAAAACATTACAGTTTTACAACAAGGAGTTCATGTTATGTGTCGTTAGGCTGTTTACAAGTAGTTATGCTTACAAAGAAATATTAGACGGCTAGATATGAAAAACAAACTGACAAAATGAGAGAAAAAAAAAAAAAAGTGAGAATATTCAAGATAAGCACACAATTTTAGTAGAATTAATATCCTGATTTTCTGTAACCTATATGAAATTATTCATTTAAAATGAAAGCTCGCAGTTTCAAGATGTTCCAAATGTAACTTGCTATAGTTTTTGCAAGGGAAGGCGTAATATTCTCGAGGGCACATATTAAGGCGTTAAAGTCAAGAAGATGATTAGAATTCGGAGGCTTCATCGTGGAATATATGGGGCATTCGAACAGGATGTGTTGAATTGTTTCGAGCTTGTTTTGGTTGCAAACAGTACAATCATCGCGTGGGTCGATACGATAAGTGCAACCATTCAGCGTGAATCTGATTACGTAATTATTGCACATTCTCAGCTGGGCGATAGTTCTTGTTATTTGAATTGGCATTTTGAGAAGAAGGTAACTGTTTGGCTGTTTGTTGAGGGTAAAGTGCGTGTGGAAAGACATAAAGTGAGAGTTGGTGGCTAAGGCAATATCCTCTTGGTGAAGTTTATCAAGGAACTGTGCTAATATTTTGTGTTTGTTGCGCTTAAGATAAGCCCCGTTGATGTTCGCCATGGGTTCAGAGAGACTGATCGACTCCAAAATTTGTGACACTTGTTTGGCCCACTTATAATTATTTGCTATCAATAAATTGAATTGCCTTGTTTCATGGGCGTGAATCGTATTAACTTCATTAAAATTCAAATTCGATATTTTCAATTCCTTCCTGACAAAATGAATAAAACAACAAATTTTGAGTTTATATAATGAAACTAGATTCAGCAAGTCTTTAGGTTTGTATAGATTCGCAGTTGATTCTAAAAAAGGTAAATTGAATTCTGGAATACAATTGATGCTTTCTGAAATACAATTGGAAAGGTGCTATTTGTGAATCATATTATTTACCTGGTGGAGTGATGTCATCAAAATACGAGGACATTTTATTGGTTTGATTAAAGCTCAAGTCTTGAACAGCAATACTGTTATCAAGTTGTCTTTTTATGTCAATTCTTTCGTTTTGCATTTGGTCCCTGAAGTTCTTTTCGTAGTCGTCGTCGTAACTATTGTATATTCCATTGTGTGATGTTCTGTCAGAATGTTCATAATTATTTGTTGAGAAATTACTTTGTGCTTGTTTGTCAGGTACCTGAAAATTATTTATATTGATAAAGGGCAATTCAGTATAATAACTCCAACATGAACTTCATTGAGCTGATTTATTTTTTAATACACGTCAACCTATATAGTATCTAAACTGAATTTAACGGTTATGAATATTTGAAAAGGCGTGAGAATTTCAGACGAATATCACTGTATGTATCATCCCAACCTAGTTTCTCGAATGGAAGAAACGTTTGAAAAGTTCTTCAACCATTTTCATTTTTCTTTTATATCAGGTTCAGCGACGTCAGAGCTGTATACTTTCTAACTTCTAACAATAACAATCTATATAACGCTGCCTAGCCGTGAAGTGTAATCAAATGACATAATGTCTCAATTTTTGAGGAATTTTTAGCCTATTCCAGATAAGAAGTAGATAGGGTAACGCTTGACTCTTGATAAAAAATGATTGAGGTCTGCCTTTATTATAAATACGTTAAAATGTTTTCGTTATCCCATATACTGTTGTTTTGATTTAACGGTATTCAGATGACAATTGAAAGGTTGATGTTAAGAGCCACCATCCGTTGAGATTTGTTGACAGTTCCATAACAACATGATGTTAGTATTTTTCTGTAGAATTACGAGGTATGTGGTTTGTTTTTTCCACGAATCAAAATGTAATCTTCCAGCAGGATTACGAAAAGTTACGAATACGCAAATAACGGATTTGGGTGTTATTCGAGGCGCCCAACCTCATCCGTTATTTGTAATAACTATAACTCGCCTGACGACCGAGATGTGATATGAAAAATGAGGTCAAATTGACCCCAATATCACAGCATAGAGAAAAACAGCAGCGTCACACAGAGGCGGACTGGGGGGCCGGGCGGTCGGGCGATCGCCCGATGGGCTGGGGCCCTTTGGGGCCGGTAGAAATAGTGAATGAATAAAGAAATATATGTCTTCTCGACAGCTTTCTGAAGTATGAGACCATTATAACTGCAATTTTGATTTGAGAAATCTTCAGTTTCACCACTCATCTTTCGAGCTAACTACGAATATCAGGTACCAATGGATATTTTAGAAGAATACCGAATCGTCGAAAAAACCATGAAATCCTTGAAAAAATATCGCGAGAATATAATGATGTCATTTTGATTGATGCACATACATGCATTTTGATAAAGCAAATGAACAATTCATTTTCAAAGAACACGAAATAAAAACAGTTTTTTTGATGAGATAGGTGATGATGAAGCACCTCAAAATCCCATCAAGAAATTGAAAATTGGGACTTTTAATGTAATCATTGATAATTATTATCACCGAACTGGAAATTTATAGATTCAAGAAACATAAAGAATTGTTGAACTATTTGATCCGTCAAGATTCACTGATGATCAAATAATATTGACTGAAAATAACTCAATAAGTACCTTGATTATTTACACTAATACTCAATGAAAAGGATGATTAATGAAAATATCAAAAATTATTATCCTGCTGATGAAATGAGCCTTGATAGATTTCACTTCGAAGTGGGAAGACTATCGATTACTTTATCCGTAGATATGATGGGTGGTGGAACTTATGTTTTCGATGTAGAACAGGAATTGATTTCATAAAAACAGAAGTTTCGCAAAACATTTTCACTTTGTTGCTTCCACGGTTTGCATAAATACAATTTATACGTCGAGATCTATCCATATTTAGATAAAATTATTCTCACCCTTTCAGTATCGCAGGTTTGGCGTGAAAGATCTTTCTCAAAATTAAAATTCATCTTGAATCTGCTGAGAAATTATCTGAGCCAAGAACAATTGGGGGCTTACATGATGATGAGCTGCGAAATAACGATTTTACAATCAATAGGAAGCGACATCATTTTCGATTTCGTTGAAAAATGTGGATCCATGAGAGGTTCACTCGTTTTTTAATTCCGATTCCTAATGCGGCTTATGTTTCATTTTGGATAAATAATCTTCCTAGTCTTTCTGTAGCTTTAATATTATTTACTAAGTGCCTTATGTTCCTCTATACCATAGAATTATCGTTCATTCTATCTATTCTTATTTTTCATTTATAAAATGTTATTCATGTTATACATTTCATTTTCCTTCAGTATATTTGATGTATTATAGAAAATTTTTTTCGCTTAAGTTTGATTGGAATCAAAATAATTTGTAATTTTTTTTTTCGTTTTTGTCTGTCACTAAAATATGTGAGGAAATTATATGAATAGCTATATTAGCGTTGACATTTTCTCCGGAGAAGGGCCGGTAGGGTCCAATTCGCCCGGGCCGATTCAAAGGTCCAGTCCGCCCCTGCCGCGTCACACTCTTCAAACTCGCATGTAACGCTTCGCTCACGACCGATCCTGCAAAAAGTTAGTGAAATAGCGAATCACTATCAGCTTCAACAGTAAATGCCTTCAGCACAGTACTTTTCTCAGGAAGAAAGGAAAATATTCCTTCTGCATAAGAAAGGAGACTACCTTTTTTAAGAAACTATCCTTTTTACCCGGTCTAAATGAACCTTCCTCCTAGAAAGTATATTTTTCGGAAAATCATTTGAGAAAACAGAATAAAAAAATATTTTTCCGTCGCAGGCATTGAACCCGGGTCGCCGGCGTGGAACTCAAATTCTCAAGCAACTAGGCCATGCACTTGTATGATAGTCGCTGTAATCGCGCTGTCGCTCCCCCACCGTTCTGATTATTTCTTTCCTCCTGTCTGTAGGCGATAGTTGAAACAACTCATTGAGATCAGGGTACCAAACACTTTACTCTTATCTGGAACATACTATACTTATAGTTAGATGTATGTCTCAGTTATATATTCACGGAAATGCTTGCGGGTATAGAAACTCCTAATAAAATTCATCTTTTCAATGATTTTCAAAAATTTGTATGCATATCTACCTATTACTACTCACCTTCATATCACATAGTCCTTGGATTTTAAGTAATCTCGCGACAGACAGTAGGCTTGGAAGTTCTCCTTGAGAAACCACACACTGACCTCGATATATGAATGATAAGATGGCTTTCACCTCTTCAAAGCTCACATTATGTAAAATCACAACTGGATGTGCAGATTTTATCTCCTGGAAATGAACAATAGAAATAAGACGGAATTTTTAAAGGTGACATGTTTGCTTTTTTGGATGTTTTCTATATTTGTCGGTTTATCATATCGTAAAATTATCTCAATTGATCTTGGGTACCCACTATACTTACAACGATGCGGCAATTAGTGACATATATGGTAAAACTAAAATAAATACATACCTATCTTAGATGTCACTGGGTATAAATTGTCGAATGCACGAGTAGTGATAAAAATAAATTGATAAAACATATTAGGGGGAAAAAACCTTGTTCAGGCTCCGAGCTCAAAGCGCTGATGCACCTCAGGCAATCTATGGCGAAGTCATTAGCAGATGAAGCGATGTTGCCAATCTTTAGAAAAAATCACAGAGAATATAAACATCCTATGTAGCAGATATTCTGTGAAAGACTTACGTGATTATGGTTGATGCGCAAATCCCTGGATTGAGCATGTGAAAATGATGATTCCTCTTATAAGTGCGATCCCTGAGATGCTGAACAACAGAAACAAATGTACGTACATTGAGAACATGATACGACCACTATGTCAGCCCAGCCAACCATCGTGTGACATCAACATCTGTGTGATGTAACAACCTTGCATAAATGCAATATCTCGTTAACACATCTTATCGACGTAGATTCAATATCAACGTCGCAAGGTGTCATCGCAACCAGGAAACTATGTAATGTGGCAGTGACTTCTTCAAACTACATCTCTTCGACGTTAACTAAATAATTCACATTGATATCCTCATGAGATATTTTTGTGACCTGTGAGTGTGACGCAGACATGCGCAAAACGAACGCACACGCCAGACGCCATGTTGAGCTGTGTATGGCCATGTCAGTCAGTCAGTGAGTGAGTCCGACTCCGTACAGACTATTTCCTTCCAAATTCTCTGTTGAAATATCTGATATGATTTATAGCAGCTTCAAATTGGAGGTATACAATCATTTAGGAACGACGGTGAGATCAATCACAATAGGTAATATTGTAATTATCTCTGGGATAGGAATATTGCAATTTAAAACAAGGTAGATGAAAGACCCCACGATAATGTAAGTGTATTTGATATGTATCATTTATGAATAATGTATATTTGTATTGCTATATATATATATGTGTCATGTTTTACTCCAAGATTACTAATTAGGGTGATTGTCATGATAAGTTTTGTATAATCTGTTTTTACTTTCGGAAAATGAACATTTTCTTCGTAAAGTTGAATAATTATTATTATTATATATCCCACGAATATCACAGGTACGGCGACCACATCATCGATGTCGCAGTGTGATGTATTTGTAATATGAAATGTACACGTGTATGTGACCTGGTAGTGATTTTTCATGTGATTTCGCATTTCATGTCAGAACGACGTCACAGTGATGTTGCTTGAGTCGGACATTTTCACATCGCCACGTTGTATCGGTAACATGTTTGTGACTTCAAATGCGATATCGCATGTCACAAAGTAATGTGGCGTATACATCACTTATACATCTCATGGTTGGCTGGGAGTCAGTGTTTATTGAGCAAACAATTCCTCATTTTTTAGATTGGTAGATTGAAAAATGGGTTTCAATATTCAAGAAAATAACCCAATAAAAATATATTGATTCGATTATTATTGATTTTGACAATCTGATAAAAACTAAACATCTGTTTACTGCGTGAGGCATAGTGTGTACTAACCCCGTAAGAAGGTAATGTTAGTGAGGAAATTTATTTATTTACGAAAAGGAATACAAACGGGATTAACCCAAAAACAGTATTCACATAAATGTCATATCTCAAAATACAGATACTTATACTAAACAAATTGAATATCAATTAAAAAGATGATGAAAAATCAATAAGTGAAGTAATGAATGATTGAGTAGATTCAACATGCAGTGATTGTAAAGGATATGGCAAACGGTCAACAGGCTGTGCTGCAGGGAAAGGGAACAGTAGTCCAGTTGAATATTTGATTATCTATCGTGTATCCGGTATCTGTTACTTTTTTCGATTTTTCACCGGAAGTTTCTTGTGCCATCTTATTGTACTCAAAACAATATTATGTCATTAAAATATGAAGGAAATCGGAAAACTCTAAGGTGGTTTTTCCGGGTTTTTTCGATTTTTCATCGGAAGTTTCTTGTGACCACTCTACAAATCGCAAAAGTGGTCCGATCGATTTCATTTTTTGTGAAAAAAAAACTCTATCAGGGAGAGACGAAGCCTATTGAAATTGAGCAGGGTCGGGAAATTCCAAGTGGGTTTTTCAAGGAGATTTTCCGAAACACACGGTTCGCTTTAAAACGACATATCTCCTGAACCAATAGACTAAGTCCAAATTTGAAAAATGCACCGTATGCCTCTTTGATGACGCAACAAATTATTATTTCACCATTTCTTCGTGCATCGATCGGAAAATGGAAAAACAAATGAAAATCAAAACATCAAAATATGAAATCCTTTCAATTCAATATATGTATATCGAAAGCAAATGGAAAAATCGAAAATTATCAGAAGTGCAAAGTTATCCACTGTAACATTTCCTACAAATTATTACCCAACATTTTCGATTATCGATAGATGAAGATCATCGACTTCCACGGAACCATGAAATATTTTTTCCTTTTGTTGAATGGAAGATGGAACAAAAGTGTTGAAAATTTTATTCTCAGATGATTCCAAATATCTCGAAAACAACTGGAAATATCTGAAAATGTTATAGAACCAAAATTATTCTTTTTGATAGAATCTACAAAAAATCCTCACATTATTCTCTGAATTCAATAGTTCGGGAGATACGATGAAAAAACTAAAAAATGTACAAGTTCCTAGATAATCACTTGCCAATAGAAAACGAAACAAAAAACAAAAAAAGTAAAAAAAGCACACTCGACTGTCTTGATTTTTTCCCATAAACTACTTACCTAGCTCACTCGACTGTCTTTATTTTTCGCCAATAAACTAGGTACCTAGCTCGCTCGACTGTCTTAATTTTTTGCCCATAGACTACATACCTAGCTCACTCGACTGTCTTGATTTCCCACAAAGAAGAAATATGTTGGCAAAGTTTTAACTTTCTTTTGTTTTTGTTTTTTCAGTCCCTATTGGCAGTCGAGTGGGCTAGGTACGTAGTTTGTGTGGAAAAACCAAGACAGTCGAGTGGGCTAAGTACGTAGTTAGTGGGGAAAATCTCCAGTTCTCTGAACTTCCATAGCGTCGTATACACATCTTTGGTGCCCAATGATAGTTTCAATATAAAAATATTCTCATGATATGGTTCCATGGCCTCTACTTCCATCTTACATGAGCAATGATAAAATATCATCTGCTTTTATAGCGTCGTATGAATTATCTGACCTCTATTCTAACCTAATACCTAATGAAAACTACATCTATACTAATCTGATATACCTTTCAAAAACTACGTACCTCACTTGTTTCAATCTATACTTACTCATATTATTATAGTTATCTGTCAAGTGAGTCACATTGGTGGTTACTCCACTTATATTTATTTTAGTAAGGTGTTAATTTTTTCGGTTGCAGAAATAAAAGCATGTTTCATTCGCATCAAAAAAGTGACGCCTCGCAAACGCAAAATTCTCTCGTCAAACAAATTGTCACTTCTGATCTTGATCCTAATAAATCAATCTTCTATTAGAACATCTCTGATATGACTCGTCGTTTTTGAGTCATTTTCAAAAATCTGAATTTCTGGATTTTCAATTTCATTATTTTCTGGTGTAGGTAATGAAGTCATTACAACTTTTGATGTTGATAAAGACATTTTCCATTTTTTGATCAAACGTTTCATCAACTTCATTTTTCCAAATACGGGCCTGATGTTTTTATATCAGATTCGAATAGCCCTTTCTATTGTGATTTCGACGATATGTTATCAACTTCAAACGATGTACATAATCCTCATATACAGTGTGGTCATTTAAGTGTGCAACATATGGGAATATGGTTTTTAATAAATTGCACAACCAAAATACAGATAGTGCCGAAAGTTGGTGCATGTTCTGTAATCATTTTAGGTGCACTTAGAATGGTTGCAAGTCAAACAGCATACAGGGTAGGTCAAAAATTCTTAAAATTGTTCAAGAGTGAAGTATCCTTATTTCGGAAAATTCATTGGAGAAAAGTTGTTAACAATTGAAAGTTATGTTTGAATACCAAAGCATGGCCAACTTGGCCAACTTGGATTTTAACTTTTTTAAGGAATCACAAACTTTATGTTTGTTGCAACGATATTCAGCTCAACTTCAAAATTTCACAAACCATATTTTTAAGAAGGTAAAACAACATCAGATGGGTTAATGTCATCGAACTGTCTTAATGTTTACTGTCAACCCTCATTTTTCTCAAAATGTTCACATTAAATCAAAGTTTTTGAATTTGCAAATTATCATTAATGACGTTGTACCTTGTTGAAAATATGGTTTGCGAAATTTTGAAGTTAAGCTAAATATCGTTGCAACAAACATTAAGTTTGTGAATCCCTAAAAAAATTAAAATCCAAGTTAATTGCACAAATATGCTTGAATTTGAACGCAGTTATGATCAACTGATTTTGTTATGATTAACTTATGGAAGTGTTTAGGGTGAAAAAAAATTACAAGTTGGGATAGTATCAACGAAAACAATTTAAAAACTCAAATATGTCCTAGGAAGCCATGTTTTGGTATTAGGGCATAACTTTCAATTGAAAACAACTTTTCCCATTAACATTTTGCTGAATTTTCTGAAATAAGGGTACTTTACTCTTGAACAATTTTTATATTTTTTGACCTACCCTGTATGCTGTTTGACTTGCAACCATTTTAAGTACATCTAAAATGATCATTGAACATGCACCAACTTTCGGCACTATCTGTATTTTCGTTGTGCAATTCATTAAAAAGATTCCCATATGTTGCACACTTAACGACTACACTGTATATGCGCAAAAAATCAAGGGGGAGAAAACATGAAAGGACCCCGCACCGCAATAGGGGGTAAATTGGCTTTCGGTGAATTTTCTCGAATTGTGGATATATCGTATAACTCGTGATGCTGATCAGATGTCCCAATTTAGCAACGCTCTAAATTCAATAGTTTGGATTATACAGGGTGCTGAAGTTGACTTTTTCAAAATTTCGAATGGCCATTGTGAAGTTTCCTTTTTGGCACCAAGTTTTACGGGATCCCAATCATTCGATGGATATGAATACCATGACTGGTGCGGTTTCATGGCAACTTGAATATCTTGTGTATAATATGTAGTCTGATTCAAGAAATGCAATTATCATGATTCGATGTTGATATTAGTGTACAACGAAATGTCCAAAAATGAATTGATTACAACCGCTCACTTTTACGGAAATAATCGGAACGTTTGCTATTTTTGGACCAACTCTGTATATCGTGAGTACGTGCAGATATTATTGAACTCTATAGTGAATTTTCACCGGCCACATGGACAAACAAAAGGTAGTCGATTTGATTTTGGTATTCAAAAAGGAAACTTCACAATGGCCATTCGAAATTTTGAAAAAGTCAACTTCAGCACCCTGTATAATCCAAACTATTGAATTCAGAGCGTTGATAATTGGGACATCTGATCAGCATCACGAGTTCTACGATATATCCAAAATTCGAGAAAATTCAACGAAAGCCAATTTCCCCCCATTGCGGTGCGGGGTCCTTTATTTAATATATACGTGGGTCTGGAAATGAATAGTTTTCAAGATACAGTGTGTTAAACTTTGAGGAAAAAACGTTTTTTTATGAATATCTCAAATATCCTTCCACCGATTCTCTTGAAATTTGGCAATAATATTCTTTGTCATGAGGGTCTGATAGCCCCAATTGAATTGGAATTCTGAAATCCAGTAGCGTTCCGGAGACACCCTACCGAATACAGAATTCAAAAAAATCCGTGGCGCACATTTTATTGACAATAATATTCGGTAGGTTGCCCCCGGGACGCCACTGGATTTCATAATTCCGATTAAATTATGGCTATATCAGCTCCTCATGACAAAAAATATCAATTTGAAGAAAATCACTGGAAGGACATTTGAGATATTCATAAATAAACGATTTTAAGTTTAAGATAGTATACGTCGAGCTTTCTCAAGGTTTGATATATTTGCACTTATTTCAATGCCACCTTGTATACATGTATAATAATTTTTCAATTGAAGTTTCCTATAGCCTTTTATAATGGTATTTTGGATAAATAAACTATTCTATTGTGTATGCATAAGGGTTCAATACACTCTAAGACCTGAAAGATCTAATGTACCCCCAGAACATCCAGAAAATAATAAAATTGAAAATCAAGAATTCGATTCTTTGAAAATTTTCCAAAAACGAAGTCGTCAGAGATTTTTCGAAATCATTTTATTGACCCTTCAATTTCGCAAATGTTTTCCCATTTAATCAAATCTGTATATCTCGTAGTTTCCGAGATGGCCATACTATCCCTCCTTATCTTGGACACAGTGGATATAAGATCATACAGACATTTTGTGATATCTAATGGTATAACAAATGGAAAGAAAAATCGAGAAGTGAGTATGTAGGTAATACTGGGGAAGGATTCCTGAGTATTCCAAAGAGGTAGGTATAAGGTAGAAATGCGTAAATAACACCAATGACAGTAAGAAGGTGGTATTTATCATTTGGATCGTTATTCGGACTGTTACAAAAATAGATGGGATAATATATTTTTAACACGCAAGAGTTAGTGAAATTCAGCAAACTTTAAGAAAATACAGCGGCATATAGGTTGGTCGTACTTTACCTGAAACAACTGAAGAAAATAAACACTACACATAGCTAATATGATTTTATGAGCCTTCACTTGTTGTGCCCCTACAGAAAGAGTGACATCGGTAAAAATGTCGCTCTCCAAGAAACAGGGTAAATTATGAATTAGCGTGGTTTCGTGGTAATGCCACCTTAACACGAATTGTTGGTCAGACATGTCTGCGGTCAGTGTGTAATAAGAAAAAACATAATATACTGGCCAAGTGGCCCGTAATATTGTCCAGCTGGCTATTTTTAAATTTCCTGGAGAAAGAAACAGGTGCCAGAAAATGTGTTAGCTTCTATCAATTTATATTTCCAAAGATAGCATCAAAATAAACATGGCAACTTGTCAAGCTGGCTGGATAACAATTGATCTTGAGGTATTAACGCTATGAATATAATGATTGTTCTTCTATTTTTAAATTTGTGCAATGACTATGAAATCCAAAAGCGATTCATCTATAGATATTAAAACAGAATAAGATAAAATTGATGGTTCGCAAGAATTATCCTTCTCAAAAGGGCATACATTGAATATTCCTACCACTATACCGTATACAGCATGTCCTCAAACTAGTGAAACATTCTAATGGAAACTATACACATAGATAATATTCTTGTGCACTCGTATTCAGAGAAAATGTCGTACATGAACGGTGTCAGCTCCCTTATTGATCACCGCCAAATTGATGGTTTGCAAGAATTATCCTCAAAATTGTTCTGAAATTGTTCTATCCATCATTCGGTTGCCCCCTTACGAGCAACCCTCAGAAGTCTTCGAGAGTCTTGTGCGAGCAAGGAATGACGGGGGCCTTACCTTTTAACGTGTGATCCCAAACACTTTCTTGGGCCATCAGAAAAATGTCTGCAGTCGATGGGAATTGAACCCACGACCGGCAAGCGAATGCGGATTAGAATATAGACTCAAAAGGGCATATATTGCATATTCCTACCACTATACTGTATACAGCATATCCTCAAACTAGTGAGACATTCTAATGGAAACTATACACATAGCTGATATTTTTGTGCACTCATCTTCAGAGAACATGTCGCACATGGACGGTGTCAGCCCCCTTGATCACCGCTGCAATAAGAGCGCTCATATCGTCCAACCTCGAAATGTTCGCTGGAGACGCGTGTACATGAGTAGATGGTAAGTATAGATATTCTACCCCAATTGACTTTGCAGCTGTATAATTTATTTGATATTCTAATTATTCACCTACTCATGTTGCACGTGGAAGGTATCAGCTCCCGAAAATCTGTGCTGTACATTTTTGCAAACTTTTAACTAGAATACATCATCAACACTATGGTCTTATGTTTGAAATTAAAAAAAATATATAGAAATGATTCAGATCATAGATCAATTGTAAATACAAAGTCGTATTTTTATTTGTGAATTGTGGATTTCAATACGTTTTCGATTTCTTCGTCTTGTAGCCATCTGATTTTCTGTCAAGTAAGGCTCATCTATTAGACAGAGCTGTCAATGATTGAAATTTGACATTCCATGGGCGATGAGTTCTTTGTTATAATAACACAATGGAGTCATTGTGATATAAGATACGGAAATAAAATGATGACATACAAAGTACCTCATTGATGTATGGAACACAGTAAAGCAAAAGCAATCTTGTGTTATAGCCGTGGAAAAAGTAACTTTGATTTTTGTGTTCCGCATTATTTTTACTTTTCCGCACGATTTCGAAGGAAATACCAGGAGACATGTGGCAGTCAACAAATAAGCATTTCAAGTGTAATTTTTCCGTGTACTTAATTCCAATTGGAAATGGACAACTCAGGAAACCTTTCAAGATCCTCCCGGAAATAATCGATGCAAATACTAACCAATCAAATTCAAATATGGATGAAAAAAAACTATTTTATCATGTTTCAGTGCATGAAAATATCGAAAAGTTAGTTTTCCGCAAGATTTTTGAATTGTTAAAAATAAGGATATTTAGGACTAACTAAATCCATGTAACTATTCTATCTTATGTGTCATTTTGTAGCATCATTATAAAATATCGTTTATAGGGAACCTTTTTTTTATAAATTATATGGACAAAAACACTCGTAGGAGAAATTTTGTACCAAACTCTTGCGGAAAATGTCTTTTTCGCCCTTGACTACTTGCCCGAACTATGCTGCGCGTCGTTCGTGCAACTGCCTTTGGGTGTGGAAACGTAATACTTTCCGCACTTGTTAGGTAAATAACTGTTACCTACTACCAACAAGTGAGGTCAAACATCAAGAGAATCAAGACACTGATACTAGTTACATGATGAAGAACTTTACCGCACAAGCGCATCAATATCAAAATGAGTTACATTATAGTACGGTAGTGAGAAATTGTTTATAATTACCCATAGTTCATTCAATCAAATATGGTCAGAAACTGATTATAGAAATACCTATTAGATTTTCAAATTAGGAAGGAAATGGTACTTGCTATGAAGACAAAATAGTTATTTATGTATCAAGGGTGTAAAGTTTGCTTCTATGGACTGCAGCATTTGAGTATTTAGACGCCTAGGTCCATAAAAGCAAGTAACGCCTGGTCGTGCATCAAAATACTTATTTACCTATATTGGTAATATGGGTTATTGGTAATGGGTAAAATATTGTACTATCTTCGTATCGTAAATTCACATCACGATATTTGATGAGTTATCAAACTCAGTTTGATCTAATGTTGTAATATCTAGGGTCCCTTGATCTAAATTGACGTATTTGTCATCTTAACAGGGTACGGACAGATCCTCGTCTCCTCTTACTCTAAAGTGTTTCATTTCTCGGGATAAACACTAGCATTCTGAAATTTGTTGTTTTTTAGGTTACATAGAGGACATTGGCGTATCATACGCAATTTCCACATGTAATTTCTTATTCAACTCTACATATTATATCCAAATGATGATGATAATTTTCGAGTTTTTGAGTTTTCAAATCCAGCATAATCTTTGCGAGGCAGTGAGCAAATTTTTCTGAAAGTTTAATATGTTTTACCAAATGGGACTATTCTTTTGCAGTACCTATCAATAAATGAATTTTGTATTTCATACTAAGCCTTATGGTTGAAAAATGGTGAAAATTTTATGTAGGTATTTAAACTGATGTGCTCGTATGTCATGTGTGCTGTATATATTCATGTTGGGAAATATTTTTGGAGATTTTCACGAACACTCAATATTTCCTGAATGTAGGTATAATTTTTTGAATGGTAGAACATATGCCTCTTCTTTTAATCCTCCGTTTCAATCAAAACTGTTTATATTAAAATGAATTCAAAAAACTTGTAGAGTGGATAATTATAGGCACAATGAGAAAGTATAATTTGATTTCTTATTAGTTTTACCTCGAATATTTTGCTGATGTATTTACCAATTTTCCCCATTTGGTCACTTCACTTTCCAGGTTCTAAGTTCATTTGCATTTGATGGAATGCTGATAAATTCAAATTTGCCATCCAACTGACTGATACAGTCTAACGCAGCACATTTCACCATCCTTCCAAAACAGAATTGAATAATGTTGTACTAAGATCAAGTATGAATTTGAAATTTTGTAAGATCTCTTTCAACGCCTATGAATGTGACGTGACAGCAATGTCATGTCAGGGACGCCAATACACGAAACCATGTCACTAGATGATTAAAAGAGAAAGGAGCTATGATCTCTCCATACCATACTCTCCATGGATGACAAATACATCAGTTTACATCAAGGGACTCTAGTAATATGTATTACCGCCCGCCGGACCACTTTACCGCCCATTGTACCACTTCATCGCATTAGGGCGGCTACTACTTGTTCGGTCGTGCAGAAGTGGGATTTATTTCATTTGACCACATTTCTGAAATCTCCATAGAACCGATCTCAAATAGTTGTCTTTAATTTATATCTAATGATAATACTAGGGTTACTAGGTATCTAATACTGGTTGTATGGCTTGAATACTATGAATATTTAAGGAACATAATGAATACACATGAGTAGTAGAGAGTATAACTGCATATTTACTTTCAGATTCAATGGTGTTGATGTCATGACTTTGTTGACAGAGTGGATATAGCAATTTCATTTACATAAAACCGAGTTTATTATATACGTTGAACAGAGTTGTGAATTTTTCGATAACCACTACTGGAGAATCGTCTTGAAATTTAGAAAGCTTATCTCAGATTCCTATTGGAGTTGAATGACGTCAGTATCAAGTTGCCAAGTTTCATATAACTTGCTCTGATGGTGAGGAAGATAATTAACTTATTTTTGGAATCATACTTTCATTATGAAATGTGAACTAAATGAAATAACCATAATTTGTCTTCAGATTTGTAATTATCAATGATAACAGGAAGCATAACTTTTTTCCTAGATACCAATGAGTATCGAAAAATTCACCACCCTGTAAGTATATTTTGATGATATTTCTTGGAATATTTTTCAATGTTTTCATTCAGAAATACTAGGGGAGCAGTTCATAATTTTAAGGTTGAAGAGAGACAATTAGCAACTAATGAACTTAAGTAGATACCTTAAAGCTAACATTTTACAAATATCAATTCATATAATGATAAATTGATCATAATACTTGTGATTTTCAACGACACAGTGTAGCATCAATTTGGGTCAATGAAGGGGCAATCATTTTTAGTTTTCTTCGGTATACGGGGTCCTCAGCAATAGGATTTTTTTCCAAATACACAGTGGCCAATTTCTTAAGAACTGACAAGTTTTCAACAGTTGACCATTCAGAAACTTCATTATTATTCATCTGAAAATTTCTTATACTTAGAGAAATTTCCTCAATCATTCAATGGTTCACTTACCCAAAGTTCTGTCAATTCCTCCAGATCAGATATATTCTCTATTAATTTTATTTTATTCTGGGCTAGATCCAGGGTTTCCAATTTCTTATTTTCTGTGAGGTTTTCTATTCTTGTTATACCATTCTCAGACAAATATAACTCATTCAATTCTTTTAATTTCTCCAAATTCTCAATATTTACAAGCCTGTTGCTTTGTAAACTCAAACATGTGAGATTAACAAGTGCATCCAGATTTTGAATTTTGGTGATTTTGTTCTTTCCCAGATAAAGGTACTGAAGATTTGTTAATCCATTCAAGTTATCTATTTCCTGTAAAGAAAACATTACTTAACTATTGAAACTCTATTTAGAATTAATACTATCATTGAATATATCATTATTGATTTTATAAATATTAGAAAAATGTCAGTCATGTTATGAAAACGAAATTCTGGAGTCTCAATATATTTTAATTAAAATTATTTCGCTTTCTATACAAAATGTTTAAAATTGTTATTATAGTCTGAATATTTCATTTTGAATTTGAAACTGGAGAAAAAACAATTTTCCATGTCAGAAATGTTGTTACATCAGAATAGATACAGGGTGTTTCATGAGAAGACTCACATAGCCAAATGGTTAGTAGGGGAAATCAAGACGAGTTGATGTATATATATGAAAACATTTTTTGACCCTCCATAACGAAGATACAGGGTATTATGTGTAATTGTTATATAACTTTGATGGCCGATATTACAGAAATGATTCATGGTAATCTGCTGAAATTTGGCAGCGACGTATCTCTACTGAAACTATTCAAGATAACATATTATGAAGAAAAATATGCAGGTCCCGACTTGGGAAAATTTCATGTTTCATTGTTATGTCAAAAAAGTTCACTTTGTGACCACTTTTCTCGAAAAATACCATCAGATTCAGAAAGATCAGACAAAATGGTATAAAAACTGCTCCTCAATTCACACGGCACACTTTGACCGGTTCAATAAAAAATATGAAACAAAATCGTTCGAATGAATTTTAAATTTCGACCTGGCTGATAACTGTCAACTTCCAACTGGTATCATGTGAATTGATTTTTCCTACATTTTTGTTGAACAGTAATTGACAGAAGAATAGATGAGAAGAAAAAACACGAAATTATCGAAATTCCAGATAGATATTATTCCTTACTTTGTTTTATGGGTTTCAATTGAAGTAATGATAAGATATCTAGTAGGCCCTCTTTTCCATTTGTGTGACGAGACGAGGCGTTTGTTGATAACCCGAACTGATAGGTATAGATACTAGGCTAGTTCTAGGTAGGTACCAACTGATGAAATTACGACATGAGGATTCAAGTGCCCATATTATGGAGATTTATCAAATTAGTTATGCCATCACGCATAAACTCAGCTCCATTTTTTGTTATTGATACATTCCTTCAAGTGATAAAAGGATGCATCTGCTATTTATTCAAAATTCCTAATGTTCATCCTCGTGAAGGTATCACTGCAAAGTATTCTTGGGTCTGGAAATATTCTATGATATTAAACATAGCACAGCATTTGGATTTTCGTCTTGTTCAGCATTTGAAATATGAAGTGGCACCTAGGTGCAAGAATATTTCGATTACCAGTGTTTACCTATATCAACAAACGCCACGTTACATGAAATAAAATCAGGTCATGTGATGACGAGTTGAAACATAAAGCAAATGAAAGGGAATAATGTCCCCTTTGCGAATATCCAAATGTGCCGCGATTCAAACTGAGCTAAGTAAGTGGCAAAGCGTTAGTATTTCCGAGAATATTTCGTCCCTGTCGAGAGAAAATACCCCATGGACCAGTGTGAAACTCATGTGGTGCTCGCACTAGAAGCATTCGAATCCACAAGTTTTATACAGGTCCATCGGCTATTATCTTTCCAGAGGGGCGAAATATTCCCAGAAATAATACCGCTCTGCCACTAACTTAGCTCAGTTTTCAATCGCGGCACTGGGAAAGGACAACATGCAACTGGGAAAGGACAACAAAGTCACACTTATGTGGGTTCCAGGGCATGAAGGAATCAAAGGAAATGAGGCAGCTGATCGCCTTGCAAAAAAAGTGCAGCATCTGCACTTTTTGGTCCTTAGCCTTTTTGTGGGATAAGCAAATGTCACCTAAAGGAAGAACTCAGGAAATGGGAAGAAATTGAAAAGTCCTCCTACTGGAGAGCAACTCCAGGTCAACGACAAGCAAAAAGGTTCATCAACCATTCGCAGAACCGAGCCAAAGAGCTACTCAGCCTCAGCAAACCAGAGCTAAAGCTTATCACAGGCTTTCTCACAGGACACGGCCCTCTGAGGTACCACCTCAAAAAGATGGGTCTGGCGGAGACTGACACTTGCCGCTTTTGTAACAATGCGACCGAAACCGCGGAACACATACTTTGCTCATGTGAAGTATTAGTCCGCCAAAGGCTGAACCACCTAGAACAGGTCTATCTCACCCCTGCTGAGGTGAAAAATTCAACCGTCAGGAAAATTCTAGGCTTCATCAGAAGTCTAGGGTTAGAGGACCAAAACTAGATAAGGGTAATCACAATAGATCTTCTAGGTCGCAGTGATCGAGAGGTCTCCCAGCCTATACGACCCATCTACAATCTACAATCTACAAGGGGTGGCACAGGTAGGTTCTTGAGATGGACTATTCAATTAGTATCGGACTCGTTATCAAACCGCGAAATCAAGTGCAAATTACCGCACAGGATAGTGCCATTTTTCAATCATTTTGCTCAGGATAGGCGACTGATATTAAGATCGTAGCGCCAGAACGGCGAATGTAGGTACTACTCTATGGGCCATTGGCGGATTGTTTACATTGTTTGGTAATGGTGTTCATGTTCATTTCGTTTTGAGTTTTCAAACGTTCAGCTTTGTTATTTGTCTATTTTCGAACTTTGTATTTTCCAGTGGTCTATTGTGTTTTGATTGATCTCTGTTCAACGTTAGACAACCTCCCTACACCTCTAGTTGGACTTCATATATACCGATATATACCAACATACATAAGCTGTAAGTTTTTATCATTATCGAACAAGAATTCTCATGAATACCTGTGTGGGATGTTGATTTCCAATTCGAATATATGGCTGGGATATTCCCCTGGATAGCATGATATTTTTAAAAGAAAATCCAGCATACTTTTTGGGAATAAAATGTTCTTTCGAAGGTGAATAATTTGGGTATACAGTTTCTACTTGCTTTTTACAACATAATCATCAAAACCCTGATTGATAAAATTCTTTACTGTTTAAAAATTCTACTGTTCATGAGTAAAGATATAATCAGTTTAAAATGTGTTTGTTTTTTTACCCCCACCTCAAGAAGTAGGTATTATATTCATTAAAGACATACATTTGAAAATATACCTATATGAGTAAATTTTCAGTGAAGTTTAAAAAACAATATCTCATTATGTTCAGACACTTTTTCCAATCTTCAAGTTATCAATCCACACCTTTCTCCTACCGATCATTTCCTTGTTTCCGAAATTATAAGTTTCAAATACAAATTTAGACTGTCCTGATTTTTGAAAGGAATGAAAGCTATACTCGGGATTTTTTTGCTCAAGATGAACAATGAGGTACACAACAATAATGAAACAATAATAATGAATGTTTTTAAACGTTTATAGAAGTTCTGGAACATAATTATAGACAATTAAAACCCAACTACTTCTCATACAAAATACACGCAAACTAATGTAAACAAAGCAATCAATGGCCCATACGTTAGTTATATTAGACAACGGTAGAGGGCGTACTCCTTAGCATGATTCGCCTATAGTGATTGGTACAGATGCCGTTCAATGAAATACAATGTTTTTACATGCCCTTGGGACATTTATCATTTCCTTATCAGATGACGGCCGAAATTTGCAGCCGGCTCTCCTACTATGAGGTTTTTCTTGGGTTATTCTTTGGAAAAGCCCAATAGTTGTTGTGTATAATTTTGAAATCACTGTTTTGAAGCATATTTATGGAAGTAAGATTTTGTTTTTATTCATATGCATAATATAAAGTGACAAAATCAACAAATTTCATGGTGAACAGGTGATGTTTGGTTTGATTTAAAATATTAATTCTGAATTATCCAATCACCCCTTCTTGTTCCTAAACTAGGACTAAGTTAGGTGGTTAAGTCATGCATGAATTTAACCTTGAGATATTCCATTTATTCATATATGAATTCAAGTCTGAGACAAGACTTGAGAGTTGCTTCTGGTTACACTAGTAGAACTTCCACCATATTTCTATTTTATTTTGATCATATTCCATTTTATAAAAGTATTTGATACAGTCATTCATGATTCAAAATAATCACAAATATTTTTATTCAATAATCAAAATAATCACTAGATGACATGACATACTGATATGCAACATTAATGTTTTATTGCTCAAAACCAATGAGAATATTTCCACATTCTACATGGAAATAAGAATTTAGTTCCAAAGTAGGAGTGCACCAAAATATACTCAATAGGTATACAGGGTGTCCGGAGATAAAACCGACAAAACTCATAGGGATATAGGGACTGTCGATATGATTGCAAAATGCCATAAACGAATGTCCAAAATCGCTTCGTTACTGAGATACAGAGTGATTTGTGGATTTTGACAAAAAATTCAATCCGCCATATCAAATACAGGGAATAACCGATTAGATTCGAATTTGGTACACGAATTACACTGGAAAGCATCAACAAGTAGCCCTTTGATCGAAACCAATATCAGGACCGGAATGATATTTTTCCCCTATGTTGAGTTATTATTAGAATAACTCACCCTGTATAATGATTACCAAAAATTTCAACTCAGATTCGAAATCTACGGTGAAAATTGTATAGGAATTTGTTGGAAAATCTCCTGGCACTATCTTAGTTATTCCGTAATTAATTATTATTTTAATTTTTTTCATTAAAAAATCAATTATTTTCGGATAAAGTACCACCAAAATTGTTAATATAATAAATATTTACGAAACCATGACATGAATGTCGTTATTTTCTTCAATCAGTTCATAAATTGGAGTAAAATGAAATATTCTCATTACCCGAAAAAACTGAAGAATAAATTCATATCAGGAATGGAATGAGTTTTTTGTTTGTTTATGTTAGCTCACCTAGTACATCAATAGTTATCAATAATCTGATCGTAGATTCGGAATCTAAAAAAATCGTATGAGAACCTGTTAAAAAAGGATAAGAGTGAAAATTTCGAAAATTATATTAGCTCACTAATGAATTTGAATTTATGAAAATACTACACAAAGAACAACAACTGTTTGTAATGAACATAACAAAACCAATGAATTCATAAAAACCTTTCGCTACCCAGTATTACAAAACATTTTCAAAGTGGAGCGCTCCGGCATCATCAATACATTTTTGAGAGCGTGCTATTAGATGATTCACTCTGACTTGCGTATTATTTTCTAACACTAACACAGGCAGCAGTAATTTTCCATAATAAATTTTCTCTAATTCAAATTCCTTCATTATGAACTGCTTACTTTAAATGACCTCATAAAAAATAATCTAGCTGAGTTGGATCAGGGGATAGCGGTGGCCAATTTACTGAACCTCCACGGCCAATCCATCTATTGGGGTGATTGACATCGAGATGGTTTCTAACTGGAACTGAAAAGTGAGGTCTAGTACCATCATGCTGAAACCACATACCCCAGGTATTTACACTTTGCAATAGATCCGGTCAAGTATTAACCAGGAAATTTAGGTAAACATCACCAGTTAAAGCCCATACAAAAATAGAATATCTGCTATTCCTCATTAGTGAGATGAAACGGCATCCAAAACACACTTTCAGAACTATAGTTTGATCCTAAAAACACTGGAATAATGAATGAACATCAATAATAAAACAAACGCTGATGACAGGTAAACAATGGTTTTCCATAATGACATTCTGAATTTGACACAAGCCTAGTATTCTCTATACACAAACATTATAAGGTACTGATACGGATTTATTATTTGAAAGTTCAGTTGGATAATTTTTCAACAAGTTTTTTAACTTTTCTCAGTGCATTTCGAATCTGCGATCAGATGATTGTTATACTAGATCATCTATTTTTACAGGAATATAATCATAGAAAACCTCATTCCAGTCCTGATACGAATTATTTTTCAGTTTTTTCGGGTCATGAGAGTAATTTATTTTACTACAATTCACGAACTGATTGAAGAAAATAACTGTATTCATGTCATGGTTTCGTTAATATTTATTTTATTACCAATTTTGATGGTAATTTATCCGGCAATAATTGATTTTTGAATGAAAAAAATTGAAATGATAATTAATTACGAAAAAACTAAGATAGTGCCAAGAGGTTTTTAGACAAATTCCTATACAATTTCCGCCGTAGATTTCGAATCTGAGTTGAAATTTTTGGTTATTATTATACAGGGTGAGTTATTCTAACAATAACTCAACATAGGGGAAAAATATTATTCCGGTCCTGATATTGATTTCGATCAAAGGGCTACTTGTTGATGCTTTTCAGTGTAATTTGTGTACCAAATTTTAATCTAATCGGTTGATCCCTGTATTTGATATGGCGGATTGAATTTTTTGTCGAAATCCACAAATCACTCTGTATGTCAATAACGAAGCAGTTTTGGACATTGGTTTATGGCATTTTGCAATCAAATTGAGAGTCCCTATAACCCCATAAGTCTTGTCGGTGTTATCTCCGGACACCCTGTATAAGTAGTATGGTATATAATTGCAATGGATTGTTGGCCATATTTGATGTCAATGAATATTTATTGTAACTGTATAGCTCTGAGGAGAACATGGTTTATGACAGTGGACAAGTTTGGGACAGTACTTACTTCAAAATAATGAAATAAAAAGTTTCACTGAACAGGCCCATGTAATGCCACTATAGAATGCTATATAATTGTCTGTATAAGTAATTTTCATTCAAGCATTCACAGATCAATTCACAAAAGAGGGAGCAAACATCCAGACAAACATAGAACTTGCACTAACATTTCAATATTTTCAATTGGCAAGATCAATTACTCATTTGGCTGACTTCTTCCCTTTATTATTTACACTAACAGATGAGCCACCTCCATGTAAAATATGGAAGCCAAATTTGGCCTTATAGTTCTTGGCTGGTTTGTAGAAGTTACTAGCAAATCTGCTGGAGTCTATTAATATGCAAGTTGCTGAAGCATGTAGGAATAGCCTTCTTTCTGAAGCAGGAAAATTACCTGGAAATGTACTAACTTCAATAGTATAACTTTCAAACTTGTTTTTATATGATAAAGATATTTCAATCTGTCCTTCATGCACATTCCTCTCCACCCTTAGCTATTCAATAGAAAATAGTCCACCTTGTTGCTTATATGTTGATACTGTCCCCTACTGAATAGAATTTCTGCTTCATTACTCTTATAAGAATGGTTCATCTTGTTAGTGTAAGTCTCCTTGTAATTAATCAAGCTGTTCAGGAAATAGTTATTTCACATACAAGATTTTTCAATCATATTCCTTGAAACAAATGTTGATCACAGAATTTCTCACTTTACATAATATAACATGTCCTTTGTTGGACATACCTACCTATCCACCTTAAACTACTGGAAAATAGGTCAGCAGACAATGAAAGTAATATGAAAACTGTGTTTACCCTTATTTTATTATCTCCCAACTCTAGAAGGTTCAAGTTTTCCAAATGATCCAGGTGTTCAATTTTGCAAATTTTATTTGAAGATAAAAAAAGTTTTTTCAAATTCTTCAAATTGCCCAGTCCCTCAATCTCCTTAATCCTGTTGAAGGACAAGTCTAGAATCCTACAAAATGAATATACAAAGTTAAAAACTCTTGCAATAAGTATGCTGACATCTTACTCTAAATTCACTAGACTTTCCAAGTTTTCAATTTTTGTAATTTGATTGTCATAGAGCTCCAACTCTACCAAGGTAGTTAGACTTTCTAAATTTTCAATTTTTGTAATCAAATTCCACCTCAAATATAAATTCTCTATACATGTGAGTGGTTCCAAATTCTGAATCTTATTAATACGACCATGGTTCAAATCCAATTCCAAACAATCAGGGTCTATAATCACTATATCATTGACAGTGGGACTGCTTTCCTCAGTGTGTGATGAGGCCCCATGAACAACTCCATCAGGTCCAGTACCTGCAAATATTGGAAAATTATAGAAGTTGGGATACTTACAAATGAGTAGAGCAAAAATGCGATGCTTTAACATACTCTGTTGTTCAGCAATTTCATTATCACCAGCAGGAACAGGCATTTTCATATCAAAAAATCACATGAATCATATACTGTTAAATAAATGATTTTCAATTTGTCTCATTGAAAAGTTGATCCACAAAGAAAAACTATGAAAATATTTCGTTGGTTTCACTCTTTACAAAGTAGGTAATCTGAATTCTCTTCATAAATTATAAATAATTAATCTTCTCAATATTTTTTATTTTTCTCCCCAATAAATGTGACAGCCATGAGTCATATGCATATGACACTCGTGACAGCTGACAGCCTGATTGTTAGGTGACAGAAAATTGACATTGAACTAATCCATACCTTGGCACTAAACAATCTAAACATTTGGCCTACTGGCTAGTGGCGGATCTGCCTATGTCCCATGCTTTTATGATCCTAAAAATAAAATCAAGTTGTGAGCACGTTGTGAGACCAAATCGGAAAAAAGGAAATAAAAATAAGACGACATATATTATGATCCTAACCTAAATACTTAACCTATATTACAAACAAACAGAACAGCTCGCTCAGTCAAAAACATTACAAACCAGAGATCTAATAAATTGTATATAAAGAGACAGACCTGATAAACTTTTCAGACGGCAGACGGGAGATCCAGCATCCAGCTGCTACCATCTGTAGCAGAATGGCTTCCATTGTAAAACTTTTAGTTACCAAATTCACAAATAACTCACCAAGTTATATAAAACTGGTTCCAGCTGTATCAAACATCATTGGGGCTCCAAAGTACTATTCTAATATTCCAGTAGAATATGAAATCTCAGATAGCAAACAGGAAGCAATTTTGAACAAGCAAGTCATTGGAAAAGTGAATGAATTGGTGGCTGCAAAAAGTGACAGACTCTTTGCTGTAGTACATGTAGCAGGAAAACAATTCAAAATAACAAGTGGAGATGTTATAGTAATTGAGGGATATTGGCCACCAAACATAGGTGATAAATTGATTCTTGATAAAGTACTATTGGCTGGTTCCATGGATTTTACATTGATTGGCCGTCCTATGATACAAAAAGGTCTCATAGGAGTTCATGCAACTGTTATTGAGAAAACTTTGTCCCATACCAAGATCCATTTCAGAAAGAAGAGGAGGAAACAATATATGAGGACACATTTCTTTAGAATACCTCAGACATATTTAAGGATCAATAATATTGAGATTGAAGATGTGATTGACAATCCATCAGAAGTAAGAGGCCTGAAGAATATAGTTTTTTAGAATTCTAATCATGTAGATTTGTGGAAGTTTACTTCAACACTATTTTCTACATCATGTTTGAGAACATTACAGGATTAAAATATTACAATTTGATTTGTTTTCTGTGTTCACTTAATTGAAATTGGTTGAAAACAGCTATAATTTCTTCAATTAAACCTTTCACCTTAAGCTTTAGGTAATTGTAGAGACTATTTATTTTTTCCATAATATACTACTGTGAATAAACCATTCAATAAAAAGTATCTATTATTGAAATGAATTTTCTTTATTAATCAAATTTCATTGATCTGAAATTTTTATTAAAACTTTCCCAACATTTTTCCTTTCAGCCAGTAATCTTGTAGCACTTACAATCTGTGCCATTGGCATTGTAGAGTGTATCAGGGGTTTTAGTATTTCATCTTTAATAAGTTTGAAGATATGTTCCAAAGTTTTCTGCACCTTATTCCTGTCTCTTTCTACTAGCATTCCCAAATGTAAACCAGCTACCACCCGGCTGTTGGTGATCAGAGATTCAATAGATACATTCTTCATTGTCCACCATGATTTCAAGAGAGATAACATTGAGATTTTTTGATCATTTTGAATATAATTGTTGGCACCTAAAATATAATCATTGACCATTATTATTTCAGTCCTATTCATCATGTTATAAGGTACCAACCTATTATCACTATATTTCCCAGAGGATTCAATAGTTCTTGAAGAAAATTGAATGTATTCCCTGCTTCATTTGTTAATATCAAGTCAAATTTCTGCATTTGTAATTCTTCAAAACTCTCATTTGGAATAAATGTGTCAACGCCATTTTTTAGTGCATCTTGCTTCTTACTAATTGAACCAGTACCAAATACAGTAACTCCTTTTATTGTTTTTGCTATCTGTGTAGCAGCTGATCCTACTCCACCTTGAAATAGATTTGAAAAACTCCTATGAATAACTACCAATTAATTTACAAAAATACCTCCAGGACAGTTTGATTGAGAATCAGGGTAAGGAGATATCTTCAGATTGACTGAGATATACACTGTGCCAAGATAAGGAGGGCCAGTATGGGCATCTTGGAAACTACAAGAGATACAGATTTAGTTAAATCGGGGAAAAGTTGCACGGGTCAAGGACCAACAAAAACACTTCAAAAAATCTCTGATATAACTTATTTGAAGACTCATTGGTCAAGCAGGCTGAAACTGCAGAAAATGGAAACAGTACCTATGTACTTTTTTGTATATTACTCATATACATTGTGCCCATGATAAGGAGGACAAGTATGGGCATCACGGAAACTAGGAGAGTTACATCAGATTTGGTTAAATGGAAGAAAAGTAAAGGACCAAACAAAATGACTTCCATATGACTGATCGTTTTTGAGCTATTTTCAAAAAACTATTTCCAGATTTGCTTTTTTGTTTGGCGTTAAGAATGAAGTTATGACAAATTTGAAAATACATCTTCGATGCAACTTTTGATGCTTTCTAATCCGGCATCATCGATTTTCTGATCCAACGTTTCGTTTTTCAGCAACCGTCATCAACTTAATTTCTTCAAATACGACCTTGATACTTTGATATCAGGTTCGAGTAGCCCTTTCTAGTCTGGAGGATACCTATACTACATACTGTGGTTTTGATGCGTTTCAAGCTTATTTTGGCCATCATCAAGAAATTTTTTAAATACCCACCTGACCTGACTCAATGTGGTTATTAAAGATATGAGTTATCTCAATAACTTACACAGTGACTATACGGATGTATGTTTCATTTAGGCTATTTTTCCAAATCTCAATTTGAACAACACAATTAAAGAAATATGCATACTTGATGTCGCGGACATTTTGCTGTAAATAAGAGCGGGGTTTTTCGTAGTTACTTGACCAGTGTTTGCTGGGTAGTGATGGCCCGGTGAGCTGTTCCGGCGATTTGACCAAGAATACGGCGTTTTTGTCCCTTCGGTTATGTCATAAAATGACGAATCAAACTAGTTTTGTTAGCGATTAGTGCGGGGGAGGCATCAAAGTTGTTGAAAAAACCATCGCAACACTTTCCCTGGAATCTGAGAATTGTTTTCTGAATAAGTAGTGAATTAACTAAAAAATGATGTGGATACCGTCAGTCTTCAAGATATCGTAACTGGACGCGTCAGTCATAAAAAAGTAAATGGTTGGTGGTGAAACTGTTTTCTTATAGTACATACTATTTAATGCACTCATGGATAAGTAAAACGTTAAATAAAAAATAACGCCTTCAGAAATTTCGATTCCTATTGTATAAAATGAAACTCAACGACAATTTCCCAAAACACTTCGATTAATAAAAATAACAGAAGCAATAACAATAAGTTACCTCTTTTTCACTTGGCAAATTGCAGTGGGGTAATCATAAAAAAGTTAATTAAGTTGTTTTTTATTGTTTAATATATTGTTCTGAACACGTTACACTATTTATTGCATCCATCTCGGCATCCATATCATGTCATATTTCTAATAAAATTATTGAAAATAAATTCCTGAATTTAGCCGTTAATGCAAAGTACTTTAATTTAAAGTACCACTGTTTTCCGAAAATAGGGATTTCAAGTACCCTTAACTCCCTGATGATGTTAAATTTGGTATAAAAGTGGTTGATAATAGGCAAAATCAAATCAGCAGTCCATAGAACAAGCGCGCCGCACGATCATTTACATATAGCATGCTCAACGTCGGGAGCTTTTTATTTAATGATGAAATAAATATAATATGTTCCTGAGGAAAACATATTCAACATTTATTTCAAGAATATTGTTTTTATCAAATATTGAAAAAATAATTAATTTCATCAATATTTAATAAAATCAATATTTTTTTGAATAAATGTTCAATATATTTTTCTCAGAATCATTTATTTCATCATTGAATAAGAAGCTCGCAACGTTGTGCGTGCTATATGTAAATAATGCGCGCGGCGCGCTGTTCTATCGACTGCTGCCGACGTATGTTCGGCTTGACTATGTTTTTTTATGTTTTCAATTTTTTACAACTTGTATACCAAATTCAACATTTTAGAAAACATTTTCACCATCAACCATACTTTGAAGACTGACGGTATCTACAACATTTTTTAGTTAACTCACATTACAGAAACACATTTTTATATTTTAGAAAACTGTTGCGATATACATGGTATTCCAACAGCTTTGAAACCGCTAACGAAACTGGCTGACTGACGGCAGACTACGCTATACACCCTAACTAATACATAATATCGAAATTTCAGCCTTCAGAAAACTGTTGCATTCGTCACTCACCTCTCCGCCTAATATGTTCGAAACATGAATCTCCCCGAGACTTAAACAGTCGTGGAAATAATTTTGAGTATTATTCAGTAGTTACTCCACTTTGCGAATCGATAAACTTATTTCTACCAAATGTTATTACTAATAACGAAACATTGGAAAAAGAAAAATAGTTATTTATTATTATTGAGGGAAAATAGTAGTAAATTTTAGCTCCAGGTTGTGAGCTAAAATCTTATATCTTTCCCGTGTATAAACACTATATTTTTCTGTGACAGAAAGAAAGGCGAAGAATCAATATTGAGAAGATATTATTATTATACATTATATTGAAATCAGAAAATTATCATCCTGAAATTAGGAGACTTTAACAGGAATAACATCTTCGTTGCAGACAACTTTATCATTCTTTTGAAGTAATTAAATATCCGTCAGTCTAATTCTGTGATTTGAATTTGAAAAATTGCGAATTCAGTGGTTGTTTAGTAAATTACCGCGAAGTCGAATGCAAGATAAAAGGACTTGCAGTTCTTTCTCGGAGACGGTGTAATGGCTTATTTTTCGGAACTATAGCACAAGAAAAGCCATCAACAATTTATATGTTATATATATCTGGGAAAAAGTACTCACTTTTTTCCCGTGGGAAAAAACTAGTTTTTGAAAAGTGACATTTTATAACTTGTCAACAGAGATGAAATTTCAAACTTTTTTTTCGTTACAGAAAAAAAATTATTACGTTTCAGTTGTTATTTCCATTATTTGTAATGATAAGTATTTAGGATCTCAAACAGACTAATAAAAATATAGCCTAAAGTATTCGTAAGTGCTCGAAAAATCGCACGTGTTTTAGAGAACGTAATATCCACTTATACTTCAATATACCTACTATTTTATGTAACATTATAATGTATTTTTGCTTGATATCTACCTGTACAAGATAAAATCAGAATAGTTTCATTCTCCTTGAGATTTCCGAGACTCAGCAATGAAAAATAGGCTGTTAAATAGTTAACAAAAATAGCTGCACCAAGTTTTGTACTTATGAAATCTGGTAATAGAAAGCATTTAGTTGGGCTGAGGCGTACCACTTCTCTATACATTCCTCCATTGTAATCATAACAGATAACTCTTTGTCCCACCTAAAAATGTACTTGTTGGTGAAACTAGAATATTTGAGGAAGGTTATTGAATACTTTGAAATCAGTGTTGGAGACATTCGATCCAATAGAAGTAATGATTCCAGTACATTCGATGCCCAGAACAAAAGGCAGTTTCTTATTTGCCATCAACCCTTGCCTTGTATATAAATCAGCAAAATTCAGTCCCCCATATTCTACCTTTATTTCAATAGTATCGTCCAACGGAGGAAGATCGAATTCTTGAATCTGAAAAAAATTAAAATCGTTTCTTCATTTTATTATCGTGCGCAGACATATAATATCTAAGCACAGCATGAGACAATTTTTTTAATCAACTTATTGAAACGTTTCAACTAGTTGGTATAACGGTAGGTACTTACATTACAGAAGAGGTATATATGTATATAGGTATATCGGAATATAGTTATTCATATACCAAGTGCGTTATATAGATCCTAATATCCGAAGGCCTTTGGCCCGAGGGATGACTAATACCCGATGGGCTTTAGGATCTAGTAATGCCTGTGGTGCATACAAGATTTTATTTTTCATGAGAAAAATATCTTACTATAATGAAAAATCGATTTTAAAAAACGGTCCATTGCTCCTAGCATTTTCTTTCCATTCTTCTTCTCATGGTAGGCATGGCATTTGTTGATATTTTGACGTTTGTTGAATATTGCTGTCATCATTTAATTTAGTAATTGTCATTGCTGCTTTCTTTGTGTAGTCTTATAGGAATAATGGGAATGAATACAATTTTACCAAGAAATATCATAAAAAATGCAGACAAGGCTCTACGATTAATTTATTGCCAGAGAAATCAAGAAGACAAGGATTATTATTTTAAGTTGAAAAATGGAACTATTGCCATAGATGAGACCGTCGTGTTATTGGCGTACACTTTCAAGAATTGGTATGTAATTTTATGAACTACAGAAATAACAATATTAGCGGGCGTTGTGATTCATAATGCCATCCATAACGCCCGAGTCCGACGAAGTTAACTTTGGGACAGCATGTGACGCAACGCATATGCATTTTCAATGCATACGCGACCACGTGCTGTCCCAAATTTATCGTGGTCGGACTCTAATAGCAATCGTTGCCAAGGTAGTATAAAGCAGTGATGGACAAGTGTAAAAATTTATTTAGGATTTAGGGCAACTTACCTATATCCAAAATCGTCTCGTTGAGTTGGTATAAGGCGTTGAAGTTTTTTTGGAAAAACATTATTTTGCTCTCGAGGTTCATTTGCAAATAAATAATTTCTCATCTGAGGCATCTTATGCATTTTTCAGAAAAATAATCTGGTTGGGACATGACTTGACTGTAGACTCCTGAGATGAGAATAAGTTGATTTCAGCAAACTTGCCTATATCGAAAATCGTTTCGTTGAGTTGGTGCAAAGTGTTAAAGTGCTCACCTTAGGTCCTGAATATTTATCGCTAAATTTGTAATGCGAGAGCTCTTGTAAAGCCCGCGAGGACCAGCAACATATCAGTTTGTTAACAATAAGAATACATTGTAGCCATGATTAATAAACAGTCCGACTAATTAGATAAATTTTCAAAAATGCGCAGGATGCATCATATCAGAAATTATTCATTTGCAAATGAACCTCTAGACTCGTCAAAAATTAGCACGATACAAAAAATATTTCTGAAGGGAATATCTTTCTGGAAAAAAACCTGGAAGTTTCCAGTCTGAAAAGTTATCACCAAATTTGTACGGCAACATGGTTGTTTTAAACACTTGCAGATCACTGATGATGATCAAAAACTTCTCAAAACGTGACTTACAGTCACAGAACTTGCCATGCCAAAAATAATGAAAATCGATCTCAGCCTACTCTTTTTATGAGCAAAATTATTTTTTTCCAAAAAAACTTCAACGCCTTGTATCAACTCAACGAGACAATTTTGGATATAGGTAAGTTGGCCTAAATCAACTTGCAGGAGTCCACAGCCGAACCATGTCCCAACCTCTTACAGACACCCTGTATATATATTATATATGGATATTCTTGCAGAATATTCAAAATTATCCTATGACTATTTTTGTGCTATCTGGGTAACGCCATTATTTTAGCGGGACGACTGAAAAGTCTTTATAGGTATTTTGAGAAATAATGTTCTTGAAAACGATATTTTGATTAGATATAGAGCGGCAAATGAAAAAATAAATTCAATTATTAGGAAACCGCACAGCAAAAAATCGAAATGTTCTGGTCACATTCGGCAGCTGATCTAATCTCCTAATCTGAATTCCAGGAAATAAATGTTTATTATTAGGTAGGTAGGCGCCTATAGGTACTTAGCGTTTTCTAAAAAAAAAAACAGAAACATATGATTCAATTCCTAATAATTGTTGTTGGTGCCGGCGGGTATTTCATGACTATTCAGATTTGCCGATATTCAGAATGGGCACCTATCTATAGTATTATTTTTCAATTATTCAGGATTTTTGTCGGTCACACAATGTCATATAGCACATAGGGTATATACAGGGTGTTTCAAAAAAACCTAACCCCCTTGCTAGGGTAGGTAGAACATTGCAAAATAAGTTGAGTTTGCTCAGTGAAAAAATGTCGTAACGGCATCCGTTTTCATGATACAAGGTGTTGAAAAAATTATTTTTTCACACATTTTTCACGATTATTCCGAAACTACTGGCAACATTGTAATGCGATTTTGTATGGATGTTTCTTGAAATCTGACACATCGCATGAATTTGTTTTTATATCTGACTCTCATAGAGGGCGCTAGTTACACGGTTCGTACCGAGTAGTTTTCAACATAAGTTTTTTTAGGTTAGATTTTTCTATCCAAATATGATATGAACTTGAACATCATTCAATTTTACACCAAAAAGGTACTCTCGGTGAAACTCCATACTATGTTCCGTTCTCGGAATATCTCGATTTGAAAATAATGGAGTAGTAATGATGCTGATATAAAATGAATTTTATTGAGTTCAATTACCTATTTATTCAGGTTCAAAAACAATGAAATTATTCTTGTGCTGAAGAAATTGATGGAACAAAGAATCATAAGTAGAAAATTAAGAGATATCAGTTAGAGTTAGTGTTCAAATTGTCCTACGTTTCGAGGAATACACGATTCTATGTTATTTTTTTGAGAATGTATTATTTTTCTGATCAGTTGAGGATCAGCTGTTAGGTCATTTAAGTGATGTTCAATTATGTCTCACCAATCTTGACGTGAATTTACCTATGTAGCATAGACTTTCTGCTCAAGATACAACAAAACTGTGTAATCCATGTTCTTAGTCAAATCTGTTTCAATGTTATTCTTGTGATTTATTGTTAAATCAATGAGTTTTGCATCAGAAATGTATTGTTGTTTTCGGTTTTCAATAAATAGGTGATAATTTTTCATAACACTCACTCTAATACATAGCTTTATACCAGCAACAGTTACCACTTCATCTTCAAATCGAAATATTCCGAAAACAGAACACATTATCGAGTTTTACCAAGAGTACCTTTTTGGTGTGAAATTGAATGATGTTCAAGTTCACATCAAATTCGGATTGAAAAATCTAACCTCAAAAAAGTTATGTTCAAAACTACTCGATACGAACCGTGTAACTAGCGCCCTCTATGAGAATCAGATATAAAAACGAATGCATGCGATGTGTCAGATTCTAAGAAACATCTATACAAAATATCATCACAATGTTGTCAGTAGTTTCGACAAAATCTTGAAAAATATGTAAAAAAATAATTTTTTTAACACCTTGTATCTTGAAAACGGATGGCATTACGACAATTTTTTACTGAACAAACCCAACTTATTTCGCAATGTTCTACCTACCCTAGCAAGGGGGTTGGGTTTTTTTGAAACACCCTGTATATAAATACGAGACTAAATTCTACCATCATCGAATACTAATCGTTTGTTCAAAAACTAGCACCATCTGTAAAATTTGTTTACATAAACTTATCGTTTCATAATGAGGTCTTCTCTGGATGTGAATGTTTTGCAACAAGAAACTGGACCACCCTGTATAACACACTCCTGAGAATGATGGGAGTAAGATATGGTGCGCGTATTCGGCCATTATTACGTATTGAAAATTTCAGAAAAATCACTCGACCGGCCTACTATGATTTCTCTACGTCACAACGAGCGAGACGTTGATTCTACATTTTCCCGCTAGATGGTGATGCTGCTATTGCTTGCTGCTGTGACGAGTGGAATGGCAAATGGCATTTTAGGTACGCGGAACATATGTAACAGTGGGATTAAACAACTCTGAATTCGAAAAATCTGCGACAATTTCAAAACTGACAGAAGTCATAATTGTGCAATGTCGCCATCTATTAGAAGATCAACGGAACCATTGCTCTCCCTGCTCTCGAGAGGTCGAGTAAAATTTCTGAAACAAAAGCGCATCAGTAATTACACCATATCTTACTACCATCATTCTCCTGAGTATAACCAAGATTCATCGCGTGGCCATGGTAACGATTTTAAAAGCATTTGATTGGTTAAAACATGGAAATTGGATGGGAAATTTCAAGTGTCACATTTATATACTTCTGGATCAGGATCCAAGATCTTGCTTCAGAATTGATTTACAATAATAATGCTATGATTGAATTGAATACACAAAATCAACATCCGAGTAATATTCAGTTGCAGACATATAATATAAAAACAATAACCTACGCTCAGAGATTCATATCCACCAAACTTTTTGACCACTACAGCTTTACTATTCCTGCTTTCCATTCTCAAAAAAATTTAGATTGGATATAGCCACACAAAATTAAATAAGAATCAAAAACCTACTGACTACCTCTACTTTGTAAATGTAAAAATAGAAATGAAAACAAAAGTACTTCTTGATACTGCCTAGTTGGCCGGCGACGGTAAATTAAGCGCATACATGAAGAAGCATGTAACCATTAAGGCATAGTATAGTATATATAGTATAGTATAGGGGGACATGTTTCGGGCTTACATCATAAGCCCATAATCAGCCAAGAAAACATTATAAAGTCCTACAATGATAAATAAAAAAAACTAGTAATGTGGTAAATTCAATTATTATATGGTACTTGAAATAAAAGAGACAACGTTTTTGTCTGGAGGTTACACCCAGTGATGGGCAAAAGTGTGGGACCAAGTGAATATCTCGGTAAAGTTTATGCAAAGGCAGTTGAAATCATCAAACGAATGTCGGGCCGCGCTGCCGCACTCTTTGAACTTTCAAAGGGACCGACGGCTTGCGGTGATGTGTTTTTCCAATTGACTTCGTGTTTGTATAAACTACAGCCATTCTTGAGGTTTTTTGAATATATTTACAACAGGATGATATCACAATATAACGGATTCTAAAATGATATCGCCAACTTCATTATTTCAAATGACACACCCTACTATAAATTCTTATAAAATTTGTAAGATAATTTTTCAGAGAATTCATTGATATATCATTTGTTGTCATCATTATTTTTAATAACAACAGAGGTATCTGAAAAAATCGACGAAGTATTGAGGGACGATGGCACATCGATCAAAGTGTGTGTTCTTTGTCCCATAAGATTCTGATATGAATGATGAAGCTAATAGAGAAAATGGCAGGTACTGGTCGCAAACTTATCCTCACTGGGTATACTTACAAGAGGTTCATACACAATAAAAATATCCCCGAAAACTGAACGTTTGGACTGGTATTTACTCCAACAGGATTTTTGTGCTTTTTTTAGAAGACACTTTGAATACAGACACTTATAAAATCTGTTGAATTCATAAGCCATTAGGGCGCTAGAGGAAAATTAACAACTACCAAGTGCCTGGTTTCAGCAGGACTAGGCACCTCCCCATTACGGTCGCATTGTTCCAGATCATTCAGACAGGACATTTAATAATAGATCGATTGGAAAAAGAGGTACGATTGAATGACCTGCGCGATCTCCCGATCTAACTCCACTGGACCATTTTCTATGAGGTTATCTGAAGTCCGAAGTTCATTTTAACAGACCAAATAGTTTGCCAGAACTAGCTGAAAGAATAACCAGAGTGATTCAAAGAGTTCATCCAGGAGTAATTATTAATGTCTTCAATGTCGTCTAATGTTATGAGGGAATTACAAACAGGCTAGCCTACTGTCAAGAAGCAAAAGTGCTCAGTTTGAACATTCAATAAAATGGGTTTATTTTCACTTGATGCCTTCACCTGTTTTATTCAACTGTTCTGAATTAATTCAATTTTGATTGTGCCTATGTTTTCGAATAGGATTTGTCAAATATCGGTAGTGAGAATTTTATTTAGTTTTTATTATTTGGTTACTTCGTTCGTTTCATTTTGGAGATATTTCTGTTATTGAAAATAGATATAATAAATAATATATCAATGAAATTTGCTGAATGATTCTCATCCAAAGTTTATAACAAATATTCGCGGTCGCCAAGGTCATTAGATGACGTTGCGATGACATTAGAAACTACGTGAAAACATCCTAATCCGTGGCATAGATTGAAAGTTGAACTTGTTTCCCCGTAGTATTTAAAGTCATCAGAACGTCATCTCATGACCTTGGCGACCGCGAATAGGTATAGGGTGTGTAATTTGAAATAAAAAACTTGACACGAATTTCATAAAAACTTAAAAACTAAAAACGTGGAAACATTGACGATAACATTTTCTAATCCGTAATGTTTCGAAATCACCCTATACAAGAATTCAAAACAGTTTAACAAACGGTTACCGAGGTATTCACTTCACCCATGGTAAAGTTGTCTACAACCGGAAGACCTCCTCATTAGAGGCTTCTATGCGCCATTCAGTATTTGCCGAGATATTTCCTTTTTACAGTGTGTTTCAAAAGTCTGGGAACGGTGTCATATTTCAGAAACGACTCGGGGAAGAGAATAGTGATATTATAGCAATGTTGAAAAATCAACAGTTCATCATATGTTGAGGGTAACTCAACTTATTCAAATGTAACACCCTATTTATTTTCATTGCAATCAATTCATCGCCCCCTCATTACTTACGTCTCCAAATATGAGATTTCAATATAATGTGGTTTTTGAAATATGACAACGCAAAATATCAATCCGTTGAGAATCGCTCGATGAAATATCATGAAATTTTATACTGGATGTTTTTTCAGATATTGCCGGTAGCTCTATCATTTTAAACGAAACAATCTTTTTATTTTCATTTCGAAAAATTCGCAACTCGCCCCTCAATGCCGTCTTGAGAACCCCTGCCACTTGTCACTCAAATAATTACCTACGTTTAGTAATAATCATCAATTATTATTATCAAAATGAATTTCGAATCGAGCGAGTCTGAACGGATTTATATTTTGCGTTGTCATATTTCAAAAACCATAATAATTTGAAACCTGATATCTGGAGACATAAGTAATGAGGGGGCGCTGAATTTATTGCAATGACAGTAAATAGCATGTTCCATTTCAAAAAAATGAGTTACATTGCCAATATCATCATTGAATTGGACATCATCAAAAACCAACCTGTATAAAATCTGAATTTTCTACGAGTCGTTTCTCATCCTTAGTCATAGACAAGTCAAAAGATACAAGTTGGCGAATTCGATTATAAGCCATACCGAAGAAATGATAGGTGATAATAAATATTACTATACCTATACCTAGTTACAAAAAATACTCGTCATTTTGTGAAGTTATATGTATAAAAAGCTCGTCGAAATTTTGTTATAACACGAATCAACACATGAAATCGTACATATTCTGAAAATCGATGTTTGACTTGGTTATCACTGTATATGACTCTCATCCACTGACATAACTATTTTCTAGATTCTAGACCACTAATGCCATAAGAAAGAAGCTATGCCACTTACGAGATCGAACTGGGAAACATGAGTTATGCGCCTTTAGGACCTGTCACTTCTTCTTATTATGTTTCCGAACAGCAAGAAACATGACAGTTTGAGGGTTCCTGCGCATTGAGCAGAAACGTTTCCAGGCGAGCAATTTACCCGAGATTTTCGGGTTGCAAGGATATGAAATATGGTGGTCAAGTACACCTGGAAATAAACGAACATCAATATTATAATACTAGAAATAGAAATCAGACATACTCACCCCGTTTCATGACTAAATCGGTTGGATAACAAAGTTCAATGTATCTTGGCACAAAGCTCTATAACTACTTACCGGCGGCTCTAAAAAGCATATTTTCGAGTTTCACTTTCAAGAGAGAGCTGAGAAAGTTTACAATATCAGAACCACGAAGCTATATCCACAATATTATTGAACTAAGGATTTTAGATACGAGGCATTAGGAAAGGAGTTGGGAGTTGGAGAATGCTATTAACATCACTAAACATGACCTTTATGAACTTCAATTTATGTAACATTTCATTAGTCTTTAATTATTCATTTATTTATCTATCTAAAAAAAACATTCAAATATACTGAAGTATATTTTATCATATATGTGTGAATGTATGATAGTTTATGATAATTCTATTCAAATGTAGTTAAGTATATATGCGTGTCTCTTAGTATTTAATGTATCTAAAAAATAACCTTTCATCATGTTTCACCTTACTCCGCACATGTTTTTTACTTCTTGGAGTTCCATGTTTATTGTATTATATATAATGTAACTTTTTGTTGTAACCTCTACAATAAATAATATTATTATCATTATTCTAGATAGTAGTTATGTCAGTGTTCTCATCTTATATCTCCATGAATCTGTTACTGACACTACTGAAGCTTTATTTTTGAATTTGGAGAACGATTCCCTCGAGAAAATGCTGGGTGTTAATTGTCTACAATGTCACCTTCCACTGCAGTTCTTGGTAGATTATGAGAGAAGACGAAATGGAGTTCTTGTTTCTCTACTACCTATCGAGAGAAGCAGCCAAGATGGAAATTATTCATTTTTAAACACGCCGACCTTTCTCTCGGCGGACTAGCTCTTTCAATTGAAAAATAAGGCCACTATTCATATTACCATCAAATCCATATTAAAAATGTAAATAAGAATGTAGTCAATAGTGTATAACATGTTGCACATGAGCCGAAGAATATGTTTAACACGTGTCTTGAGCATGCACTGCGAATTTGATGATGGCTTCAACTTCATTCGAGCTTCATACTTCAGCGTCAATATTGAAGTTGAATCAGGCTTCATAGTAAACGATAAAACATGCTTGAAGAAACTTCAAAATGCGACGAGTGCGTGCACGCGAATTCAGATATCAAAATATCAAAAATATATATGTTACACCCCCGTATCATACGTAATCGTTGGGTTAGAATCCTGAAATTTTCTAGAGCGGGAGATATACCAAAGATACACTCTATGATCAAGTGGGGCCATCTTCAGTGATATACACTGCTCGCCAGCATCCTTGGAAACACCTACATTTCCGAAAAATTATATTAGGAGGCAAGATAGGTTGAAAATCACACTGATTGGAAATCAGGACGTGCAATTCACTAACTGTGGTGTGAGAAAGAAATAGTTCAAAGATACAGAGTCAACGACCAACTGAGATTATCATCAGTGATCTACACTGCTCGCCAGCAGCAATGGAATTACCCACATGAGTGGTGACGACCAGTGTGAATCACTGATAATAATCTTAGTTGGCCATTGACTCTGTACCTCCGGATTCTTCCTTGCTCCTGCAAATTTCAGAATCCTACCTCAATAGTTACGTAAGACAAGGGGGTGCTTCCATGGAAAGTGAGACAACATTCAATATTTCAGAACTGAGAAATTTCCAGGGAAATATGAACAGTCAGTGAATTGGACGCCCTGATTTTAAACCTATTTTGCCTCCTAAGATCATTTTCCGGAAATATGGGTAGTTCCATGGCTGTTGGCGAGCAATGTATCACACTGAAGATGACCCTTTTCGATCATAGTGTGTATTTTTGATATATCTCCCACTCCTGCAGATTTCAACTCAACAGTTACGTAAGATACAGGGGTGCTCCATTAGAAGTGAGACACACTTATATGTATAGTACATACGTTATACAATGTATCTCTGATATCCTGTATAGAAATTCTGTTGGTTACTTTCAAGCGATTCTATGGCAAACGTTGATTTAAATATTTGGGATTGAAAATTTATAGATTCCAAGATATAGGGTGTCGATGTCATATACTATACAATCTAATTTTGTTGAAATTTGGCAGTGTTATTTGTAGTAGTAAGTTGCTAATTATGATTTCAGACAATTTTATTTTTCGAAAACCGATTTTTTCAAAAAGTTTAGCACTTTATATCTTGAAAACTATGCATGGAGTTATGCTTGTTCAAATATGAACTTTTCGGCTTCGAATCACTCGAAAAATCATCCCCTATAATCGTAATATGATTCTTGAATTGAATTTTCAGAGAACAATTGTTTTATATGTTAATTGGATTTTTTTTCATGAACAACCTGGTTTTCAAAATGTTCCTTATCAAAAATGGAAAGAACTCTTTATGTTCAGCCAAACGAATGCATAGGTAGGTCGGAAACGTTATGTGTTGAATTGGCTGGATACAAAAATTGCATATTGTTAGCGTCAAATCGTTATAGGAGATTCCTGATTGTCTAATGATTCATTTTAGTTTCATATCAATCTTTTTAGTATTATTTACTATCATCATTGCGAGCATCATTGTTATCATATTCACCAGGTATCATTGTGATAATTCAAAGTAGCACTTTTCTTGAACCATTCAGTATAGTATTCGAATATATAGAGAAATATTAGTCACAGTTGTTATATAAGAAATGTAACTGTTGAAGAATGTGAATCAGATTGAAGAAATGACAGTTGTATTCAATACCTGTCGGAGTGTGGTACAACAGAAAATAAAAAAATCATTCGTGTTTCAATAGTTCTCCTTATAATATACATTTTCACTTATACCATAGGGGACGACAGATAAGTATTCTTCAATGCTCTTCATTACCCTGTAGAACGAATACCAGACGCAAGTTTGGGGAAAAATTATGTACTTTTCATTTCACCAATATTTACACCTCATTCAATTTATGTAACTTTTTTCAATCCCGTATGTTAAAAGTTGGACCAGATTCGATTCCTAATAAGTGAAATTTCGATATACGTCTATTGTTCTTATTTTTTTTTAATGAGGTGGCAATGTCGATGTAATTGATCTGCTACGTCTAATAGTGGAATTTTGAAGCGAATTTGTCTTCACTACTAGGATATTGTAATAAAAACTGACATTTTTACTTAAAGAGACAAAGAGAGAAAGAACATCTCAAAAATTTTATTTTAATTTGGTTTACATATTAACCCAAAACAGTTTAAGCAAATTTCAATTTTATATTTTTTTAACAACAAACAAATTACAACTATTGAGTATCGAATACAAGTATGAAAAAATAAGTTAATGAACACTTTTAAAACTGACGATAAATATATATTATTTCTAAAATTCATATTATTTCTTCAAATGAATCTTTTCTAGAATGGCAATAATCTGAAACAAAAATTCTCAATTAATCAAATGAAGCTACTCCTAATTGCAGTTCTATCATAAGACTGCCTCAATTGGCTCAATTGACCGCAAGAAAAATCACATTGTACTTCACTTTCATAAAAATAAATAGTTAGGCCGGATTTTATTATAGTGTACCAGTTCGGTAAATTGATATGTCTTTACGGCCCCAATATCAAACTATATTATATCCCAGATAAGAATAAAGTAGATGGCATGAATTGCAGAGCCCGCTTCACTCTAGTAAACCCGCCAAACACAAAAAACGCGAGAATAGCTAAGAACACGAATATGTGAATTCAATTTAAATGCCATAAAATGAATGCGCATCAAATAGCGTTCGGCGGCAAACTCTTCTATATAGTACTGACGTGATAATCCCTTTTCCTGTGTTGGCAGCTCTTTTATTTTGAGGAAATATCAAGTAAATATTTTTCAATTCTCGAATCGATCCAACTGTGAACTGTTGAGATAATTCGATATTCATTGATACAGTAAATTTCATCAATATAATGATGTTATCCCCATATTGCGAATTCTACAAGTTTATTGTGTTTTAATGCTAAGCAATGTGCCATCTGACGGCATATATCACGTGATCACCAAGTGTGATTATTTGGTAGTAGAATCGAAGGTTATAACAATTGTTCATTCATTTATGTGACTGATTATCATATGTTTATTCGTTTATACAACCGAATATGGTAGAAACATATCTTCCGAGTCGTTCTGGCGAAATTAATATTTTGACACATCACACTTGGCGTCAAAAACATATCATTTTTGATAGAATGACAGCGCGGAATAATGAGGGTTAAAATCCCAATAGCTGTCATGATTACTAATTGAGCGACAAAATTCGGTCTAATCCCAAATTATTCGTATATAGATAGGCTTATACAACAACCAAAGTAAACGATTCTGGTATACATGCCATTTCAATGAACCTCAAATTCAGGCAACATCATTTTAATATCAATGACATTTTAATATTTTTACCGACTATCAAGAGACGGTCGGCGCGTTATAGAACTTGTGAAGTCAGTACCGCTGACGATTTTCCGTCGTGTTCTAAAGGAAGCATTTCTTGGGAATTTATTTTGGGAAATCTTACAACATACAACTAACGATGACTTTACGCAACTCATCTGGAGACTCCCTATAGTGGACTTGCAGGCTTTCAACACATTGCCTAAACTACTCAATATGACAGCTCCAGCTCGCATGTTCTCGAAAACAGATAACTTGTCTGTCAGTGAAAAATCATTGTGTACGTCGTTGGACGATCAAGTAAGTAATTGTATAACTAGTTTTATAAATTGAGGTGCTACTTTGAATTGTAAATATTCCAAAATATCAACATAGTAATGATGTTTTCTCAACATTGTGTTATGAGATTGAGTTCCAGTTCCATCTGCTTTCAGAAAATCCTTAACCATACCTACATTCAAATCTGGGAACAAAACAATATCAAACAACTACAGACCAATAACAGTGATTAATAACTCCACAAAAGTCTTTGAGAAATGCTTAAAAAATAGAATCATGAATTATTGTGAAAAAAATGATATACTATCAGTCTCACAATTTGGATTCAGAGAGAACTGTTCCACAGAAAAAGCAGTCTTTGAGTTAACTAAAACACTCCTGAATTGCTTTGATAATAAACAAAAATGTATGACCGTATTTCTGGACTTGGCCAAGGCATTCGATACGGTAAATCATAACATTCTGTTTCAGAGACTGGAAAGCTCTGGCATAAGAGGTCTTCCTCTAGAATTAATTAGGAATTATTTAACAGACCGCAAACAAATAACAAAAATTAATAATACTTTAAGTGATCCTTTACCGGTATCCATGGGCGTGCCACAGGGGACAGTATTGGGACCAGTTTTCCTTTTACTTTATATTAACAGCCTTTATAACTTGCAAGATATAAAAGGAAAACTCATCTCTTATGCTGATGATACCGCTATTGTATTCATAGGGGATAATTGGGAAGAAACATATAAAAAAGCGGAACAAGGACTCAAAAAAATATACAGCTGGCTTAGTGAAAGTATGCTTAGCTTGAATATTGATAAAACGAAATTTATTACTTTTTCACCCACAATAAGAGATCAACCCTTAAATGGAAATATTCGACTCCATGGATCCAGCTGTACAAATGACTTCGACTGCGCATGTTCTATGATAAAAAAAATCGATAATATAAAGTACTTGGGAGTAATAATTGACCAACATATTCGTTGGAATGAACACATCATTCATACTACAACGAGACTACGTAAATTGACTTACAAATTTCACCAGTTGAAAAATATTCTGAATGAAAAAAATAAAATAATGGTGTACGATGCCTTGGCTGAGTCCATTATTCGCTATTGCATTATTGTTTGGGGTGGGACTTTTCGAACTTCCCTTCACTGCTTAGAAGTTACACAGAATACTCTACTGAAAATACTGTTCAATAAAAACAGAAGATTTGGAACTGAGCAACTTTATAATGAAATAGGAATAATAAATCTAAAGCAGCTGTATTGCCACCAATGCCTCATCTGGACAAAAAACTCTATATTCTCTCCTACATTACATTATCATCATACTCGAAGAACAGCAAGGCAAGAAATTCCAATTCCCTTGTTTAAAACCACAATCACACAAAAATTTGTAACCTATTATGGTCCCAAACTTTTCAATCTACTACCCTCTGATATTAGAAATATACAAAATAAAAATAAATTCAAAAAGCAAGCCAAAATCTTTGTTCAAATGTATTATAAGGATATCCTGAAATCAGTTCTCGAATAATTATTAATTATTCTGACAATATATTGCAATTACCAGTGATATTCTCTTTTCGTTTCTTCCTTTCCTTATAACACTCATAGGAATGATTGATTGTAATTCATTTTAATCTGCTAGTAGGTAGATATTTCTTTTTTTTTGTTAGTAATTCAACATAAAAAAATAAAAATGTATGATGAGAGAATGGCCCACAATACAAGCTTAGCTTAGGTGGCTTCTCTCATCAAAAATTATTGTAAAAATCTAATTGAATAAACTTACTTACTTACTTACTAGTTCAACGAATCGAACTTCCCATCAATGAGTGCACTCTCTGGAAGTAACATCTCCATAAAAAAGCAGTTCGGCAGCGCAAGGGATAGTGAGTTGAATATATATAATGCGATATTGAGATCAGAGATCGGCTGAGTTACATAAAATATGTTGAAAAATTCGTGTTTATCATGAATCTTATAGAGTATAGTGTTGTTTAATATTAATAGACGTTGAATGAATTGTTTATTGTATGACAGCGTGTTTAGAATTCACGCACCCCGGGCAGATCGTAAAGATCTTTTTTATTTGGTAGCCGCAGACATTGGTGGAAATCCTATCAATACCACATACCGTGCATGATCCAGGATTACATCCAGTTCAACAAGCTTTCTCATGTTTGTCGGCGTACTGGAATGCTTTGACTAATCGGAGGGTCTCGTCCACACAGCTACCAACGGGTAGGTCGTTTATGGTAATTTGGCGAATAATACCTTCGGCATCGATTATAACAAGTCCCCTGAAATAAATGTCAATTTTTCATTATTTTAGTATAATAATTTATTTTTGATAATATTCGAAGCACTTCGAGGTACTCTAATACAGGTGAAGCTAATAAAAGCGTGTTAATAGTAAATTGTTCTCGTATTTCTATAGAGATACCGCGAATTTTTGATATGTCTATATGTATAAAACAAATATATGTTTTTGTTTCCATCTTATTACTATGCTCACACTCAACCTGCTTAAGAAAAAAAGAACTAAATTGTATGAAATTGTGAATACTCAATATACTGCCCTCCATCTATGTTATAGAAATTTAGCCAAGATGAAGAAAAATTACAAAAAAAAAATCTTGTGAATATAAAGAGAAGAGAAATACGAAAATTACTGTGACTCAGGTGAAGGGCATAGCTTTACAGGGTCCTGCATCTCACCTCCCGTCTTCTATAGCTCAGTTATCAGTTGAGTCAGGATTTTGATATTTTGCAGACTTCAATTGTATCACAGGGCGCATAGCAGGAAAATAATTTCGATTATACAGGGTGACGCCATAATGATATATTTTTTTAAATGGCATGCCATATGTTTTGTTGCACATTTCAAAATTCACAAAATTTCAATTTTGCACAACTGGTCAAAATCATTAATAACAAAAAAGAGAGTGCCTGCTCAATAGAATCATGAGAGATGCATATCAAATAAGGCCTATGTGGATCGCTAACCGAGTTTGATTGACACGAATCATCACAGGGTGTGCAAAATTTAGTGGCAAACTTTTCAAATTCCAAAGCATTATATTTTTCTTATATCAAATTAGAGCCCCTGTATATTTTCATGTCATTCGATGCGTAAATAAAAAACTAACTTTTTTTCTTTTTACAACCCCATCGAAATTCTCATCGTATCAAGAGTTGTTTGCCGAAAACTCGTTTCATCAACTATTCTGATAGTCATTTGAATTAATAAAAAACGAAGGTGGCTTTGAGAAGTAAATTATTGACATTTAACTCTAGGGAGTACAAAAAGTACTAAGGAGTCGTCACTATGTGGTTACACTCCTGAAACATTAGAACATACTGTTAGTGCCATAAAAAAGCACTGTATCTAACAGAGCGTCAAAAATATTCAATATACCCAGTATACAACGGAGAACCTTAGATGAAAGGTTCATCAATGTCATACTGGTAAATATAGTGCACCAACTTAGCTGAGTGAATAGATGAGAGGCAGCTTGTAGACGTCATCTTTGCCAGTATGCAGAATATGGGTGCCCCGTCACTCCTCTAAGGTAATAATATGTATTTGCTATCAACCCTTCAAAGTTAATCCGGTACACCGTATTTTAATGTAGATATTGTGCTTAATTTCCGAAAATGAAGGTTTATCGAACCTGTCCACAGGTAACTAATCCTTCAGGTTGGGAAAGTAGGATATATGAAATTTAAGCAAGCCAAGGTTAGTTTAGTTCATTGTACCACTATAACACCTGACGAAGCTACTGTGTTAGCGAAACATGCCATTTTTTAGATTGATGAGATATTTGAATCACTAGTTTTAAAACCCGACAACTCCATTTTTGGCGAAAAATTAGTTAGATATGGTAATGGATTCCTATTATGGTCCTCTACAAATATATATCAAAACTACACTGCAAAAGCCACCAAATTCAAGCTTTATTTGCATCTAAATAATTCAGTTTGTTCCAAAACACGACAAATCCAAGTAACTGAATTCAATAAACTACCTGACAATATAAAAAATTGCAGAAATATAGGTTCATTCAAGAATGAAGTGGAAAAATTGATTATTTCTGAGCGAACTGGATAAAATTGAACATGCCATTTTTTTTTAACAAATATTATTCTTTGTTTGTCAATTTACAGTTGTTGATATATTTTGTATAATGATATGTTTACCTATAGGTATATAATTATGTACTTCCTTATACCAGAGCCTATTCTGTCTGGACGTTATTTGTTCAATAAATAAATAAATAAAAAAACACCGACAAATCCGAATCAGCCAATCACTGCTATCTTTGGATGTCACGTGGGACTGTGATATGCATGCATGTATGTTACTTGAGCCATTTATTTCGGTGCAAATCCCCACAAATCCAAACGTGTGAGCTGCAAAATCCATATGTGAAAATCAAAACCCCACAATTATCCATGATTTTCAATAAATGAATATAATATTCAGATGCCCGCGAAATATTGATGCATTTAAATTAGGGTTAAACTATTCTAACAGGTTTTCTCAATTTCCCACAATTTGACCTCAATGAATTTGTCGAGTTATGAATCTAGACGATTCATTGTATTCAGATGAATTCGGTACCTATTACTAATTCTAATGATTTTGGAAAACAGACATTTAACAAATGTATGTCTGTTCCTAATCCCGTTTGTACCATAATGATGTCGGTGATCACTAATTTTTTGACCTTCTTGTAAATACTTGACGAGTAAGTAATCTACCTTTTTCGAGTTGTTTTTTGAAATTTCATAAATGTTACTTACTTGCAGGTATAGCACTGATGATGGCTTTTTAGCCGAAAGCGCTTTGCGATTTATAATAAAAAATTTTACACGAAATACAAAATCTCTTCATTCTATTGATCAGTTACGTATATGCAGCTAGTAAAAATCTTCACCATATAGAGTTATGACAATTCGCATTTATTGCAGTATAGAACCAATCATACCGATAATATTGAAATATAGTGCCATTCTTCATTGGATCAAACTAGTATAAGAGAGTATCGTATCCAGGAGCTACGTACATATACGCCCTGTATAGTGCTTCTAGATTAATGAGAGTTGATCTATTGATGACACACGGGGTTATGTAAAAGGTGACGGGTATTTTGGGTAGAATCTATCAATGTATGAGTAATATTAGGTAATGAAGAAGTAGCCGTGATACGGCTAGGTTGTATCCGATACCTATTGTGAATATAGTGGAAATCGTGGAGTACCCAGAGTGTTTTATTCTAATAACCGTCCACCAAGCTAACACTAGTTTGTTTACAATGTGCCGACTCAATTCAGAAGTTTCTATTTCTTCGAACTCTTTTCAATTCATACAAATATCAAAATCATACATACAGGTAGTATAAGCGATATTAAGTGATACTTTACCTGAGTGTATGTCCCAAGTCTTCCATATACATCCCAAATTCCTTTGATATGCTATGTTTCAAATCAGAAAGCAATGGAAAATTGATTTTTCCTAGTCCACCTTCCTTTCTTGGTGTTTTTGTCCATGCTAAATGAGTAAAGTGAGAATCCACTGAACACGCCAAAACTTCAGTGTCTATTATTTTGAAGTCATTTATCCTGTCGCTGAACGCTATTATCTCCGTTGGGCAGACAAAGGTACTGGAAAAATATTTTCTTCATTATTTCAAGCAGCTCTAGATGAAATAGTACGTGTCAATCAATTTTTTTTTCAATCTTGAGCGATGTGAAGCGCTGAAACGACCATGAAAACTCACAAAAAACAATCTCACAGCATGCCAAATGTGTTATCATTTGAATACAGCAATGAGTCCTTTCAATGAAACACCCTGTTTTTTATATTTTTTTCGAAATATTCTACGGCTGTACCTGAGGAACATTCATAGAATATTATGGAATGTTCTAGAACATTCTGAGACAAATCAAATGATATATTATATGATTATACCTGAAAAAAATTATAGAATATCATGGAGTATACAAAAGGTGGCTAGTGGTTGAGAGATCTCGTAACATTTCCGATTGTGCAATTATGGAAATCTATTTTTGGAATCGGAAAGTCGTTACCGCATCAAGGTCCTATTAATTGAAGTACCATTTATTATACAGGGTGTTTCAAAATTCAAAAAGATTTCAGGCTCATTTTCCAGTCAAAATAAGACATTTTTTTCCATACACATGTATCTGCAAACACAATGATACCGATCTACAGAGCTTCAAAAGTTTTTTTTCTCAAAACCTTTTATAAAAAGTTGAGGTTTGTTAGGTTCTTTATGTTTTAGGTAATGTTTGGAAACTTGTAATTTACATCAAAAACTGAATATTATTATGTAGGTTCACTCTCAGGAATTTTCTATTTTATTCTTAAACAGGACACGTTTTTCTGGTAAGTACCAAGTTTTTCAAATTACTGATGATGTCGATGTGGCTATGTAATTTGACACTTTTCAAAACCGACGTAAGTTTTGAAACGTCTTACTTTACATAACCAGGTGAGTAAAGTGAAATATTACATCACTGGTGATGAAATGTTCATTTCAACTCCAATTACGTAATAAAAATATGGATATCACTTGGGAAATCTGAACTTGAATCAGCCATTTTCCACTAATGAAGATTTCAAACGAACCAATTTCGTGAATTTCGATGCTGATTTGTGACGGGCAAAGTCACCTTGCCTACTAAATTTGGTAAATAATCGGTAATAATGTAGAACAGGTTATTATTTCTGTTCAAGCGAATTTATTCAACAAAATTAAAAAAAAAATTGTACGTTGTGGGACGAGCGAAGCTTCTAAATAAAACATATATACTATAAAAATGAACATTCAAAGCCCAAATGTTTTGATCGGGTTTTGAGAATAAGCAATGGCATGTTCAAGACAATATTGATCACTAATTCAATTCAAATGTAGGTAGCAAAATAGCAAATACCTACAATTTTTTTCCGTATGTTGGTCAGGCTATATATCAACTTACAAATCTAGTGGATAAAAGAAGAAAACTAAATATTTCCCAAGGTAATCGGCAGACTCCAATTGTATAAATTCACAATTAAAAACAGCAATGCTCTTCCAAAGGGGGGCTGGTTTTGACACTGGAAAAGTAAAAAAAGTATTTTAAAAACTATTAGAAAAAAAAACAATAGTTATGAGATTTCAATTGGAGAGTTCATCATTGGTCAACCATAGGGTTTTGTTCAATCTGAATCTTCTTGATGAGAAAACTAAATTATTCATTCAACTTATATTCATTCAATGGAATTGAATACTATGAAAGACTGGAAACTATTTTTCTAGTTTCATTTATTGCCTTCACCATAGGGATTGTGATTACTAGAGACAGTTTTGCTGTTAAATACATACAGGGACTCTAGTGATTACCACAAAACCTGGATACAGGCTACATAATCCGTACCTAATCCCTGATTATCCTAAAAAAATTAAATGAAAAATAAACCCTTTTTTTTTCAGAAAATCAGCAAATAAATCTTCTGAAGTAGGCCATACTCGAAGTGGAGGAGGATGATCAACGAGATAAAAGCTCAAAGTCGTATCCACAAGGTTGCTGACAAAATGTGCAGTTAACTTTGCTTCATTACTTTTGATTGAGACATATTTCGCTTTTGATTGAGACATATTCCGACCATTCAAATGGTCATCACCAGTCATAGTACTAATAAAGTTGATCTACAAAGAAAAATTGTTCTTACTTAACATTTAGCAGAAATGATAACACTAATGAGTAGAAAATGACAATAAGTTATACAATGCCAAAACTGATAATGTGATGTGTCTTGTTTTCAGATGTCGGTGCGTCCGAAGTTTCGGAGTGTTTGGTTCTGCCTTTCTCCCAAAAAACTCTTTTGAAAATATAATAATTTTCCAAATTGAATTTAATACTGTCCTTTTAATAACAAATGTTTCGTCTTCATGATGTTATAGCCACTTCCACAAGAGTACAATTTCCTTATATCACACTTGTTCGCCAGTTTTTTTTTTCAAGAATAATTAGTTGAAAATGTTTGTTTCTTCAATATCTATTATTTTTTCATAATTAAATTCTCAACCAATATTACACTCAACCATAGTTATAATAATTGCATTTCACTTGTTTTCGATATTTTACTGCACATTATCAGTTTTGGCATTATATAACTTATCGTCATTTTCCTCTCATTAGTGTAACCATTTTTGCTAGATGTTAAGTAAGATCCATTTTTCTTTGTAGATCAACTTCATTAGTACTATGACTGATGATGACCATTTGAATGGTCGAAACATGTCAGAAATCACAGCACATTTCGCCAGTAAACTTGTGGAGACGACTTTGAGTTTATATCTCGTTGTTCAGTAAATCAATTTTTTTATCGCTTTGTGCGCACGAAAGGGAATCCCTATACCTAATGTTCGAGAAACATCGTAATTATTGGTCGTTGAGTGATATGTTAGAATACTCAAGTTCAATAATTTCTAATGATTCCCCATGATTGACCCTGGAAATTATAATGAACCGTCATGTTGTTGTCAAACGTTGAAGTATGATACTAAAATTTAATCGCTCAGCTGGAAGACACGATGCCTAAATTCTAGAATAGAAGCACTTCTCCCATTCAAAGAACTTAATCTAATGAAATAAGGTTTGGTGAATCAAGTTGCCACAATGAGGACTGATAAAGGTCGCAATGAAGGCTTGTAAAGAATTTTGTGGAAATCTATCGTTTATGAAGTTTTTTATACAGGGTTTCCCATAAGTGATGAATCAAATGAAGTGGGGTGGTAGGGAGGTCATTTCCGATCAAACTAACCGTATATGTTGTTATCCAATTATTGATAGTTCAAAAGTTATTAATTTTTTTCATTCCTATAAAAGAATTAATTACAATAAAACTATGTTGCATTTGTGATTTTTCCTTTTACGAATTGCATCCGCATGGATGAACCTTTCCCCAGAAATAATTTTATGACCTCTGTTATTTCGTTTCAATTACCTATGAAAAATTTTGTTTTCCTTGAGTTTTGTCATTGAATGCAATATTTCAGTTGATTTTTAAATGCCGCTGGCAGATTTAAAAACTACCCTACAAAGGTAGCCAATAATAAGAAAAAGCTGTTGCCCATTTAATACAGATTCAGAAATTGTATAACATAAGGGATTTTTTAAAACAGCCTTTTGTTATTTTTTTCGAATGGGTCGCATTTTTCAGAAAAATTCAATAACTTTCGAACCATCAACAATTTGATAATCATATACACCGTTAGTTTGGTTGCAAATGACCCCCCCTACAATCCCATTTCTTTTGATACATGACTTATGGGACACCCTGTATTTACTATGGATTTCCATCAAGTAAGGGCCGAGTCAATACCAAAAAAAATAAAAAAACGATTGTTATAAAATGAAATCTTGAAAATATATCATAAGATAACAACAGTTTGCAAACAGAAATATAAAAATGTATAAAAATACCTTTTGGGCTCAAATAAGTCGAATAATTGAGATTCTGTGGAATATGTGTATCCTTTAGAGTGCCTTCCAAATCTCGATGAGCATCATCAGCTATATAGCACTACAAAATTAAATAAATATAACTCAATGAACTTATAAAGGGTGATCTATTTAGTGCTTCAGGATTTTGAATGGAAATTAGGCACAATGTCATTCTGTCTGGACACATTTGTAGGATATGTCATTATGAAACAACATGGAACATTCAACGGTACAAGAACGTTGTGACATTATAAAAATGTATTAATGAAGGCAGTATTCAGTTAAAGGAACTTGGCACGTTATGGTACACAATATCGACCAAGTCAGCAAACAATTCGCAATGTTGAACGCAACTTTGAAGATGAGTGCTGGATGCAGGAAGAGCAAATCGTGTAAGAAATAAGAGAAATCCACTCAATAATGAAGCACTGATTGATTGAAGCTGTAAGACAAAGTGTAGACGTCGTTCGAAGCAATTGGACTTCACATATGGATGAACTACGTGGATTTTACTGCACGATTTGTGCTTGTATCCATACAAAATTGAACTTGTACAAGAACCAGAGCCCAATAATCATCGTTATTTTTGAAAATCAACTTTGTGTTTTTTTTATGTTCTGGTTCCCACGAAAAGGGATATCCTGTAATGTTCAGAGAACATCGTGAGAACCAAGGGAAATAAGGTAGGAATTGGTGTTCTTCTTGAATTTCTGGAGATTATATTATACCTCGGGGAACACCTCCCTTGGCAATGTGTTCCAGAGCCTCGCTGTTCGTTGGATGAACGAGTCTTTGGAAAGAGATGTTCTGCAGGTCTCCAAAGTGACCACGAAGGGGTGCGGAGCCTCAACTCGACGGGTTAATCTCACGGGGACTGCCAAGGGAGGAACAATTGTTGATATTTCAGAAAGCCATCGTCCATGAAAATATCTATAAAATAGAGCCAGGTCGCCAACTTTTCTACGTTGTTCCAGAGAAGTTAGTGAGTTTGTGAGCGAGGCATCACCCACGAGACGAATTGCCATTTTTTGGACAGAATCCAACAGTTTCAGGGTATGTTTGGGTGCTGCACTCCAAATATGGGAACAGTATTCTAAGACAGGTCGGATCTGTGCCTTATAGATCATAAGCAGCTGACTGGAAGTGAAATAGTTCCTGGCCCGAAACAGAAAACCAAGTTCTTGGAATGCACTTTTAGCAATTGATCTCACGTGATTTTTCCAAGAGAGGTTATTGCTGATAGTAATACCAAGCATCGAAATGGATGTCTTCAAAGGTATGGTTACTCCTGAAAAGCTTATGTTGGGCACAGTGAGATCGGCTTTTCTAGAAAAAAGGCATGCTTGTGTTTTGTTTGCATTGAAATCAACCAAGATATTGGATCCCCATTCGAGAATTGTTGCCAAGTCCATATTTATGTTGTCATTATATCTCCCTTGTTCCTTTCTGATTTGCCTGGCTGGTATTGGAGCCCTGGAAGAGAAGGCGGTATGGAGGGTACTATCATCCGCGAAGCTGTGTACCTACTGGAAATGAAGTTTCTTCCAACAAATCGTTGATATGGAGTAGAAATAGTGTTGGTGCTAGAATTGATCCTTGCGGAACACCAGCATTTATGATAAGAGAGTCAGATAAAACTCCGTCGAACACTACATGGAGAGACCTGTTTGAGAGAAAACTAGCTAGCAGAGAACATAGCTGGGGAGGCAAGCCATAAGATGGAAGCTTGGCGAGGAGTCCGTGGTGCCAGATTCGATCGAATGCCTTGGAGATATCAAGTGCCACGGCTAAGGTTTCACCATATTTTCCAATAGATTGCTGCCATTTATGTGAGGTACTAAATAGATCACCCTTCAAATCATCAATGTGGTTTACATGTAGTTGGTATAAAATAAAGTAAGATACACAAGACACATTGGGTTATCCCTGTTGAAACAGAAAAATAAAAATATGAAAATCGTCAAAAACATACCTGTGGTTGTATCCTCGCTCGTTTAGGGGATAGTATTCCATCATCTATTCTAGGATTTATTTGTATATTCGACAATATATTAATTTTATTCCCATCATTTGTAACTTTCTGTCTGGAATAATATTTTTCTTCAATTTCTATTGGTCTCTTTCGAATATTCAAGTCAGATTCGGATAGGATATTGTTGTTGTCGTTTTTCTCTTCAAAGGGCACAACACGTAGTTTTTCTGCATTTTTGGAGCCAGGGGATGAAGAGGATGAAAAATCAGACGTTGGAAATGTTCTAGATTTCTTTACAGGTTTATTTTTCCTAGGTCTATGCAACTGTTCGGACTTTCTAGATTTCACTGATTTATGAACTTTCTTTTGAACGGCAATCTTGTCCTTCTTTTTGGATGATGTTTTTTTCTTTGTACAAACATCTTCTTGTTTATTTCTTTTAAGTTTCTTCAACAAAGATTCCTCTCCTAGTTCTTCACGAAATTCCTCTACCATATCCGAGAAAAACGAGTGCAAATTACTAACTCCAGAATGTCTGGACTGAGGATTTGTGGCTGAACTTTTACGTTTCCTAAAAAAAAATATGAATGAAACTGTTCATGAATTGAACTTCAATAATGAAATGATTAGTCCCTGTTTGGCATAACAATGTTCGTTTGTATTGAAGGAGAAAAAACAGGGGAAGAAATGTAAAAAAATTTTGCCAAAAAGCAACGTGAAGGGTTTGTAGGTCGGCCGTGACTAGACGCTTTTTTTCCACGATATAAACATTTTTTTGAATTAGTGTGAATCACTTGATTATTCTGTTTTTGGTAAATATTGATAAGATAATGCTAGTGCAATCAAAAATGTTCAAGTTCCTATTGATGTTACGATTCTTTTACGTAATTTAAAAATTGGTGTTCATATGAACAAAGTGTATCTATCAAAAGTGAACTGCTGATTTTTGTTTTGTTCCTCCATTCTCGATCTAAATGGAAAAGCAAGTTAGTAGGCGAGAGGTATTACACATCGGGAGCACGAAATATTCAATCCAAAAATATCCAGTCAAATATATCATGCCGAAAATGACCTGCACATTGATATCCTTAGACAATGATACCCTGACCAATAATATCCTCATACATGCCGATTCGAATTCTCCTCATGAAGAATATACATCTTCTCTACTAACTAACAAACTAGTTTCCCCATTTAGATCGACAATGGTTCGTCAAACAAAACTTCGTATACCGGGTGTCCTAGATCTTCTCATACAGTCAATCTCAGCAAACAATGAACTGTCGGGAGAATTCCGGCCTAGTGGAAAATGACGATGCCGGGGTATTGGTAAAGGGCCGATGATTTCCCAATACTAAGTAACCATCATTCAAAAATACTATAATGGCCTTGTGATGGTAAGATGTCTGGAACCAGTTGAACACTAACGAGTTGTGGCCCTTTGCTGGCCAACATCTTGTTCACTACTCGTCACCTGGTGTACGTTCTGGGAACTTCTACATCAACAATCAGCTGATTATTTGGATCATTATTATATTTGACTCTAATGATAGCGTATAATTCGTTTTTCTCTGGTTTGTTGGAGATTTATTGTGCTCCTCACACTCCCTGGTCGTTATTTATGATGGCAGGGGTATTCTCAATTGATAACATAGAAGATGGATTCTTCAATTATTATAATATTAGGTAAGTATCAATCTGCCTATCTAGTGTTTTGAATTTCATTATGAAATGCATATGTTTGGGATCTCATAAACTCATGTATCTAGTGATCATAATAGTTGGAGGGGCTCTACCCCTTCAGAAGCGTTTAACTCGTTCGTTTCTATCAAAAGTAATCTTAAGCTATGTACCTACATCTGTCTCTATTATAGAAGTAGATAACAATAATGTTCCACCTACATAAAAGCGTGAGCCAAAAAAATAATAAGAATTGAAAAGCTCCATATGTTATCACGTTATCAGACTATATTGATCAAGTTATAAACTCATGCAACAGTATTTCGTTTCTCATACTTTTATGGAGGAAGAATTCTGATATCAAGAAAGGCCATAACTGATGAATAATTCAATATTTCATGAGTACCTACCTCGCAACGAATAATCCATTTTGAAGGAATGCTACCCAAATAAGATGTAGATACCAGCCGGTAATCAGTCACTCTGAGAAGTTTCTTCATGGAAGAAGAGGGAGGTTAAGAAGATATCATTGTGTCATTCATAAATTGTTTCCTTGAAATCTGGTATGTGTCTGTATGGTATAATATGATGAGAATGTTACACTAAAATAGATAGTTACTAGAACTTTCAGATCAATTGGACCCCTAGAACCCCTATCCCTCCCCCTACCTCGATAGTATGTAACCAATATCGATAATGGGCCATTACAGTCCCATGATTCATGTATGTGCCGGGCTCGCTATGGGGGACTCAATGTGTCTAGTATGTTGTACTGACCTTTTGCCGGGGAATTGCATATGATTGCTGGGTACCCAGCAATGGGACCAGCTGCCGGCCACAGTGTAGAGTCCTGCAAATGGGACCATTTACTGGCCCCCTACCTGATGTCAGGTATGGGGAAAATATATTAGGCCATTAATGCCCCATATAAAAATGTTTGCTGGGATATCTCTTAAGCTGCTTGGAAACAAATTGAAAAAACCCAAATGACTTTGAGTCCATTGTGTCGAAGTCAACTTCTGTCAAAGCATCCCTGAAAATCCACCCCAACTTCATGTTTTCAAGTTAGACCCTATACATTTTTTGTTGATTAGGGAAGTGCAATCAATTCTAACTTCAACGATGTATCACACTTGATATTTTGACATATGTAATACTAATAATGGAAAGTTCTAATTTCGAGTGACAACGGAAAATGAAAAAACTCCACCGCCCCGCGTGAGAGTCGAACTCACAACCTTTGGGTTACATGCCCAACGCTCTGCCAATTGAGCTAACGGGACATTCGTCGATCAATCGGCGGGAAGGTCGAGTTCTCATCACACACCAGGCGACAGAATCCTCCCAATTCCTAAAGTCACTCCAAACCATTCACTATATGAAATATCGCTGGCAGGATGGTACTATACAGTCTCTATTTTTTGTAATACTACCAAAATTACAAAATCAACAGGAAACAGTATCATGTGTGGATTATTTTTTTGTTAGGTATGTTTTTTTTGACAGTTGTTTGTGCACGCGTCTTTTAGTCAATTTGTAGGTACATCCAACCAAGACAATACCTTTTACGTTTACTCCAAATGAGTATTCTGTCAGTCAACTTATCAAGTTTGATAGAAGTTGGGGGTAGTTTTTCAGGGGTAGCTTGACAGAAGTTGACTTTGGCACAATGGCTTCAAAGTCATTTGGTTTTAACAAAAATGTAATTTCTTTAAATATTTTTCCAAGCAGCATAACTGATATGTTGGCTGTATGAAAAGATCTGGGACCCTTGTATGCATGAGATTATATTACAAAAAAGTGTGGTATCTGCATTGAAATTCTTGAAACAAAAGGTTTTCATGTTGATGAATAACTGTGTGAATAATAAATAAATAAAATGGTGGAAGATAGATGGTGTAACTATTCAAAGCCATATATTATGATTTTTCAAACAAATCAATTAACGTGTAGCCATCTTGATGAGGCGAATTTTAAACCAAAGTTATTGAATGCTTTGGAAGGTTGAAATATACACTGCAAACCGATCAGAATAGTAGGTACTGCAGAAGTTGGAGCAACCTTACATAAACCGCGTTAATTTTTTTGGTTGGTCGAAAACAGTGAATACACCATCTTTTTTTTGTCAGGGAAAAACAGAACGAATATTTACCTAATCACTTCTTGTTGTTTTTGCTGCTGTTCCACTTCTTTCTTGATATCCTTGTAACTTATTTCCCCTTTGCTCAATTTTCTTCTATTAGTCTTCTTTTCATTTTTTTGAGGAAATTCTGTTTTCAAATTTCTCTTGCTAACAATTGACTGATCCAATGATTGGTTGATGTTAACAGCTTCAACGGGTTTTTTGAACAAGTCTTTCAATACAGGTTTCTTACTATCAATACTACATATTTCTTCTTTTTCTTTGTGTTGCAAACTTACAGGCTCCATACTATTAATACTAGATATTTCTTCCTTTTCTTTGTGTTGCAAACTTACAGGCTTCATACTATCAATACTAGATATTTTTTCCTTTTCTTTCTGTTGCAAACTTTCATTTTGTATTGAAGATACATTTTCCAAATGAGTAATATCATCTGGGTTGTACAATTTCCGTCTTCTTCGTACGCTCAGGGTGGTGGATATGGATTGATTTGTATCAATACTATCAGTGAGGTTAGTAGGTATTTCGCCTACAGTCGGATCAAATTTCACTTTCTTTTCACCGGGTATCTTGACCAATTTATCGTTTTTATTATGTCGTGAAGTCTCCACAAAATGATCATCAATTTTATTAATTTTCATCGAATCGGGAATTTCTGTATCTGTAACCATCGCATCTTGATATAATACAATATCATCTCTCGTTAAATCTTTGTTTTTAATTTTGGTTGATTTACCTTCAGCTTTTTTTTGAGATACTTCTTTATATTTAGCATGCTCTTTAGATGTCGTTTCTAGATTGTTAAAATACTCAGATTCAATATTTTTTTCCATCTGTATCAAATTTAAGTTAACAGTAGCTCCTTTTACTTTCCCAGTGCCATCACAAGATGCAACATCTGGCACTGCATTGCTTTCTTTTATTTGCTTGGGTGCTGTATCAGCATTCTTTTGATCAAAAAGTTGTTGAAATTCTGTTTCAGATTCGATTTGCTCTTCGGTTGCCGTTTCAGAATTATCAGCATGTTCAACAATGTTTTCCACATTCAAGTTATCCGTAACTTCTTTGACTGTTTCACAAGATACAATTTTTTTTGTTACATTTTTTCTCTCTCTTTTACCGAAAAGTGTATCAAAAGCCAGTTCCGGATCGATTGTCACTCTCGGTATTTGTGGACCACTTTCTGTATGAATGTTCCCGCTAGAATAAAAATGACAATGAAAATTATAATGTGTTAAATGAGCGATTGCATTCATGTTGATTGTTGACATAGTTTGTTACTCAGGCATTGTACCGGTACCTATTCCAGTTTAACTTAGATACTTGACATTTCACTGTGTTACTACTTAATTCACGAATTTGGTCTATCAACACAATTGATGGAAAAATGATATTGTTGAATTCATCGGAATGAAATATGATGAGGAAATGTTGTGTTCCTTGTTTAATTTGGTGAAAAATCTAATGAGCCATCAATCCATCGTTATTCGGTCTAGCGGTATAAGAGGATCAATGTTTTGAGAAAAATTTGAAGGTTAGAGATCTTTATAATTCCGAATCTGAATGGATCTTTTATAAATCGTTGCTTTCTGAAACGAGCCTAAAAAATTTACTATCTTGCAGCAGACAGACATCATCATAAGATCACAGATTGGAGGTTTATTGTCATCAGATGGTGAGATGAAGGCTGAAAATATTCATTCCAGTATACAACTCATTAGCTAATCATTTATCATATCCCTATTTTTTTTCTCATACTGATAATATAATGTATTTATAGTCATCGTCATCCTATCTAGGATGAAGAATAGTTATTTGTTTTACTAGGCAGAAAAACACAAGATTCAATATTCTTTTATGTCATGTGAAACATAGAATTTTTTCTCCGAATTTGTTTGAATTTCACGCAAAGTCCAAATCATTTTGTGTTCACCCAAAGTCATTGTCAATTTTTATAACCGTATTACTAGGAACTTTTCATAGCAACAAACTCTTTCTGTCTAGGCAGTAAAATAACACCTTTTATGCCTAGAAAAAGTCATTGAAAATCCAATTTTGATGTAATTTGGAACATCTAAAATGAGTGTAAACCTCATTGCATATGAATTTACGTTTCCTGTTGCCGCTTATGTCAATAAAAAAATGTTCACCACAAATTCATCAAGCTATGACGTCACTATAATGGAGATGCAACATATTGGTGAAATAAGCAACATAGTTCCGTTTCCCCATTGTGAATCTGTGATTATTTCTCTATCAGGAAATAATAAGCCACCTTTATAGTTGACACTGTGTTCATTCAACAAAATGTAGAACTAATAAAAATGAACCGTTTCACCAAAAAATCGCCCCTATAAAAGTTACAAATAACGATGGTATCTACAATAGAACATTATTATTTGTTGTTATGGACAGTTCATTAATCAATTGTATCAGTTGGTATGGGGTAGTTGTGATGAAATCATTTTTCTCAAATATATCTAGTGCTTTACTTCAACAATAACGCACGATCAAGATTATAATTAACTTGTTAGCATGATTTTGGTTTACGGCGAGTCATAGCCATTATATAAACGGAAGGTGAAACTGCGAAAATTGTTGGTGACCAACAAATAATGATTCTATGGGTTAGTCTTTGAACTTCACATCTTTGTGAGTTTCATATTTCTGGAGAAACGGTCCATTTTCGCGAGTTCATCCTGTCAAAAATATACTCTTTACTGAATGAAAGAAACATAAAATAACAACGCACCTATAGTCTCCTTCGTTGTCATCATCCAGATTCTCGTCTTGAGGGGATGATTCATTCATTTTCGTTACATCATTTTCTTCGGCATTCTTGATAGGATGATTAGATATTGCATATCCTGGAGTATCATTTTCAGTATCTTTATTATTTATGGTATTACCCATTCTTTGCACTTTCACCACAAGAATTTTCTCATTTTCCTCATTAATTTCTTTGTTGTTTTGTTCAGTAATATTTTCTTCTTCATATGATGCTTCAATTTCCTTCAATACAGCAGTTGTCGGCCTTTCGATATAATCTTCAAGCGCAAGTTTCCTTTCACTTTGAATTGCCGCCTTGGTATTTCCATCTTCTTTGTTATCGTACTTTTTTGTGTTCACCTCATTTTCTGATACAGGCATAGTGTCTTCAATGCCTATTTCAATACTGTGAGTCAATTCTTTCCCCACAAGTGGCCTTATTTCGATGTCTCTTCCATTCGTACTGTTGTAGTTTTTATCTCCTGATTTATCATCTGCTGTGCATTCAATATGATCGATCTCCAGTTCTTCATGAGCTTTCTTCTTCAGATATTTTTTTTGCTTTTCAATTTCCTTGTCCATTTTCTTTTTGTCAATCTCTTCATCAACTAATGATGAGGAGCTAGCTTTCTTCATCAACGGTGATCCAGTTTTTTGTCTCTTCTCAGTCCCACCTTCATCAACTGGTTCAGCAGATGTACTTTCCTTTATGTATGTTTCATCTTCTGTAACTGACTTGGAGTAACCTTTGATTGCTTCACTACGAGTCGTATCTTTCTCGAGCTCCTCTCTAACTGCAGTTTTGTTGTCTTTTTTATCCGATTCCATTTCATCTGCAGTATGCTTAGTAACATGGATCTTTGGTTGTTCACAAGACTTCTTAAATGAAGTATCTTTCAAGGTTTTCCTCCGTTCAATCCTTCTTGTGTTGTCTTCTGTATCTTGCTCTAAGGATGTTTTAATTATTTCTTCATCAGAAGTTGAATTTTCGACAATTGCAGTAATTTTTGACGCTGACTCTTTCAATTTAGTACTGCTTAATCTATTTTCTGTAATCACTTCATCTTCTATAGTCTTGATGCTCTCTTTGTTAGTGTCTTCATCTGTTGGGGATAAAACAGTACCCACAAGATTTTCGACCGAATCTTTGGGTAATTTCTTATATTTTTTTACTATCGCCGATCTAGTTATTTGTCTGCTCTCAGACCCTTCTTGTTCAACAGATTTACTGATCATTATGCATTCATTGTGTGCAGCAGACTTGGTGGAGTGATCTTTGTCTGATTCTCTAGTAGAAATATTATTTTCTTTTAACCTTGGGTCTTTATCTTTGTGATTTATATTTTCTACTTCTTCATTAACTACATTAAGTTCAATGACTTCAGGTATTTCGTTATTAGGACATGTATCTGTTTCTTCTTTTTCCTTTGAGATAATCTTTTTTGGTCTACCTCTACGCTTTTTATTTTTTGTGATACCTTCTTGAACCACTTCAGACCCTTCTTGTTCAACAGATTTACTGATCATTGTGCATTCTTCATTGTGTGCAGCAGACTTGGAGTGATCTTTGTCTGATTCTCTAGTAGAAATATTATTTTCTATTGACCTTGGGTCTTTATCTTTGTGGTCTATATCTTCTGCTTCTTCATTAACTGCATTAAGGTATTCATCTTTGTGATTTATATTTTCTGCTTCTTCATTAACTACATTAAGTTCAATGACTTCAGGTATTTCACTATCAAGATATGTATCTGTTTCTTCTTTTTCCTCTAAGATAATCTTTTTTGGTCTACCTCTACGCTTTTTATTTTTTGTGATACCTTCTTGAACCACATCACTTATTCTATCATGATTTATATTTGTATAACTACTGAGAGGTAAATTCTCATCCATAATTGGTTTCATTTCTAGGTTTCTTTCAACGGCAGAAACATAATTGAAATGTTGTTCAGCAATGTCTTTGCTATAGTTCATCTCTGATTTTTCATGAGTATCTTGATTTTTTCTCATCACAGTCTTTTGTTTTTCCTTCATCACATTCTTTTGTTCTTCCTTATTCACATTCTTTTGTTCTTCCTCAATCACAGTCTTCTGTTCTTCCTTCATCACAGTCTTTAGTTTTTCCTTCATCACAGTATTTTGTTTTTCCTTCATCACATTCTTTTGTTCTTCCTTATTCACATTCTTTTGTTCTTCCTTCATCACAGTGTTTTGCCCTTCCTTCATCACAGTCTTTACTTTTTCCTTCATCGCAGTCTTTTGATTTTTCTTCGTCACAGTCTTTTGATTTTTCTTCGTCACAGTCTTTTGATTTTTCTTCATCTTAGTTTTTCGATTTTTCTTTACCACGATCTTCTTAGGCTTTCTTTGTTTTCTTCCATATTGAATGTTCTCAATATTATCTTCTCTAACTAACATAATCATTTTTTCAACATCTTTATCGGCTGAGCTTAATGGAGGATCCATGCCCACATGTGTTTCAAAAATATTTGTACTAGTTATTTTTGACTTTTCTTTACATGGATCGATATCCTCATTCGCCAAAGCTGAACTGATTTTATTTCTTTTCTCACTTTTTTCCCGTCTATTGTCTGTCCTCACATCAAGATGTGGTCGAATATTTTTTTCAGATAATGATTTTATATCTGATTGTTGAATTGCTTCTTGCTCATTTGATTTTTTTAATGGTAGAATTTTCACAACCTGCGAAATTAAATTCTCTTCGATGAGAACATTAACATCGCTATGTCTTTTTTTATCTATATTTTCGATATCTCTGAATATGTTAACTTTCATGGAATCACATTCATTCGAATCTGATGAGTATATTCTTTCTTTCCTTTTGTTAAATTTTGGTTTGATTTCTGAAGACTGACTTGATATTTTAGTAGGTTTGTCTAATAATATATCGCCTGTAAGAATAAGTCTTTCCTCAAAACCAGGCGACATAACCTCACAAGTTATGCCCGACTCCATATTTTCCTTACCAATACCCTGTTGAAATTTTTCCTCAATATTCCTCGAAGATGTTATGTCAGATTTACAGCTAACTTTTTTTGCGTGTGGAATGTTTTGGAAAATATTCACTTCTAGAGAACTAAAATCTTCTGTCAACTCAGGCATGTGCCCTTGGCCATTTTTCCTGCTGATATTCTGTTCATTTCTTGTTGAGTCTAGTAAATATGTTTTCTGACTGTCAAAATCCGCTGTTTGGTAACTTTCAATTGATGATCCATTATCTTGAGCAGTTTCATATATTTCGGATGATATTTTCTCATCTTCGTATCTTGATACTTTTTGTTTTGCTTCAGCGTTACCTACAGGATCGAAAAATAGAATGTATTTATCATCTATGATACCAGTATTATAGAGTGCTGACTACCAAAACACATATATAAGTAAGTCAAAATACTCCTGAAGTAGAATAGTGATTATGAATGTCTATCCAAGATTAGTAAATATATTTATCTACAACTATGGAGTCATTCATGCATTGCTTACTCGATTTTCGACATTTAATGACATACATTATTGTGAGTAATAAGAGTAATAATGACAGTAGGGTGGTGTAATAATCTGACATCCCATCGTCTTGTCAAATTCAACTAGGTAGGTATTCGTTCTACTAGTTCGCAAATTCAAAAGACTGACCTCACATGGTTCTCATAGTTTTAATCACCTTAATTCTACAAATACACGAAAAATGAGAATTCACTGTTTTCCATTCTAAACAGTGACTACCATCATGAGTAACCATACTCATAAAATAGGACTTGACACTTGCAGATTTGCTCACATGGCTACAGGCTATTCGAATAGATTAGTACAGACCAATCAGAACCATGGAATTTCATTGTTGATCACTAGCTTCTAGAGACAGGGTACTACAATTAATCATCGCGGTGGGGGAACGCTACAGCGAAAGCAAGTTAATGAATAATCTGCAATAGTATGATTCATTTTAAAACTGAAAAGTGAAATGGCATATATAATACCTGGTAAGATTGACTGATATGTGATTGCACGACTTTTTTCCTGTTAATAAAAGTTATATCCAACATTGTTTATCATATTTTCTCAATCAGAATTATTGAAATAAGTTATAAGGTGTTCGTTGAGTTAAATTTTTTTGTCAATAAGTTTTCGATGGAATTATTAAGTATTTCAAATCAGATTTAGTGATTTTGCAATATGATAACCTTCATTCTTTCCAAAGATATATTTCTGAACTCTCAGAGTTGCTTTGATATTTGAATGGTTGTAGATAAAGTATAGTATTCTACTTGCGCATAATGACTATTACCCACTCAGATGATTACAGTACTCGCCTTCGGCTCGTACTGCAACTTTCATCTTCGTGGGTAATAGCCATCATTATGCGCTCGTTGAATAATATACTATTTTCCGTCGACCTCGTATTAACGACTAAGTTTAATGTATATGAAATCGTTCATTAATGACCCCTATTAATGAACGATTTGTCTATTAATACACGATTGTTTTATAGGCAACCAAACATACACTGCGTGCATTCATTGTTTATACTATAACTTACGGAATCTGCATTCAAATCGAAAATATGGATTTCATCGAAGATTTTCTGTTAACGGGTTCGCCTTTCCAAGTTTATGACACGATTTTAATCCCTGTTTTCTAACACAAGGAATTTATTTTCCATGTTGATCATTTAGAAAATGTCAAATGTCACTAATGTCAGTGACAAGGCTACTGGGTGATTCTTAGCAGTTTCCAGATGAATGTTGAATTCGCGAACCAAGTTTTCTTCATTGCAGGAGAAATGAGAAATATAGTCGACGGAAAAATTTTGTAACCAACTTGTATATTAAAAGGCGATTAATAAACTAGTTGGTTAAATAACTATTATTAGAATACATAAAGAGGACCACTCAGAATTTGTTCCTTTTTTTAGATCCTGTATTTTCTGATGGCAATTTTGAAACTACAATAATGTGAGAAGATCTGCACATTGAAACATACAACGGATATAAATTAGAACTAATAGACCGACCATGAATCAATGTGAAAGGTAGTAGGGTCAAATCATTATTTGCTCCAAAATGTCATTGCCTTCGATATTTCACATTACAAACCTTTCAGTGACATCTTGTTTGTGAAATATTCGAAGAAGAAGAATATTGGTATATTGAAAGATATAAATTTCCACTTATATTTGGAAATTTCGGTAACAAATCTTCTCCCATTTGTGTCTTTGGTTCAAAAATGTAAGTGACATGATGTGTCCGCCAGTTGTTGTCCATTTTGGATATTTTTAGCTAATTTAGATTTGTGAATATATCTTACTAATTTTCACATGTAATTTGACACAGTTTCCAGTTTCGTTAAGAAAATTATTGAATAACTTGTGATGAAATGTTCATTTCAACTGCAGTTATGTAATAAAAATATGGATGGACGAAGAGAATAGGTTGTACATTTTGTGCTGCTTCCTCGATATCACTTGGGAAATCTGACCTTGAATCAGCCATTTTCCACTAATTGAGATATCAAACGAGTCTATTTCGTGAATTTCGTCGTTGATTTTTGACCATATTACTGTTTGACGAATACCTACTTCAGAGTGACGGGCGAAGTCAACTTGCCAACTAAATTTTGTACATAATTGGTAGAACTCATGTAAAACTGGTCATAATTTCTGTTCAAGCAAAATTTTCCATCAAAATTAGAAAAAAATATTGTACGTTACACGTTATGAAACTCGTTTTGTGTAACTATGCAAAACTGCATCGTTACACAAAATGACGCATTTTCCAACTGGTTACGCAATTATCTATTGTGTTTGTTTTTGTTATTCCATTTTTCAATTACAATGTATTCTAAAAATGATAATTGATTATCAATTCAGTGTTTAAAGTAAATAACATGGTGGGTTCGGCATTGTTGACATGATCCAGGAAATTATCTAGCTCCATAAGAATATATAAGTGGTAAAATTTTGAGAATGTCATGTTGACTATGCTTTCCCCAAATGTATATGTACCTATATATTACTCAATATTGGAGAAAACAGCGAACCCATAGCCATGTCAAAACATCAATGACAGAATGGTCCACCAAATTTAAAATAAACAAAATGCACCACATCAACTGGTACTACTGGTACTGGTACTGGTGGGGGACGTTTCCACGTCAGCAACTAGTCCCCAATGGGACCTTTTTGCAAACCCCAAGTGTTTTCAATAACTGATGTGGTTCGCTCAAGAGAGCTGGCTAACATCCTTTTCAGGCACCGCCCATCAGCTCTCTTTTCAGAGTTTTTCAGCTGTGTTTTGTAGGCTAGTAATGTACTCACTACCATATGCGCAGTGGCAGGTCTGCTAACTATCATCGTTAACCCCCGAGACCGAGGTCTACTTAAACAGCTGGCCCGCTCTCACGCTCAGCTGGTAGTTTTCCACACCCACCTACATACACCGTCCTACTTCTTCTCTGATGCTCACAACCACATCATCATATCTTTCTGCGTGTTCTGTGTAGGCTTTGTTACTAACTCCATGCGCCACTTTAGGAGCAGCACTGTTAATTGGAACGCAACAGCGAATCGTGCAGGACTATCCCCAGCCGATGCTCCGAAACTTTACAATATTTAATTCGTAAATAAAATATTGAAAAAAGTTCCTTGCCCGTGCTGGAAATCGAACCCACGACCTTGCGGTCGTGAGACGGACGCTCTTCCACTGCGACAATCCCGGCTCCTGCACCACATCAAAGAACACCATCAATTATTACAACAAATATAACACCATACATTCCCGTAATATCTGAAAAAAACTGTTGGTGATGAGTTTCATAACAAGTGTATATCGTAAAAAGGTATAAAGACTTATTCCATATCTCAACTTTCAATTAGATCATCATTGATAGAATGGTTCACCATATTGAAAACATAAATTACCCATCGATAACAAAAAATATAATAGCATACATACCCATCATATCTGAAAACATTAAACGTGTTGGGGATAAGTTTCGAATAGAAACTGTGTACAAGACTGATAATACAAGATTCATTTATACTTAAACAAAGCTGGAAAATGAGGAACAATATTAATATAATTGTATTGTGTATGTTGGGTTTGTGCAAAGTATTATAAACGTGAAACAAGGAGACCCATCTCAGTGAGGATGGAAGAACATTGAAACAATATAAAGAAAGACATCGACAAATCAAAATTAGCTGAACATAAGGTGGAATAGAATATTTTCAAAATCAAAGAAGATATTAACTAGAATAGAAAAATAAAGAAAATCGCGCTTGCATTCTTCCAGTCAGTTTACATTGATAGAACATTGTATTCACTCCTCCGAGTAGAATATGGTGAATTCAAGATGAATTGAAAAAACATCATGTAACTCACTTCTCAACTTCTGATACTGAGAAGTGTGAATTGAAAAAACAAAAGACAATTTTCGAAGAATATTTTTATTTCGAATACGGGAGCAGATTAGTTGTCTAAAGATAAGTTGAATTTTATAATTTTTAAAATATCTATATTCTTCTACAGCAAACATTCTAAGGATTCTTATAGTGAAATTTCAATTGCAGACATTCTGGAGATAATCATATGTAAGATTTGTCTTCACAACAAGTATAATGAAATAATACATATTTCCATTTATGAAAAGACCATCGATTCATTTCTCATGTGTTTTAGTTAATGTTTTTTCTCTAATCAATTCAATTGATACTTTCAATTGTACTGTGATTTTTGTTAGTAGGTAATCATTGTGTGTAATACTGTGTAAACTGCATATTTTCTTATACGGGTTTCTTCCGTAAATAAATAAATTAATAATAGTAATATAATGAATGATGTGATTATTTTTCCATCAAGGACTTTTCTGTTAGTATTTCGACTTTCACATGTGAAATTACCTGTTTGTTTTTCTTCTTGCTTTTGCTGAATTGAAGTGATGCTTGTCGAAATCTTTTTCTTAGGAGTATCAAAGATCCTACTTCTAGAGGACCCAGTGCATCTGCCTGACAATATCTGAATATGCGGGATTGTTTGGAATTCGTTTTCGGGTTCCAAAAGTTCGTTTTCATCGGACAGAGATGTTTCCGAGCTGCCTATAGTTATTGCTCTGGAGCTAGGCGATGATATGGAAAGTTTTTTGCTATTATCGAGAGATCGTGATAAAGTTTCGTCACTCTTCATTGATTTTATGGATACTGGGTCCCAGCATGAAGTCTGCAAATTAAAAAGAGGTCAATAATTGAAAGTTAACCCAGCTTTAATTTTGGTTCCATTTCAACGAACTAACTGCATGATACAACCATTTTATTTGTTACAATTTCTGTGACAAACTTTTATTACAACTAAATTCGTTCTCCATCAAGGCTTAATAACGAGTTTCAGTATTCCAGATTCCATACTGAAATTGACAAGCAAATCTGTTTGTGCTTATATAATTTTCAAATACATACTTTTTGATATACTGCATCAAGAAGACCAAGATAATCTTTTTGTGTGTTTTCAAATCAGAGATGTTGAATATTTACAAAAAAAGGAAACAAACAATATCCTTGATTGTTTTTAACCGCAGTCCTATTCCTTCTCAACTCCTGAATGTCAAGAACACTATGGACGATTCAAAACAAGCGAGACGCAATCTTGCGGATACTTGAGTAGCTAATTGAAAATACATAGAACATTTGTTTACATTCAAGTTTCCATAAATTTCAGTGGAAGTTGAGAGTTAGTTCATTGTGAGTTGGCCAGAGTTTATCAATTAATATTTATGTTTGGTATTTTAGTATTCTTTATGGAAGTTTACTCACAACATTTCAAATTATATGATCATTTCAATCATTATAATTGAATTGTTTTTCAACTTTGAGATCGGATTCAAGGTTATTTCATTCACAGAAGTGAATAGTTCCAAATATCCCAATATACTCGATACCAAAGCACATGAGTATAGCTTAGCAAAGTCGCCTTATGGAGAATTACACGTTAATTTAGTTGAACCAAAGGTTTATTTTCGAAATTTTTATCCCGATGAAATTCTTCCGGAAATATTAATCATTGGAACAGTGTATTTGTGGTTTATGAACAAAAATGGCAATCATTGATGTGCCCTGTTAGCCAGAGGGTTCATATTTGTTTTTAGCTGGGTTCATTCGAAGGTTTCTATATTCTCTAATATCATTACCAGCGTAACCTCGTGGTCAAAGCGTCAATGTTCTATCCACGTTAGATTGCCGGTAGGTGGGTTCAATTCCCACCACGACTGCAGAAATTAGTCTGATGGCCTAAGAGAGTGTTTGGGATCACACGTTAAAAGGTGAGACCCCCGTCATTCCTTGCTCGCACAAGTCACTTGAAGACTTCTGAGGGTTGCTCGTAAGGGGACACCTGAATGATGGATAAGAACAATCTTAGAACAATTATACTCAGGTGCGTGCAAGCAAGCGAGGAAAGAAATATCATAAAGGCGCGCTCTGTTTATCATAATGCTACTCACAAGCTACTGCTCATAAGTTAGAATTTTCCTTAGTGTATTTTACCAATCCTATATTGATTTTTTCACAGAAAATTAATTGGGATAAGAGCAAAAGAATGGCTACGTACATATCGTCTTACAAACCTCAGAATGGAAGCAACGGGGAAAATATGAGTTAAAGAAAAATCCATCAACTCTTCATATTGATTTCCTTACAAAAATTGGTTGGGATAAGATAAAAACAAAAGCAATATACACATTGACTGACTTACATACCTCAGGAGGCAAACAAATGGAAAGTAGGATTTAAAAAACCTCAAAAAACCAAAACCAATAAGTTCTTCACTTTGATTTGCTCACAGAAAATTGGTTCGGATAAGAGAAAGAGAAAGGCTATACAGAGTGGCCCATTGAAAACGAAACAGAGGCTCTGTATGTCACCAGAACAGGATCATGAAAAAATACTGGAACACGCATTTTCGAGGGGGTCATCGTCTTTAATCTTGGTTTTCTCACAGAAAATTTGTTGGGATAAGTGAAATGAATGGCTATACAGGGTGTCCGGAAAGGTCATGTGGTAAATGATAGGGCTGATGGAGTGAGCCAAAATAACGTTAGTACTTGATATAAAAAAATATTTACATCGCGTTTGTTGAATGAACTCATTATAATGCACCTTTCCATATGTTTTATACAGAATCGGACGATTTTTTTTTGTAAAATGAAAGCATTTGTGACAGAGGTGACAAATTTGACATCTCTCTTTCGTGCGCTCCAAGCGATAAAAAAAAATCGATATCTTGTACCGATCTAGAGAAAATCGTATTTAAAAACATACATACCAACAGTTTCAAAGGTGATAAAACTCCAACATTCCGATCCGTTGTTAGAAGAGATTATTTTGAATATTCGAGGTTATATGTGGCTGATGCGCGATGGTGCGCGTCTTCATTTCGACAAAGCTGTAGGAGATCATTTGAACATCACATTTCCCCATGGTCCTTTTCCATGGCCACCTCGGTTACCTGATCTCAATCTACTTGATTTACTTCTTTGGGGCTATCTTAAATGTTTAGTCAATAAAACACCTGTGCATATTAGGGATGAGTTTTTGAATCGAATTCTTAGAACTTTAGAAAATGCGTTTAAGTTCAGGTTGCACATATTGAAAACAGTTTTTAAAAAATTTGTTGTCTTCACTGATGTCATTAAAAAGGTAAATGGATTTTTTATTACCTCTGAAACGGTTGGAATGTATGTTTTAGAATGCGACTTTATCTAGAACGGTACAAGATAACGATTGAAATAAAGTATATCATTTTTGTAAATGAAAGATGAAGGAATCAAACGATGAAAGCAAAATGTGAAATTAATCACTAGTGTCAAAAATGCCTTCATTAAAGGAAACAAATTCGTCCCATCCTGAACGGAACATATTCACTGAAAAGTCGTTCACGTATAGAAAGGAGCATTAGTATGAGTTTATTCACCTGCCGAATAGCATTGATACCATGGCAACCGTTTGAAACTTATATAAGAAATTCATCTTTTTTATTCCTTTCACGGTCAATAACTCCGTAACGAAGCGCGGTAGACATTTTTTTATATGAAGTACTAATATTATTTTGGCTCACTTGATGACAGCCCTATCATTCTGGTTCACTCTATCAGCCCTATCATAACGACATGACCTTTCCGGACACTCTGCCCATTCACATATGCTGATTGAAAAGGGACTCATTCAAATCAAGATCATTTTCAGATTGGGTAACGAATCTGTTGATGAATCGAAATCAACAGAAGCAAAAGCAAATTCGATTAGGTAAATTTATATTTTCACTCATTTTCGATAATAATTCACTCAGTAGAAACAATAATAGGATGGTTTTCTTCACTACACTGAACAATAATAATCATCATGTGCTTCGGTGATTTTGGTCATTCTTTTTCCGTTGTGTTTCTATAAAGGGTGACATTTCGAAAACTTCCCATCCTCAATATCTTCCTTCTAGTAAATAATATGAATTTTCGAGAAAACGGTCCATTTTATTTTCAATTATTAGTTTTAGCTCTCTTGGTTCAACCCCCTGGGAAGGTTAAAATGTACTCTTAGAATCTCAAACGGATGCAGGGTCAAGTGGCACATCATTTTTAAGAGCGGTCAATTCTCTTTCCAACAGTACCCTAGTTTATTATTTTTTGAAACTGTTGGGATGTATGTTTTTAAATACGATTTTCTCTAGATCGGTACAAGATATCGATTGAATTGGAGTATACTATTTTTGTAGAAAAAAGATTGAAGAATCAAACGGTGAAAGAGAGTTGTCAAATTTGTCACCTCTGTCACAAATGCTTTCATTTTACAAAAAAAAAACGTCCGATTCTGTATAAAACATATGGAAAGGTGCATTATTTGAAAAATGCCGTTCTAAACTTACAGAAGTAATTACAAACATGCCTGCACTGAGATGCATGTTCTTCAGGTTAGTATTATTGTATTCACGCTCCTTTCAGCTCAAAATCTTCCAACCCCCTGTTCCCATTTGAGATTTCAAGGGTAACATCTACCCCTCCTAGCGGGTTGAACCAAGAGCGCTAAAAATATTCATTTTAATTGTCCCTTCGAAACTAAATTTGCCGTTTTTTCGATTTTTCATATTATTCACTAGAAGGAAGATATTGAGGGTGGAAAGTTTTCAAAATGTCACCCTGTATACTTTGTTCCGATTTTTCACTCATGGATATGTCCCATCCTATAATCATTTTATCAAACACCACATAAATTTGCTTTTTTCCAATGTCTGATTTTTTCATCATTATGTAAGGCATATCAAATCAAACATATTATTACGATAACGGATAAATGATTGCTGAACAATTTCGACTTCGACGCAATAAATTGTATTTTTCCAATTTGCAGTTTTCTTTTCAAAATTCGTTGTTTCGCACCAAATTGGATTTGGATACATTTATTCTGAATTTGACTGTGTTAATCAAATTGATTAAGTTAATTTCAAATTTGAAACTGTTCATTCTGAATATAAAAATTTGTATTCTTAATTTGAATTTGTTCACCAATTTGAATGTGTTTAGTTTGGAATTGATGAGCCGATTTCAAATTGAAAAGTTATCGATTACACATTATAACTTGGGGACACCTTGTAGATTTTCATTTGGGATACTCACTGATGTTGAGACATTCAACTTGCTACCAGAAAGGACAGGTTTTGATTTTTTCTTCACAGTTATGTTCAATGCTTTATATTCCAACTCTGAAAATGAAAACAAAGGAAAATAATGTCCTTTAGGAAGAAAATTGAGTGATATCCAATATGACTGTTATATAAATCATATTGTACTTTGTTTCATAAATACTGAAACTGAGATATCAAAAATTATCTTGACCAACGATGGTTATGCATTTTGAGAAATCATTATCTGAAGTAGTTAGTATCATGCATTTACGCCAATCACATTTTGTAGTTTACATGTTGTGTTATGTGAGTTGTTGTTTAATATTAATTGCGATATTGCTGTTAAACTCGTTTCCTGAAGAATCTAATTCCCCCCATCTCTTGGGCTACTGAAAATTCGCGATGTAGAGCACTGAAGCACTAACAAATCGACTCTTTTTGGACTACATGGTTAGAATAAGAAGTTTTTTGTAGCTACATTACGTTTTATTTTCAATTTCGTCGTCAATGTAGAGGCAAGACATTTTGACTAAATTTGTTTATGCAACGCTGAAAATACTGCATATTATATATTTGCACATTACTTATGAGTTTTATGACATCCATATAAAAAGAAAAAGATATGACAGCCGTTTTACCATTTCATAAGTATCTTTGATCATGATGACTTTTCATAACTCAGCTTAAAAAAATCGTGTCAAAAAAATCTTACTTGCACTTGTGGACACTTTTTTAATGCTGTTGTTGGTCCTTGTCTCCAAGGGTCGCTGCAATTTTTTCCCAAATAGAGCAGGAAGAATATCATCGATGAGTTTATCTGTTTGTGTAGAGCTGTTCAAGAGTAAACTCAGATTTTTCGCCTTGTCTATAATGGCCTGGTTATCTTCAAAACTACTCAGACATGGCGATTTCAAATTGCAGTGAATTATTGTACTAGATTTATCCGCAGAACTGAAAAAAAACATGTATACGGATTACGGGGTGAGGTAATAGTCTGTATTAGTCCGATTGCTCGGATCCTATGATAGCTAGAAACATGAATGAATAAATTAAAAGTAAAAAAAAAATGTTTAATAAAAAGCTTTTATTCAAACGCTTCAAAAATAATAAAATTAAATGTTCCTTTATAATTTTAACTACCAACTTATCACCTCATTATACACAATTTATATGACCATAAAATCTTGTCGCGCGACTTACTTATGTGAATAAACTAGTACTAATTTAGTTTTGTGAAATCTGCTGTTTAAATTTTTAAAATTTCAATTCAATGAAATATTGATCATCGCGACAAGCTTTTATGATCATATAAATTGTGTATGATGAGGTTATAAGTTGATAGTGGATAAATGAGATGTGGCAAGGCTATTCACAATGCGTCGCACATAACAGAGGAACATTTTCAATCTCACGAGTTTGCGCTACTAAAACGTGAGGTCGATGTCAAAGTCGAAAATCTCATAATTTTGGATTGAGATATTTTATTTTTCTTAAATATATTAAATATTTTTCAATACCCATTCATTATTTCAAGTACTCTCGAATAGCTTTTGAATACCTCCATTACTCACGAATACAAAATATTTTGAATATGGTGTACACTTTCATCGAAGTTGTGTGCCCCTTGTGTTTTACGTATAACCTTTCAATGAGTTTGAATTATAAAGTTAGCGAAATGATAGTGGAAAAACAGACAGTGATCAATGATGACAATCACAAAAAATAGCTAACAACAAACAGAATTTCCAAGTAATTGTTCGACCAAAGCTGAAAAAAAAAATTAAAGCTTTCTCTGAACACCCTGTGTCTGCAACATTTCAATCAGGCATGTTGGGTTAAATCTTAATATTTTGGTGTTTACTATCTGTAGTTCTAAGATTTCTCATTCCTAATGAATCACCATGTATATGCAGAAGGAAATATCCTTTCTGCGTAAAAAAAGGGACTCTTTTTTCTAACCTAACTCAGCTTAATATACAGGGTCACATTGAAACAAATACAAATATTTCAAACTCTTAATAATTTCGACGAATATTATTGGATGGCACCTATAGAAAAAATATAGGGATCAAATAAAATCCAGGGTGAGACTTTTTTTCCACCCAAAGTTCTACACTGTAGCAATTCTGACATCACCTCTGTACAAATTTCTGTGCGGAAGTCACATTCACGTGGAGTTCAATCATTTAAATTGCCTAGAGGTGGCGTATTTTTTTTTCAATTTTTATTAGATCTTCAATATAAAATTTCTCTTTGATTAGAAGAGTTATCAAAAATCTGATATTATGGGATTATTCGTTAGCCTATATTTTGTGGATTCGCAGAATATATAAACTCATTTCAAGAACACCTCGCATAGATAGGAAAATGAAAGAAAATATCCTTAAATTTCTCTTCACTCCACCCCGTATACCAACTATCGATATCGGAGTCATACTTGTTCGGGAATTGAACGGTTGAAAGAATGACGTAACTATTTAGTCACTAGAATGATGAATCAAACCATTCAGCAGTCTCGTTCTAGACGTCATCGCATACGGTCGATTCAAGTGATAATAAAAAAGAACTCGAAGTATTTAAGAGTAGAATATTGGAATTCATATTCGGCTTAGTGATTGTATTTTCATTTGAGTGTGTGAAAGTTGTTTTTTTTTACTTTTGGGTGTATGATAAATTGACATTCATCATACAGGGCGTGGAAATGAATTCTGAATTGAGACTCTATCACGAATCTGCGATTAGAGGTCTATAAAAATCACAAGTTTCCATCGTTCAAGTTTGAACCCCCTGATTGGGTATGAAAGTGTTGAAAAGGAATATTCTCAGATAAATTATGAACATACAAAAATGGATATATATTTATATAAAGCCAGTATACTTCTCCTATACATTCCAATTTTCATTTCAATGCTGAATATATTGGTAAGTCATATTTCTAGATCATTATTCATCATATTATTCATCCGATTTGAAGAAGAATGTCAATTCTCAATTTCGGAGGATTTTATTCTTTATTTTTCATGTTCCCCCTTTTGAATGTTCATCAGATATAATTCAATGTTCGACGTGGCAAATAGCCAGGAAAGTAGTTGTTTTCTGTTGAATATTCAGAATGATGTGTGTATATACATATTTTTTGTCTGAAGGAGAATGCAAATTCTCAATTTCAGAAATATTTATATTTTATTTTCAAACTCTTATCGTGTGTGTTCAATAGATATAATTCAATGTTCGTCGTGGCATATAGCCAGGAAAGTAGTTGTTTTCTATTGAATTAACTGAAAAAGAGTAAATATTCTCATCACATAGAAAATGCGAATTCTCAATGTATTGCTTTATATAAATATATATCCATTTTTGTATGTTCATAATTTATCTGAGAATATTCCTTTTCAACACTTTGATTTTTTTTAGATGGTAAGTGTTTTTGTATAATAATATACAGGGTGGGTCACGTTGGATGGCCTATTAGAAGTATCTGGAGAACGAAAAGATAGAACATTTTGAAAATTGGGATGCTTTGATAATTGAACATTCTCTATTCTTCTAAAATGTTTTCATTGATACAGTGTTGCCACTTCTATCAGAAACAACTAGCAACTTTATTATTTCAAATGGAACACCCTGTATTTTATTGCATTTTTAGATTCTTCCTGAGGAGCTGATTTCATCGATGTATCATACTTGGGGTCAAGCAGAAATGATTACAGAGATATAGGGTATTCAAAATCGAAATTTTTCAATTTTAGGTTTTTTTTTTGTCGAAACTATTTATTATTGATCAAAACGGCGTACATGTCCCTATTTCAACCTTTGATTCACTTTCTACTGGAATTTAATTGAAAAAATACTGGGTGCTTCAAGATTCAGAATTCTGATCACCCTGTATCTGTTCCAATTAAATGTCAGTAGATAGTGGATCGAAAGTTAAGATAGGGACATGTAAACCGTTTTGATCGATAATGGATAGTTTCGATAAGTACAAAAAAATACCAAAATTGAAAAAATCTCGATTTTGAACACCCTATATCTCTGTAATCATTCCTGCTTGACCCCAAGTGTGATGCATTGATAAAATCAGCTCTTTACGAAGAATATGATAATGCAATAAAATACAGGGATACAGGGTGCTCCATTTAAAATAACAAAGTTGCTAGTTGTTTCTGATAGAAGGGGCAACACTGTATCGATGAAAACATTTCAGACGAATAGAGAATGTTCAATTATCGAAGCATCCTAATTTTCAGAATGTTCTGTTTTTTCGTTCTCCAGATACTTCTAATAGGCCATCCACCGTGACCCACCCTGTATATGGAGGCATTCATTACATGGTTCGCTATCTTTATCAATTCGTACAGAAGATCTAGATGGATATAATTGCAACAAATCGCGAAAATATTCGCTATTTTGTTATGAGTTAACACAAATATTTCAAAATCTCGTATTTATTCAGGATGGAATAAATTCCTCTGTTAATTTATACAGAGGTGTTGAAATGAGTTGCAAAAACATTTGCCATTTTGTTGAGACTTATTTATAGGTATACGAAACTATTCGATATTTGGAATAGGTACCATTCAACCTTCAACACATGGAATTTAATGGAACTGTATTGATATATAGCAAGCTGCAGATTGAAACATCTTTGCACGTGGAGTGAGAATAGCTCGCCATTTAATTTTTTATTTGGGATACACTAATCGGAAGAGCTTTATCTTCTGATTTTTTCGTGTAAATCGATTTATATATAAGACTACTTCATAAACATTGAGGGTAATTTGGACCAGGAACCGTTAACGTAAAAAAATACAGGGTGTTTCATTTAAAAAACTCATCATCAGCCGATATCTTGGAACTCGTACACCCTATATATTTGACGGTTTGGCTAATATCGAAACGGAACACCACTATTGACTCACCTAATATACTAAAAATGACCCTGTTTTTTTATTGTAAATATATTTGATTTCTTCATACTATTTTTCCATATCAAATTTACTCATACATAACTTTTTTTTTCTCGGGAATGTGCCGTGTACTATCGAATAAGGTTCGCACCAATAATTGTAATTCCGATGAGAATACAAGGAAAAAGTTGTCTTCAAGAAATCTTGACCCACTTTCTAAAAACACCCTTTATAAGTATAGCAGAAATGTAGAAGTGTATCAAAAAACTGTATTCCATCAACATACATTTATTCCGGAAAATTCATTTGGTATGTTCTACCGTTAAGGAGTTAGAAGTTATGCAAACATTTTGGAAAGATATATCTCCTTTGATACACATTTAGGACCATTCGTTTATTCATCGAACTATACTGATTTTTCAATGTACTATCACCTCCAGAAAGCTAAGCTACACATTTCTGACTCGACCTCCCCTAATGATTAACTAATCCATATTGTAAAATTAAACTTGGAATCATTTCGGTAATTCATCGAAATTTTACATAAGTAAGTAGCTAGAATCAGAGACATCGGATGTTGGAGAAATTCTTTAGTTATTTACTTTTTGTACTGTGGAAATATATCGGTTTACTCAAGTACAAAGAGTTTTATTTCTCAAACTTTGAGTCGTCCTCTTGCCTAATTTTATTGTAGGATGAACCTATTCACCTTTGTATTTAGTGGTTCTATGTTTGAATAATATTCATTATGTCCATAGGTATGCATATACCTATACGTATAATATATGTGCCACACTGGATTATTTCTTTACGCTCCCGGGTCCTAGGCGGCCGCCTAGTCCGCCTAATGGTTAACACGGCGCTAAATTATTCACTTCTTGTAGTTGTAACTGCGTCGGATAATACCGCGAGTTGATGAACAATTTGATTTCTGTGGAAAAATATCGGTTACTCGATTGTGATACTAAAAATTGTCTCGAACACTTGCTGATCCGCCCCACTGTGCCGTGGATTTCAGACAAAATGAAAGTCGGTACAGTTGTACTTTTGTGTTCATCTAGTCCTTATCTACAACTTTTGTTAAGGGATTTTTGTCCGGTGCGAAAAGGTAGTTAACGCGGTTTTGCTACTCACTGTACTGCCACTGTGAGGTTGCGGCAGAATCGGACGCGACACAGTGAGTTTTCATAGTCGTACTCATTGAAATGCATATCTAGTGATTGTTTTATGTGTCCGGGAAAAAGAGGTAGATATTGAAAAAAACGAGACTGGTTATAGGCTAATAAAATTAAATCGAAAAAAAATCGTTTTGAGGAATTAATTTCCAGCAAACTGGAAATTGTTTTAATACCTCTATTTGGTCCTAAATGCGTGTAATCTGAGTTTGCACCATGTCAGGTGGTGAGCTTAACTTTTGATAGCCAAAAAACCGCCACATTTTTGCACTTTTTTTATTTTTTTGCTTATAGCTGCAAAACGGTGCGTCGGACGGAAAATGTTATTCCATTCAATAATACAGAGGACAAAATTCTGCGTCGAATGACATCTGAAAACATCAAATTCCGTTCAGAGGTCTAGCCGAAATCGAATGTTAAAAAAAAGAAAATTTCGTAGTTCGGTGCAACTCCGTGCGCGAAATACTTTGGTGATTTCGACTATTTTTCAACTTGGCTGCGCCTCGTTAAAAAAATCAGCTCTCGATCACCAAAGTAGCATTTCGCGCACTAGATGAAAAATAATTATAAATTGATGCAAAATTTGGGACCGAAGCTGAACCGGGCATTCAGATATCCGGATAATTGGACAAATCAAGAAAACTTAAACATTTGGACATCTATCTATATAACGTAAAATTTTATTCTCTACAACTTTTATTTTATGGGTTTTTTCAATAGGAGTATCTGTTTTCAAGATATGTCGTCTTGGAAAGCCGCAAAATGTAAGCTTGCATCGAACTACGAAATTTTCTTCTTTTTTAACATTCGATTTCGGCTATACTACTAAACGGAATTTGATGTTTTCAGATGTCATTCGACGCAGAATTTTGCCTTCTATATTATTGAATAGAATGACATTTTTCGACCGATGAACCATTTTGCAGCTATAAGCAAAAAAATAAAAAAAGTGCAAAAATGTGGCGGTTTTTTGGCTATCAAAAGTTAAGCTCAACTCCTGGAATGGTGCAAACTTAGATTACACGCATTTGGGACCGAATGAAGGTAATTAAATGATTTCCAGCTTGCTGGAAATTAATTCCTCTAAATATAATTATTTGATTGGCCTATTAATAGTTAATGATAAATACTTTCGGCAAGATTTAATCCGGCACATTGCCGTTTTGTGGATATGTTCTCATGACCAACCCTGTAGGTATATAAACCGACCCGGCTCTTGGACTATACAGGCTGTGGCCTGTTTTATAGAAAAATATTTGGAAAAAATGAGTATTTGAACAAATAGAAAACCTCAAGTTATGGAAAGACTCGAGCAGATTTAGGTTTTTTAACTCGCAGTGTGGTACTTTTCAACCAATTCTTACATTGACAGAGAAGAATATATCGGAAGAGGCCAAATGACACGAGAAGAAGAAGTATATGTATCAGTTCTACCAACTCTGACCACACGTTTCAGCATCGTTTCAGTGGCGCGCTGTGGTGGACAATAAATAATGTTAGCCCTCATTAGTTGAGCAAGATTCAGAAATGTTGTTTTCCACAGCTTACTTAGCTGAAAAATTATTATTATCAACTGCAAGAAAATTCTTGAACTATTTGTTGACTTTTGACTGTATACTGTATACAATGTTAGTGTTAGTGCACCGAATCACAAAAATGATATGTCATTTGTTTCCTTGATGTATGTTCCAGAGAGACATTAATGTGACTGATTTGATTCATTGATAAGTAATACAAAAAATGAGATTTCTAAAAAAATTGTTTCTCTGTGTAAATCATTGTGAATAGCCTCGACCACATCTCATTTATCTAGGAGGTAAAATGATAAAAAACAATTTTGATTTAAATGTTTTCGAAAAAATTTTACATAAATATTTCACTTGTTTGGACCTTTGTACTCGAATATATGAATATATACAAGATGTATACAAGGTGTTCCATTTAAAAAAATATTTACATAACGAGAAGAATACTGTCGTTGCTATTAAAGAATTCAAGAGGAAATTGTCATTTGATGTGTGATATTTTTCACTCATGTACATTCATTTATTTACATAATTAGTGTGTAGAATGATATTGATTGATTGATTGTTTGTATTACCCCAAGAAAGTTGTTTATAATAGGAATACGACATGAACACATGTAAAAAAAATTATAATAATATCAAAAGGTTAAGTAATGAATTCCACTCGGTGGAAACAAATTCATCCTTTTTATCAAGATGAAAGTTATAACATTTCACTTCTGCGTAACCAAATCATGTCAAATTTTTTCAATCAAATTGTCCTGACCAAGTATTGTTTAAGATTTACTTTAAATCTTACATCATGTATATTTTTCAATCCATTCGGTAATGAATTGTATAAAATTATTCCATTATGAAATATAGATTGTTTGCCAATGTTCGACTTGAATGAATTTGCTATAGGTAATTCAATTGTCTAGTCCCATAAGTATGGACTGTATTGACTTCATTAAAAGCTGAGTTTGATATTTTAAAGTTATTCCTGACTAAATAAATGAAACATTATATTTTGAGTTTCTATAACAAAATTAGATTCAGAAATTTTCTAGGTTTGTATAAATGTACTATTGGTTCTAGAAAATTTAGATGAAAAATGCACTTAATTGATTTGTTTTGTAATTTCATTAGTAGTTTCAGGCGTGAATTATTTTAATAAATTTGAAACCTTGTAGAAGGTGTTCGGGAAGATTGAAAAATGTCTGTCAAATTAAATGATTCATCTCCAAATCATGAAGATAACACTTTTTCATAAACAATTCGACAACTGTAAATTTCAGTTCGAGAGATACCATCACATTTTGTGTCATAAAAGTGAATCTCTGATTAAAAGCTTTTCACGAATAAATCTTTCTGAGAACTCCAAAATTGAAAATACATACAGTGTGACCCATTTAAGATGGAAGCACCCTTATAAAACTTACATTTTTCAACCGATTGGAATGATTTTTTTTTTGTTAGGTAGATATTCAAAAAGTCTATTAGGACACCTAATATCATGAATAAATCTCCATTTCCAGGGCCAACTAATCTGATTTTTCAAGGTCAAAAATCTAAAAAAATTACTAGCGATTTTTTTAGAAAAAAACTGACTACACCACTGGATTTGTGACATTTTCAAATGGGTAACATGTAAATTACGTTGAAATGCGTCAATCAATAAAAAAGTTATAAAGGAATGAAATTTGAAAAATATGCCGTTTAATCAACCCACCAATTCATGTTCAGGAATTTTATGAAAATTCTGTATACTCCACTGGATTCAGGATGTCTTGAAATATTACTGATCACAGTTTCATCGAAATCTGTTCAGTAATAAAAATTGATGGGTTGATTAAACGGCATATTTTTCAAATTTCATTCCTTTATAACTTTTTTATTGATTGACGCATTTCAACGTAATTTACATGTTACCCATTTGAAAATGTCACAAATCCAGTGGTATAGTCAGATTTTTTCTAAAAAAATCGCTAGTAATTTTTTTAGATTTTTGACCTTGAAAAATCAGATTAGTTGGCCCTGGAAATGGAGATTTATTCATGATATTTGGTGTCCTAATAGACTTTTTGAATATCTACCTAACAAAAAAAAATCATTCCAATCGGTTGAAAAATGTAAGTTTTATAAGAGTGCTTCCATCTTAAATGGGTCACACTGTATCTTGGAATAGCGAGTTTTTAATTATTGTCCAACTTATTATGTTCATAGACTTTTTTACTTGAAACCTGGCATTCATGTGTGATATATAAACATTATTTTCAAAGGACATAGTTCCTTGAATTTTTAGATCTATTGTACATCAATCGAGATTATTCTATAATCGAGTTCTGCTGAGAATGGATTACCCTGTACAAAGAATGGCTCTTTCCATCACTCACTCAATCGAAATGTAGGAATTAACGTCAAAAGTCATCAATCTTTAACGTACAAAATCTCCGTGTATCATCTCAATGTACAAATAGAAAATGAAAAAACCACGAAAACGAAACCCAAATGGGTGGACGCCATTCTAAAAAGCCGTCGGCCCAAAAAAGACAAATGACCGAACTGAGGGAAGCATTTTTGATGTTCGACAAAAACAAGGACGGTGAGATATCCAAGGCAGAGCTTGGTAGAGTGATGAGGTTCCTGGATTTCAGGCCGACGGACAACGAATTGAATCAGGTACCAAAAATTAACCTTTACACATCACAGGGACAAATCAAAGGCTGACAGACGTTGGTACACAGATTGGTCCAAACTTCACACGAAACTAAAGCCGATTATTATGATTCTCTAACAAAACAGATGATGCAGGTCGTCAAACTGAGGCCTTCGCCATCACTCATGGTCTAGAACAACTAGCCGAACTACCAACCCGTATTCCAGATGTCAACAACCAGTCTGCCAATACACTAGATCTTTTTCTCACCAGCAATCCTGATCCATATAGAATAGAAGTTTGTGCCCCACTTGGAAACTATGACCACACCCTCATCTCCACAACCTGCTCTTTCCATGTACCATCCAGCACCACAATTCCTACCCGTTTCATGTGGCATCACAATTCGGCCGACTGGGAAGGTCTTCGTATGTTTTTTTACCAGCGTTCCCATGGAAGAGAGTTTGTTTCTCCTCAGCAGGTCCAACACGATGTGCTGAGACAAATTCTGAAATCATCATGTTGGGGATGCAAACCTACATACCGAACAATGCAAGGAGAACATCTTCCGATAAGGCCTGGTTCAGTAGGAACTGCTCTAGAGCTGTCGCTTCCGAACAGGCAGCATTCCATCGATGACAGAAAAATTCAGGCCCTGAGACTAGAGCAGAGTATGTCGAGGCTAGAGGCATATACAATGAGATAATTCGATCATCAAAGGATGTTCATAATGGCAAAATAAGATCAAAACTTGTTGAATGTCCTAACGGATCCCGTTTATTTTGGTCCTTCGCCAAAGCTGTAGGGAGAAACTTCACTTCCAGTTCGTTTCGATTTTGTTGGGTCTCAACACCAACAAAGCTTGTGGCTCCGACGGAATCCCACCGATTATTCTCAAGAAACGTGCTCCCGAACTAACACCTGTTCTCTGCAAGTTGTTCAACTTCTCTTACCAATTGGGGATATTCCCGTCCAACTGGAAAATTGCAAGAGTACAACCAGTTCCTAAAAAAAGGCAAAAAGACCCTACCTAGCAACTACAGACCGATCGCACTGCTATCTATTATTTCAAAGATCATGGAGAAAGCTATCAACATCGAGCTCATGAAATACCTGGAACATTCAGGCATTATCAATGATAGGCAATATGGCTTCCGTCATCAGAGACCAACTGGTGACCTGCTCGCTTACGTCTCACATATATGGCAGCAATCTATTGAAAAATATGGTGAAACCTTAGCCGTGGCACTTAATATCTCCAAGGCATTCGATCGAGTCTGGCACCACGGACTCCTCGCCAAGCTCCCATCTTATGGCTTGCCTCCCCACCTATGTTCTCTGCTAGCTAGTTTTCTCTCAAACAGGTCTCTCCATGTAGTGGTCGACGGAGTTTCATCTGCCTCTTTTATCATAAATGCTGGTGTTCCACAAGGATCAATTCTAGCATCAACACTATTTTTACTCCATATCAACAATTTGTTGGAAGCAACTGTTTGTCCAGTACACAGCTTCGCGGATGATAGTACCCTCCATACCTCTCTTCTCTTCCATGGCTCCAATACCAGCCAGGCAAATCAGAACCGAACGAAGGAGGAATGTTGACATCATAAATATGGACCTGGCAACAATTCTCGAATGGGGATCCAATAACTTGGTAGATTTCAATGCAAACAAAACACAATCATGCCTTTTCTCTAGAAAAGCCGATCTCACTGTGCCCAACATAAGCTTGTCAGGAGTGACCATACCTTTGAAGACATCCATTTCGATGCTTGGTATTACTATCAGCAATAACCTTGGGAAAACCACGTGAGATCAATTACTAAAATTGCATCCCAGAAACTCGGTTTTCTGTTTCGGGCCAGGAGCAAGCTGCTTATGATCTATAAGGCACAGATCCGACCTGTCCTGGAATACTGGTCCCATATTTGGAGTGCAGCACCCAAACATACCCTGAAACTGTTGGATTCTGTCCAAAAAAGGGCGATTCGTCTCGTGGGTGATGCCTCGCTTAAAAACTCTCTCACTTTTCTGGAACACCGTAGAAAAGTTGGCGATCTGGCAATATTTTATAGATATTTTCATGGACGATGCTATTCTGAAATATCAACAATTGTTCTTCCCTTGGCAGTCCCCGCGAGATTGACCCGTCGAGTTGAGGCTTCGTACTCACTTTGGACACCTGCAGAACATCTCTTTCCAAAGACTCGTTCATCCAACGAACAGCGAACCTCCAGAAATTTAAGAAGAATACCAATTCCTACCTTATTTCCTTTGGTTCTCACGATGTTCTCTGAACATCACAGGATATCCTTTTTTCGTTTGAACCAGAACGTTTAAAAAAATGCAGAATGAATATTGGGTTGGATTCGCGAAAAAGTCATAACACCTATTGGGGAGGTACCAATCAAGTGGCAAAGAATGATAATAATTCCTTGACATCATTGGAACACCGTGGGAAAGTTGGCGACCTTTCACTTTTCTATAGACTTCCTTGGGAAATGTTATTCCGTCACTAGCAATACCAGTCAGAACTACTCAACAAGCCAAGTCAGTACATCATTTCTTCGTCAACCTCAACTAGTTTGTCTATAATAGAAGGGCAAACCTTCGGATTTCTTTGCCAAAGGAATTATTCCCAAGAACTTCTCCAGAAATTGAAGAAGGAAATATTCCAATTTCTACACATAATACGGATTCCCTTTCGGTAGCTCCAAGAGAAAGACAGCTCTATATTATGGCAGCGAAACATACAGGGTGAATCAAAATTCGATAAAAATATTTCAAGGACGTAATGCACACCATTCTCCGAGCTACATCCCCCTCCAATTTTACAATTATTTTAAAGCAAGAATGAAATAAAGTGTCGAAAAAGACAGTGGCATGCCAATTTTCAGAAAATTTGATCAGTTATTTTTTTGGATAATTTTTTTTACTCATTTACAGTGGCTGTAGCTCGGGGGGGTGCAAAATTCTTATTTTGATCCCAACAATATGTCCTCAAAATATTCACATCGAATTTTGAATCACCCTGTATATTCTGATCAAAACTAATTAACATGCTTGACATGAATTTGACGTTTTGCTATTTCTTCTTTGTATGTTTAATGAGCGTCGAATTTGAATCACAGTTGCAAAAAATCACGATTTTTTCGATTATATCATGATTTCTTTGATTTATACTTACTTTTTCTTCAAATATGAAAATAATGAATTTTAAATCACTTATTTACATTAGTTTTCTATATTCACCCAGAAATATTTGATAGAAAACCTTCTCGGCGACATAAAAAAAATTGTGTTGACATGAAAATTTCAAACTTCGAAATCGCTTGGGAACCAAGAAAGCAGCTAAATTATTTTTCCTGTATAAGTATCACAACTGACTTCCTAAAAACATATTTTTTTTATGTTTTTTAAAGGTTAGCCTGAGGAACGTTTCTGTTCACACTCGCACTTACAAAACGAATGTTAACACTTAGTTTTTAATAAACGTCCTCTCATTGGCGACTTGTTTTCACAGCAATTTATAATTTGATTGAAATCACGATTACAATTGAAAAAATCAGTTGATTCAAATCATGAATTAAATCACGATTTAAATCATTTGATTTGAATCGTCGCAACCCTGATTTGAATAACCCCAATAAGTATAAAAGATGCGATAGTGCGATGGTGTATGTGAAATAAATGTGTAAGATGGATATTACGAAAAACACTATTTTCATTAAAACTATGATTTGCATATTCGCTGTAATTCGTAATTCTCTCACAAACAGAATTCTTGCAGATGATCAGAGCAGCCGATATTGATGGAAACGGTACCATCAACTTTGACGAATTCTTAGTAATGATGACGAAACACGCCCAGCAAATCGACGAAGAGGAAGAAATCCGCCAAATTTTCAGAACTTTCGACAAGCGTCACAAAGGAATTATTTATCCCCAGGTAGGCACACTCTTCTTTAGAGAACATGTCGACGATGGACGATTTCACCGCTACAATAAAAACACTCACACCTTACACCGTCCAACCGCTACAACATAGTAGGTCTAAAAATATGCGAGTATTATTACTAGTGTCAAAGTACTCTGGAATCGTCTGGAATTGTAAATTAACAGTCCAAAATGGAGGTCTCATGAATTGTTCACCACCAACGTTTTGCATGTTGGCATTTCGCAATCTGATTGGTAAGTCACTATATTGTTTTACCACTAACCAAACCGATTTTTCAAACGCCTCGACACGTGTTTCGCTAACTATGTTAGTATCTTCAGGAAAAGATTAAAACTAAATATAAGGATAATGGACCTATTCCACCGTTTCCGAGTAAATAATTATTTACGTTAGATATCCCTGTTTTTTGAAACCCTTCATGAAAATTATATGAAAATTCACACATAGGGGTTTGAAACCATGGGGAAAAATATTATGGAGTCAGTTTTCTTGTAGAAAAATTCCTAATATAATTTCATAAAAAAGTATCCCTTTACATTTTTTTTTTGAGAAACTGATCATATTGATGGTTATTTATACCCAGTCCAAATTTCGTAAAAATCGCACGACTTTCAGCTGATATATAGAGGGGGAACTTTCAAAGTGAGATACGCTGTATATATTCATTTGCACTTGCTTTCATGTTATTTGAAGTTCAATGGGAGACGTATACTATGGCAGAATCAACAGGGATTATAGAAGCGTTACAAATTGGGAAATATGGAACCTACAATTAGCACCTTCCAAAACTTTAGGTATTTCCAAAGAGTGCAAGAGAACAAAAAACGGATAAAAAAAATCATTGGTATCAGCGGAAAACTTTGGAACAAAAAATCTCATCATGTATAGCGATTGAAGATGCAGTCTCAAAATCATTTCGAGACATGAATAATGAACATCGAAAAGGCGGCGAATATCTTTCATCGAATGGGCCATTATTTTGATCTACTTTCGTTCCTTTTTTTTCTGAGATGAGTGTCTTATTTTGATTTCCCTAGTGAATCATCCATTTCTCATCCACCTTCAAATAATAAAAACACGGTTCTTTTCAATATCAAGTGTTCACGTTTTTCACAAGTATATCGATCCATTCCTTCGGAAAATACAGTTTGTTGAATTCGGAGTGATGCACTTAGTGTGTTGAGAACTGGTAATGCAGAAATATATAGGGTGTACCTGTATAATTCTGAACAAATAGTCTCATAACATATGCAATGAAAGTGTATTTTTACTCAAAAGTCATAGAATTGCCTTATACGATATGGACAGGACATTTAGGAGCACCCTGATAGATTGTAGATTGTAGGTGGGTCGTATAGGTTGGGAGACCTCTCGATCACTAGAAGATCTATTGTGATTGCCCTTATCTAGTTTTAGCCCTTTAATCCTAGACCCTAGCCCCTAACCCTGGAATTTTTATGGCGGTTGTATTTTCCACCACAGCAGTCGTCCGATAGACCTGTTCTAGGTAATTCAGCCTTTGGCCATGAGCGGTTTCGGTCGCGTTGTTGCAAAAGCGGTGATTTACTTGCTTACGTCACCCATATATGGCAAACTTCATTAGAAAAACATGGAGAACCTCTAGCTGTAGCGCCAGATATATCGAAGGCACGACGGACTGCTCCACAAACAACCCTCATACGGCTTATCACCTCAGCTATGCCATCTTTTATCGAGTTTTCTTTCCGGCAGATCTCTCCATGTGGAGATGGACGGAGTATCGTCTGATACCATTGCCATCAATTCCGGCGATCGACAAGGATCAATTTCATACCATACTTCATATCAATAACGATCTATTCTATTGGGGGCAACCACTTGCCTTATCCTCAGCTTTGCAGACGAGAGTACTCTTCATACTGCGTTCTCTTCTAGAATTCCCATTTCCTACCAGGAAACTAAGAACTCACGGTGCAGGCAGGTCAATGCTGTCAATGAAGACCTTGCTGAAATCACAGCCTGGGGAACCAACAACCTAGTTAAATTCAACGCCGCCAAAACTCAAGCCTGTATTTTCAATGAAAAGGCGGAATTCAGTATGCCTGATATAACAATGTCTGGTACCACCATTCCCACCAAGACCACTATATATGTGCTCGGTATTACCATCAGCAATACTTTCTCATGGGAGAATCATGCCCAATCCATCGCAAAAGCTGCTTCACAAAAACTCGGATTCTTGTTCCGTGCGAAAATATACTTTACACCCTAACAGCTTCTCATGATTTACAAAGCACAGATACGACCAGTTTTACAATACTGTTCTTATGTATAGGGTTCAGCACCTAAACATACGCTGATTCTCTCAGATTCCATCCAGAGAAGAGCCATTCGCCTGGTGGGTGATGCTACATTCACCAACTCTTTCACCCCATTAGAACACCGTAGAAAAGTCGGCGACTTTTCACTTTTCTATAGATACTTCCACGGGAAATGTTCCTCAGAAATCTCTACTATCAGAACGGCGAATCTTCGGAATTCTTTGCCAATGGAAGTATTCCCGAGAACTAATGACCTCCAAAAGTTTAAAAAAGTTTCAGCACCTACCTCCTCTGCCTATCCTTCCTAGGTACGCGCGATGTTTCATAGGAATTTCTTTTCGTGCACTCCAAGAGATAAAAAAAAACTAGAAAAGATGAGCTGACAAACCGACAAATCGTGTTCGACTTCATCACTCTAAACGACAAATAGTTTCCGATTTATCGTAGATCAAGCCAAAGCAGCAATTAATGGTATGCCCATGGTTGGTGTATTCCATTGCTTCGCCTTCTAAACGAACAGAGTAGTGTAATAACTATATCGATAACCTTTTTCGTAGGATATAAAGGCAGTAATGGCTGAACTCGGAGAAGAATTGACCCAAGAAGAGATCGACGCGATGATTGTCGAAGTGGATCCCAACAGGAGTGGTCTAATAGATTACAAAAAATTTGAAATCTTGATGAAAAACCTTATGTATTCATAACAAATAATTATATATTTATTCAGCATTCTCACAATACTGAAATAAAATTAATTTGGTAAACCTTCTACTATTCGCACTAATGCGTTATTGGAATTTCAATACCGTATTTTTTATTATATGTAATGAGTTGTAACTCATAACAATGATTAGGGTCATGCCATGGAATTGTTTTGTACTTCCTTTATCTGAGGAGAGAAATGTTAAAAAATTTAAAGGGTGGAAGAAGAAAGTGGCGTATCTTGGTGGAAGAGCGTCCGATCTTGGAAGCGATGGTTCCGAGATGGATTCCCAGCCAGTAAACATTTTCAATTTAATCCATTGAATTCTAAATTTCGTAACCCGCTTGAAAAGTCTCCATGGTTGCATTCAAATGAAAAATGCTGCTCTAAAGTTAGAAAGTGTAGTTAGTAACAGTGCCTACACAAGACATATCATCCCAAGCACGTTGGGCTCAATTCTGTCACAGTCGATAACCAGTTTGTATGTTCACGCATACCAACGAAGTATATTATACTTCAATTTCTACTACTAAGAAATAAAACATGGAACAAGCACAATAATAATAATCATTATAATCAAAGTATTTTATTGAACAACAATGTTCAAATGGCTATCGACCGAAGTACTTCTGCCAATGAAACAAGCACAAAAAGCATAAAATTGAGATCTCAATTGGAATTTCCAATTATAACAAATCGAGATAAATGAACTAAAGAATAAAACCTGAATCAAGTCAATTACTTTCCACTTTTCGAAATTGTACACTTGTCAAGCAACCAGAAAGTATTTAAACAGGTTACCATTCGATTGAATTGTACTGTGTATTTGAGTTTCTCTTCATGTAAGATGATGAACAATATGTAAAAGTACTCCACGAGTTCTAGTTTTGAAGAACATTCCTTGAGAATAACTAAAGCATCAATGTTCAATAACCCGATAATTTTTATTCCAGACCTTCCAGAAGATGTATGAGTAGGTTATTTATGCAATTTGTGGTTATTTGAACTTCTGTAATGGAATCAATCAGTGTTTAATATGACAGATGATCAGCGGAAATCATGAGGAAAGGAGAATAGTGTGACCATATTTCCATTGTTTTTTTGTTTGATCACCTATCGGTGAAACAAATTCTGATTTCTATATTTGACAGTCACGGATTGCTGACAGCTCCATTTTTATTTTCATCACGTTCACAATTTCAAATAAATGTCGATAAAAATTAATAAATATCTTGCAAGATCACTTCAACAGTTGCATCATCTGGTGTTTATTTCACAAAGCCTCACTATGGTATTAAAATTCGACATAATCAAGTCGGTAAAAATGTCTACAATTTTTTTTTAGGTTTCATGAGAGGAAGTTGTTTCACCATCCAATAGGTATATCTATCTGCGACAATTGTTCTCAATTAACAACAAATCATGCCTTTTTAGACCAAACAGTGTAATGCAATAGATCATGATCTATTCAGGAAATTATAAATACCAACAAAATATCTGACCTATTCATCATCATTTTTTGAAGACTTACCTGTGAATAGAAGCGGTTTCCACATCTGATATGAATAATGTTATCAAGTTCCAAACATCGTCACTATCACTGTTATTCTCATTGAATGAAGATTTAATGCAATACCAAGTGATTGCACTGTCCCAGGTATTGAAATCAACCCAAATCCCATCAATAGAGTCCTAGAAGAAAATAACGAAAAACATCACATATAAAATTGATGGACGCCAGGAGTAACATGAGAATATTATTCTCAATGTTGATAATCATTTTGTTTGGCAGTTCTTAAGGTCCGAAGGAAAGATAATGTTTTGAATATGGTATTGCCGAAAATGTTGAACATCCTTCCTGACAATAAAGGTTTAGTGATCCTGAATTCGAGGAGCCTTTCAGTCTCAGTAGGCCTAGTAGAAACATCAGCTCTAAAGTATGAAGCATCGAATATATTTCCAAAAATAAACTGAGCACAGACCTCTGAAAAAATAGGTACCTTCTTTTTTTCTGATATACAGGCCACGAAGCCGTTAAACAAGACTGACAGTTTCCTCACTTCATTGCGTTTTTTTTTTATTCTATTTTATAACGGTTCTCGAACGATTCAAGAACTAATCCGAATTTATGTTTTAGGGTTTTTCATGATGAGCGTTAATTATACATTTCTGTCAAACCAAGCAACAGATGAACCTGAATATTTGTAGTATGTATAAATTGACATGATCTACACATCTAAAATATTTTAAAAGATGCGGCGAAGCCGCTTCTAGAAAGTAGCAACAACTATGATTTGGAATGGAACACATTGTATTCCACTGCATTTTTAGATTCTCCCTGAGAAGCTGATTTCTTCAATGCATCACACTTGTGGTCTAGCGGAAATGAGAACAGAGATATAGGGTGTTCAAAATCGAGATTTTTCAATTTTAGGTTTTTTTTTGTTGAAACTATACATTATTGAGCGAAACGGCTTATATGTGTCTATCTCAACTTTTGATTTACAATCTAGTGACATTTAATTGAAACAAATACAGGGTGGTTCAAGATACAGAATTCTGATCACCGGTATTTTGCAGGCAAGCCTATTCTGTAATTTTTGTAATATTTATATTATCTTTCTATTGATACCAATATTTACTGGTTATCATATCGGTGAAGTTATCTGAATTGACTTCTGTTCATACCTGCTTGCCAGATACCTATGAACAGAAATCAGTAGGCAGGCATACCAAGGCATATTATCTGTTGAGACTAAATTTGTTTGGTTATTATAAGAGCTAATGAAGTAATGAAAAAAAAATTATTAAAATAATTAATAAAAAATAGGTTTCATGTGGTAATCAGATGAATGCCTGAAACTATTCGCGATAGAAAATAAAACGTCGCGCCTCCTGGCGGCAACATTTGAACACATCTGAGCGGTTTCTATCGAGGTACCTAAATGACCAATGAGCAAAAACAAAAAACAAATGTGGGCCAATTGAAACAAAGTAAAAGACCGCTTTGACAGCTTCCAAAAACACCGATAGGTGGCGTACGCTTAATTTCTATCGCGAATTAGGCAAACGGTGTACGCAATTTAGAGTTACGCTGTTTGCCGGCAATACGTGAAATGACATTTCAGGGAATGTCAGATTCAACTGTTTGACGCCGACACATGTAATGATCTAACTGGTGCTGTATAATGTAAATAATGTCACTTACTGTCGGTGGAATACAAATCACATCTCCAAGTTTAACTTTATCACATACAATCGAAAATATCTTCCCAGATATTTTGTTCAGATTGTTCAAGAAGAGCCGAACGTCTTCGTCAAACCTTTCGGGATTTATTTCCGCAAAGCTCTGACTGAGTTCTTGCGACTCAGGAATGAGATCTTTCAGTCTGGCATTTATAGTAGCTCTTCCATACATCCGGAAAATAGTTTCAATAACCACCACTTGTAAATCATAGTCTCCATAAGAACTGATACTATCAATAATTTTGAAACTGAAAAGAATGTATATTTTAGCCAGAAATAATCATATAAATATAGGTACATTATTTTGAGATAAACATTGTGAACCACTTCCAAGATACCCCATATAAAATTCCGATTCTACAACCGATTTCAAATTGTTTTTGAGGGCAGTGAGAGCTACAAAAAGTTCACCTAGGTACAGTCGAAAGAAATAATTTCTATTTCCAGGGCATGCCATGATTTGTTTACGTCAGATCGGTAAATGAATTCATACTTCAGCATTGTTTGAGCATTCATATACAAATACTCAACTTGTAACTGACAACTGCATGACATATTGAAAAAAAAAAATAACTATAATACTGAAAAAGACTTAACATACCATACCAATTTACAACGACATACATTTCAGAAATCGACCATTCAATAATAGCTGAGCATTTCAACAATAAAGACGTTTCAATGTTCTTGGTGATTTGATAAAGATGAGGAGATATTTGGCAAATGGAAAGAAAACATAAGTAACGACTCATTTGGTTGAAAGAAAAAAGTTGCGATATAGATGAAACATTTTTTCATTATACACGGTCTTCAACAATGATTACGAGCCACGTGACAGATAACCATGCGATCAAGAATATATTCGAATTTCTTCACCACGTGTGGAAAAGAGAAGACGCATCAAAAATGATCATGTGTCATTCAATCGTTGTTGAAGGCCCGTTACAATTCCATTTAGGTACATTTGATGTAGATGATTTTTACATTGAAATACGAGAGAAGTTGAAACTATACTACATTCAAAATAAGAATATATTGTATGAACACTGTGCCCAAGATAAGAAGGACCAGTATGGGCATCTCGGAAGCGAGTGAACGACCAACAAAATGAACTGAAAAAATTCTGATATGACTTTTAGTTTTTGAGTGGTTTCCAATGAACTGTATTTACAGATTTTTCAATTTCATTTTTTACTGGCGTTAATAATGAAGTAATGACAAAACTGAAAATACATCTACATGGTAACTTTTGATGCTATTCAATTTGGCATCATCGATTTCCTGGTCCAACGTTTCGTCCTTGAGCAACCATCATCAACTTTATTGTTTCAAATACGCCCCTAATATTTTGATATCAGATTCCAATACCCATTTCCATTTTGGAACACGGTCCTGCATTTCTCATAATTCTGTGAAAGAGTTATTCGAAACCACTCCAAAATGATGATGATGGAGGAAGCTCTGAACAATATGCCACTGGTGGAAGTTCAGGACTGTTAGTTCAAGCAGGATGGTGCACCTGCACATAAAAGAGCTGCTAGACATTACCTCTCCCTCAGATTCACAAAAAGGGTCATTGGCACGGATTCTTAAACGCCCTGGCCAGCTCGTTCACCCGATGTCTCTGGGGTTAGGTCAAGAACTATGTATATGATAAATATTTCTTCAACTTACGCACAACTCAATCTAATCTACTGCAATTTTCAAGATTCATTCGAAATCCTTTGTTCTAATATTGCTAGTATAAAGAGAGCATTGTTGTAGTATTGCTTGGTAGTGTGCATATCTGCATATGAGCTTTTTTTTCATAGTTTTTTTAGCAATAGGCAGATGTGCCCATCTCCATTCACTAGTATGAAATTCATCTATAGTTAGTCATAGTCTAGTTTGTATCTAAATTGTGATTTGTAATTAGTTGTTTATTCTTTTCATCCTGTAATTGGCTCCGGCTGTTGGATGGTGTATGAATGAAATAAAATTGAAAAAATAAAAAATGAGCGAGCCTTCGAAACATATGAATTACTCAGAATACTGTTTCTTGAAGCATTCCAACGTATAACGCCAGAAATGTTAAATAATGTTTTAAACTCAACAGTGAGATGTTATGCATGCTTAGAAAGCAATAGCAATATTTTTGAACATCTCTTGTGAATTCATCAGTTTCGTATTTAATAGTTTCGATGTTCAAAGAAGTTTTTGATCTGTGCACCTGTTTATTTATTTACTGTTATTTTTTATTAAGATTGAATATTCACGTATTATAATATATATTTATATTGCATTGTTGAATAATTTATTCGATAAATCAACTTTTTTTTACAGAATCATGAAAAATGAGCTCAGAACGCATCAGAACCCGAAAATCCGGAAATTCAGTTTTTTGGAAATAAGTCGAAAACGAAGTCAAATCAAATGTTTTTTTAAGTTATTTTGTTGGTCATTCACACGCGTAACTTTTCTCCCATTTAACCAATTCTGTATCCCTCGTAGTTTCCCATATGCCCATACTGCCCCTCATTATCTTGGGCACGGTATACTTAGAAGGTGGCGCTGCCTCTGAACGAATGTTCACACTGGCGGTATGAGTATGTGGAACCTAATTCAAAATCATGGCCATATTACTGAATGAATTTTATTCTGAATTCCAGTTTCTTCTCAGGATTCATTGCACTGATAAAATGATACAAAAATTGGATGGAATCTGATGTGTTCATCTTCCAGAGAAGAACACTTTAACTTTAAAGTCATGTCATATGCCATAATATTGGGCAGGTGTAATACTACCTCCTAAATCAACCAATCAAAGCCGAGGTCAACGATTTCCTATAGTTTCTAACGCTGTCTGCTTAGTTGGATTGGACTATAGAAGTAGATATAAATTGCGGAACCAGTAAGTATATTGTGAGATTGATTTCGAAAATGAATCCACAAAATATCCTGAATAATGAAAATGCAGTAATGGATATTGTGAAAAAAGCTGCATGTTTAAAAAAATGTACCTATATCGCTACTTCGAGGTTGAGAATCAACTCTCCAGAAGTCGAAACTTGTGCGGGGTTAGGAAGAGCGAGACCTACAGCTTATAGTGGAACCGCTTCTAGGACGCCGAGGTATTGTCAGAATTACAACCATGGATCACACATATTTGAGAAAAATGCTCAGCCGATAGCCGGATTCGTACCGACAGTACCTCGGCAACCTCTAATGAAGGCTAAAATATTTGATTGTCCAGCAGATCGCGCTACTGAGACGTGAGGTCAATGTTGGTAAAACTCATAGGAATACTTCCTCTTTTCATTTCATTTGGCTTCTTGAAGAAGAAGAATTGCATGTTTAGTTTCACATTGAGAGTTGAAAGAGGCAAGACTGATCCAAGTTCAACCATTCATTAGATGTAGATATATAGTTTATTGTGTTAGAAAAAAAAATACATTTTTATCACAAGGGCTCGGTTTACATGCGAGCATGATTCCACATGGATCATAAGTATATGGTAAATAATGTAGGTACATTACACATTACAGAGCTATACAAGTTCCTAAGAATACCTAATAGCCACATTTGCAACAATAATTCGTTCATAATGAACGATCGTATTTTCATAATATTCATCAGGGACTTCACAAGGTCTGATACCATTCATTACTTGAGTTCTTCTATTTGTTTACCTACTCCACATCATTTTTTCAAAAAAAGTTTCGACAAATCTGGCCTTGGTCTTCAGGGCTATCTGACATAATGTTGGGACTTTTGACTTTGACATGGACCCCACTCTCTAGTAACACCTAGAGTCCCTGTATGTATAATTCCCTGTATATATTTGTCAGTTTTGTTGTAATAAGAGTACGGACACTATGACAAGCAGTGACGGAAGGCATGACCCCCAATTCTCAAAATGACTTGTGAACAAAGACATGGATATGCTTTTCCATGCACTTCGGATCTTATATTCTCTACTGCCGCGGTGAAGGGTACATTCATATATCTTTCTCTGTCTTTATTTTCATAAAGAAGTGGCGTCTCATCTCACTGGCGAAAAGGGGTCATAATTTGTAAATCCATTTGTTGAAAGTATTTCTCGATATACTTAACAGAGGCTATACGTACTGCTTGGTTAGAATGGGGGAAATGGAATAAATGAAAGGACTCGCTTCCATTTTTGCAATTCTCTACTACACAATTAGACATTTTAATTTTTGAAAACCTGAATTTTCAAATAATTCAATGTCATGTACGTTCATGAACTGTCGGTGCCCGCCAAATTGTTCATGTCATTTCAAATTTTTTAGGGTTATGCCTTCTGTCACTGCTTGTCATAGTGTCCGTACTCTTATTACAGCAAAAGTGTCAAATACATACAGGGACTCTAGTAACACCAACAGGTGAGACTCAAAACATCAGCCTTGGTTCTCAAGAAATATTTTTCTAGTTCGAAAGTTGGGCGGAAAAATCTCTAATAAAAATATAATAAAATGAAAGATGAAGCCTGCAATAGTATTCACAAGTATTATTGAACAGTTCTTTCTATATTGCATATTAATAAAGGAGCCTAAAAATAGCCTTGAAATATGATGGACATGGGTCCCTCATATTTTCCCCATTCGAGACGCTTCTGCTAGCTTTAAATAAAGCTAGTAAATCCGCGTTCGAATAGGTTTAGCTTTCAATTTATACAGGGTGTCACGACGAGCTCACAGTATCTTTATATCGAGAATCAGTCGGGAGAAATCCATGAAAATGTGCATGCTTATAATTCAGAATACGCTCTCTATTGATTTAGAATATTTTCGACAATGCATTGTTGCCGCTTTTACTAGAAAGTAGTAGCAACATTGATATTTCAAATGAAATACGCTATATTTTATCGCATTTTTAGATTCTCCCTGAAGAGCTGATTTCATCGATGTATCATACTTGGGGTCAAGCAGAAATGATTACAGAGATTTTTCAACTTTAGGATCTCAACTTTTGATTCACTATTTACTGATATTTAATCGGAATAGATACAGGGTGGTTCAAGATTCAGAATTCTGATAATACAACCATCACTACCAGAAATTAACTCTAGAACCCGAGCCAATGGCCAATCCAATCGTTTGGAATCATCATATGCACAATCTCTCCAACATCAAGTTACCGTCCTGAATTTCCACAATTTCTGTGCTCAAGTTCACCCAAATACTGTAGGCAAAATATGTTCTTGAGATGATCAGACAATTTTTTTTTTATATTGTAATTGTCTACTCAA